GCCAAGATGGGTAGATATTCCTCTACATCTGTGACCTGAAACGTTGCATCACTGCAACGGATGCCGTCAATAGCATCCGGTCCGTGGTTGTATGGCTTTGGTGTAGGCCCTGTTGAACTCCGGGGGCTGTCTTCAACCTTGCCTGTCAACATGTCTGCGAGGAGCTGGGCCAGCTTCGGCCATTGCATAGGGTAGTAAAGTCGTCCTTCAATGACTCCTAGAACTGCAATATACGCATTGTAACCTGCGACGGTAGTTGTATTCTTAGCCGTCGCAGCGATGAAAGCGTCCATGGTCTCCCAGATGTCTGACTTGGAAACTGCGTTTAACGCCGTAACAAGGGCGCAGTCTTCTCTGTTCTTCCAACACTCGTCAATGAAAGCTGCGAAGCCTTTGTCTACGTCCTCGAATAGCTCTGGACGAGTCCCTAGCTGCCATGTGTAGGGATTGACGTTTCCATCTAACAGCATGCGATCCACACGTTCGGGGAATAAAGCTGCAAAATAGTCACCAAGGGCTGAGCCATATGACCAGCCGTAATATCGCAACAGGCCATCCTCTCCTAGTGCATCAATGATTGAGACCATATCAAGCGCCACTGAGCTTGTCCCGATGAACTGTCCCGTCTTGTTGTTTGTGGCATAACATGTGTCTGCCCTCTGCCTCGATTGTTCCCAGCCAACGTCGAGGAAGTTTTGCGTAACATTGCTGCTTGGAACCGTGTGATACGAGGGCTCATAACGGCGTGCGACATTTCCCGAGGAGGTAGTATCGCCCGTTCCGCAATTGGGAGGAATGGTGTTGCCCGTTCCCCTAGGATCCCAGGAAATGAGATTGAACTGTCCTCCAATGTTCAGATGAAGGTCTGCGCTAACGAGGGGAAGATTTTCCGCGCCGGTACCACCTGGTCCTCCGGGATTGAACAAGACACTACCGAGGACTGGCCCTTTGGTAGCATTGACTTTGAAGAGATCTAGTTGAATCATCTCTGAAGTACCAGGGTGGTCGTAGTCCAACGGGACTTCAAGACTCGCGCAGTCGAATCGTGTAATGGGGAAAGGGGCGCTGAGCTCTGCTATCTGTTCATTGAGCTCTGGACAGGGTTTCCATTGAAGGGCCTTTTGGCCGTGAGGTAGGGCGGCGACAGCCGCTGCTAACCCGGCGAGAGGCAGTATCTTGTGATTGAACATGCTGGCTGTCTGCGTTGGTACTTCTAGTATAGCTTCGATAGCCTGCTTCGATTTTGGCAGATGTCGGTGGCAAGAATTGAGGCTTGCGGTACTTATATAAATGGTTTTTCTTTCCCATATACAAGTTTGAGGCTTAGTAGCAGATCTGGTTTCTATCGTATGGGATTTATTCCGTGGACGTCTGATACGTCACAAAGATGTCAATTCAAGATCTCCAAGCTGTGCTTTCGAGAAACAGTAGATCAATCATGACGCATGACCACGCATAACAAAAGCTTTGGGTTCGCTCAACGTGTTGTGGTGGGTACGTGCCATGACGAGCTCGCCATCTCCGGCACGACCTGATTGCACAACATCTCGGGAAGGGCAGCTGAGGGCACGGAGACTAATCCTTTTCGTATTGCATGAGCCGCCGTTGTATAGCTATTTTTGACATCTCATCTGCAGTAACTGGAGCGTGGCGGTGACATGATGGGCCAGGAAGCTGAGGGTCTTGGGAGGGCGCAAGCCTTTCTTCGGCCATTATTGAAACTGAGCAGGTCCGGTCCACTATGACACATTCGCTGAGAGTCCTCAACATCTTTTCTTTGAACTGGCGATCTATCTTTGCAGAATTAATCTAACTTCTTTGGGAAAGTCGTGCGCCGACGACCACAAACTAGTCAATATGAGAGTTCGGAGGGATCAACAGTCTTGGGTAACCGAGCACTCAGGATCTCGATCAAGGCATGCGTCTGCGTGTGACTGAAGTTGAGACTTGACGGCGCCTTATTCTTGCTTAACAGCCTGAGCCAGCAATGTGGTCACACGTGGAGATCACAGAACGGGGGAGCTTCCTAAACGGGTGACGATACTTGGTAGTGCCAATGTTGTCAGAGCCAGTAGTGTACCGAGAGTAGCTCCTCATTCTCTCCGAGTCGATGGAAAACCTGGCGTGAACGATGAGAAACATGTCTGCTTGCAGCCACAAGCCAGCCTAACATGCTCACTCAAATGGAAATCACTGATCCTGTGCCATTCAATGGCGGCGCTCTGATGGACAGTAAGTGGACGACCCACCAGGTAGTGGCAGCGATGCTGTCAAGCTTACTTCGTCGAAACATTGCGGCAAGTAGGATCCTTTAGTCTCGAACATCAAGAACTATAAGAGTTGGACCTGGGAGCACCTTTTAGCGGTCGGAGACAGTGTGTCTCTTGAAATATTTCGCAGGCAATCGCAATTGCGTTGAACGAGAAATATCACTCCGTCCTACCGTATTGTCTCCTTTCCGGTCAGAAGCTATATACGTGAGATGGGTTGGGCCAAATCCCTCGTCAGGCAGGTCTGGCCAATCTTGATAACATCCGCTCAAGCCCTTTCGTCATCTTCGTGGGCTGGCTTCGCAAAGAATGACATTACTCTTCTCGGACCTGTTTATCAACCTTCATCCAATCTATCCGCGAGGGCATGGAGCTCCGCCAGGCAAGAGGCTAGCGGTGGCTTCAACCAAATGATCGAGACAGGATTAGCCAGCTCTGGGGTTTTCGACAACATGACAACCTCCTTTTCCGCATCAGTCTTCTCAGTGGAAAGTGATAGTCCTCTTTTTGAGTTTCACTTCGAGGCTCCCGGTCTCAATGGCTCACTGAATGCTGGAAAGTTATCAGAAAATACCATTTACAGGACCGGCAGTCTAGGCAAGCTCCTGGTTGCGTATACTTGGCTTGTCAACATTGGTCACTTGGTCTGGTTTGAGCCTATTACTAAATACATTGTGAGCTATAATACGTTCAGCCTCGAGGAATTGTTCGCTAAATACCATAGCACGAATTGGCTGCAGCCGCTGAGGACTTTCACAACCCACTTTTGCAGACAAACTGGAGCGAAGTGACCATCGGATCACTTATGTCACAACTCTCTGGACTCGGGCGCGATTGTAAGATGTCGACAATCCCCGTACCAAGATTTTGCTATCTGACCCTGTTCGCCCAGATTCGTTAGTGGATTACAGTGTTGCCCCGTACACGGCCGAGCAAGCTGTGGCCATGGGCTTTCCGCCACTGGCTAATGGGTCATCGATAGAGTGCAGCGCTCTAGGTCCCATGGGTCTCCCAGGCTGTCGGAGAGACGGTCAGTCAACTAACCGCAACCAGATGCTCTCGACTGACTTTGTTACCTTAGAGCTTCTTCAGGGTATCATTAACCACACTCCAAGCTTCCGGTCATTCCATACCCCATTCTACTCGAACATTGGCTTTGAAATCCTCGGTTTGGCATATGAGAATATCACCGGCAATCCCATTGCGCAAGACCACGACCATCTGTATCGTGATCGGCTGGGCATGAAATCCACAAGTTACTCGGCCCCGGGCGCTGACGCAGACACCATCATCCCTATGAATGACACCTATGCCCAGTTCAGCTACAGCTTAGTCGCGGAATCACCGTAAGTATGCATCATACCAACTTTTAACATGACCATCTTGTCTCTCGACGCTACCTTTATGCGTTCTCTAACGGTACAGCTAGAACCGGAAACCAGTACACATCGACCAAAGATCTCAGAACTCTTGGCCAAGCCATCCTCAAATCGACACTACTCCCTCCCGTGCTTACGAGACAGTGGTTGAAGCCCGCAACCGCCACAGGACAAACAAACATGATGGTCGGTGTAAGTGCGACAGCCCCTGTCCCAGTCTCTCTACAACCAAACAGCTCACTAACCACGCGACCACAACCAGGCACCCTGGGAAATCGTCCGCTACCAAGTCCCCGTCAACAACATAATCAACGCTAACCGCACGGTCGACGTATATTGCAAATCCGGCGACTACGGGAAATACTCGAGCCTCTTCTGTCTGGCTCCCGATTACAACATCGGGCTGAGCGTCCTACTCGCCGGCGAAGGCGCATCAATGGAACGCTTCGACGTCGGCGGTATCCTAATCGATAACTTCCTCCCCGCAGCCGAAGCCGCGGCCAAGGAATCCGCGCGCACAGCGTTCCCGGGGACCTTCAGAGCGCCCGACCGCAACTCATCCGTCACGCTGGCGGTCGACGGCGGACCGGGCGTCGCAATCACATCCTGGACCAGCAATGGCACGGATTTACTCGTTTCCCCTGCCCTCGCGGGTGTGACGGGCCAAAACGACGATTTCCGCCTTTACCCAACTGGTCTGAGCTATCGGCCTGAGAGCGATGAGCTGACGTACCACAAGTACCACCTCATCGCAGTACCGGCGGAGGGCAAGTTTGTGCCCGGCTGGTTTGCGATAACGAACCACCAGTGGTTGGTCTCAGAGATTGCGGATTATGATAACCTTGCTGTTGACGCGGTGGTGGTCGGCATTGATGCCGAGGGCTTGGTGCAGACGTTTGAGTGTCAGGCGTTGCGGTCGACCTATTTCCGGGTTTAGCTGGGGGGAGGATCAGGAGGGAAGGGAGGGGGTTCGAGTGATAGGTTCGGGTTGGAACGTTCGTGCAGATTCCGGGATGCTAGACTTGACCAACGTTGCACGAGAAGCTCGAAGCCCGGCTTCGTGATGCCACTCCACTGAATGGGTAGCAAGTGGTGGTGCACGCGCTGGCGGTGTGGGCAAGCGATTACGGCGGCGTCTTCTGGACCCAGGCGGCGAGTCCAATTCAGTCAATCTTACTTAGCCGGGCCAATAAAAGAACCCATCGGGCATCCGAACACGTTCATATGCTCCGCTCGCGATTTGCACGTATGTCCGTAGCTCACCCTTCTTGCCTCGGTCTCCTGGGGCCATGCGTCTATCGTCAATCCTTGCAGAACCCACTGGAGCTTTATAGACAACCTTCACCCCACGATGTCATCGCAAAAGACTCGTGACGAGCTTTGCGACTGGGTCGTGCTCTTGGAGTCAGATCCGAATATTGACCGCCGAAAATGGTCGCGTCAAGTGCTCATGCAAATCCTATCACTAGGCGGACCTCGGACGGGCACCTTGAGCAATGGCTTCGGCCTACAAAGTCCTTGGCATACCTTCGTACCCCTTTGCGAGCATTGCCACCAATTGTCGCGATGCCGACATGTGGCTAGAAGCAATGGATGCCACAATATAACCCAAACAGCCGACGGCCAGGCTTCACACAATGCGAACTTCGACCAGTTGCTGGGTCACGTAGGGGCGACAACCGACGCTCCAAACAACCAAACCAAGGCAGCTTATCCGGAGGCCAAAGTGGCACTCGTCGAGCGCGATGAAGAGAAGTGGCTGAAGAGTATCCAGATGCTGTTCAGCGAAGCCTTGAAGCCCGTTGGGAGGTATGTGCTGCGGCACACTGACACATCCCGGTCGGATTGGCCGGATCTTAAGTTGTGGGGTCGGTAAAAGGTCCGGATACAGCGATGCTCCTAGCGGCGCACGACTTGCTCAATCGGGACTAACACCTTCCGGCGCAAATCACGTCGTCCTCGTATGTGACAAATTCCAATTCGTGCTTGTTGCCAGTATTGACACTTTGCTGACATGTCCATCACAAGTAAGAGAACGCATTGTTCTCGGGACCAACCCCTTGTGAGTGAGGAAGATGGTGAAATTCCGGCGATCGAAGGGTTGCGCCGGCTGCCGTGCTCGGCGGCGAAAGGTAAGATGGTCCCCTCGTGCTTCGATCAAGCCTCATCCAAGGCGCATCACATACCCCAACAAGTGAGTCAGCTACTCTTACTAACCTTTGCAGTGCGACGAGAACAGACCAAGCTGTGGACTTTGCGCTCAAAGAGGGGTGGAATGTGTCTACAACGACGGGCTGAGTTTTATATTCGCAAACTTCGACTCCCAGTCAACAACGCTAGGCCGGACCCCTATGGCTGTATCTAGGCAGAAGAGCCCTGTGCGCGAAACGCTTCCTGCTTCGCCAGTAGATCTGCCACAGCCTTGCCTCGTCACATCTCATTGTCTTCAGATCCACGGCGCTTTCCTTGGCATCTATCTGCCGCAGTCTTGCACAGCAGTCAATCCTTCTCCAGCGGTCACCACCGGCTGGCTCCGTGCAGCATACGAGCTTTCTAGTACTGACCAACTACTGTCTGATGCCTTCAGTGCACTATCGATCCAGTGTCTCGGGCGTCATGATGATCTCGAAGGCAAGAGGCGTAGTCAGATGCTTCGCGGTCGGGTCATGCGTAACTTGTCCAGAAGGATAGGCAGTGGATCACGGGCGCTCGAAGACACGACTCTGGCCTGTGTGATGATGCTTAATTTTGTTGAGGTACGTCTCTGATCCACGCAAAACACTTCTCGGTTGCTGACACCCAGCAAGTCTCAAAGCGCCAATAGCAAAGGCGCTTCAGGGTGGCTGTTTCACGCGCAGGGCGTGTCTGCGTTGATCAAGGCTCGAGGAGCGAAGAATCATGAATCAGGTTTTGGTCAACAGCTGTTCCTAGGTTCGAGGTTGATGGATGTCAGTCCTCACATTGCCCAAACTGTTGAACCCCACTGACCAGGCTTAGCTCGTTGGTGCAATTGGTACGCGCAAAGCGACAGAGACGCTGCATCACCTTTGTTCAATACCATCACTAGATCCACGGTGCGAGCTTACTCAACTATTTGACATCCTACACGCCCTTCCATCGACTCTCGAAAAACTCGACATTGTCGTAGGGCTGACATCAGAGGGACGTTTGGAAGAAGTCAAAGCGACAACCCACGGTCTGATCGAGACTTGCCACAATCTGATAATACGGCTCGGAGACTGGCGCAACTTGCTTGACGTCCATAATGCTGATGCCGGCAACGGGCAACTAGTTTGGGAAGAACCATCCGACTTATACCGATCTCTACCGGTCGACAGCCCTTTACGAATCTTTCCAACGTATTTCTGCTTTCCCAATCTCGACATCGCGCAGCAAATCTTGCTTTATATGGTTGGGAAAGTCTTTCTATGGACGGTCATATTCGCCATGGAAGATGTGCTGGAAGGTATGCTGCCTCAACACCAGACAAGCAGTTGCACACGAACGAGATCAAGCGGCGCGGAAGCCTCGCATGAGTGTCGTCTCTTAGCTATTCAGGTGGCACAGTCTTTTGAATACTTTGTCAGGCCTGACATGGGCTTGACTGCGATAGACCTTTTCGGCTTTCCTGTAAGTTTTATATGTAACTGGCTGACCGAACGGGCTGTACCAGAGAGATTGTGGTTCCGAGTTCTCTTTAATCGCCTCCGCACCATGAACCCTGGCTACACCGCGTTCCTCGAATCTGCAACAAAGCTCCATGGTGAATGCGATATTTTCGAACTCCTACAGTGACAGATACAAGTTGGATCATGTACGAGGCCGTTGAGCGGTCTAATGACACCATTGGACAAAGCTGTCCAAGAATCATGTAGAGAGCTCGGTGGCCGCTTGCAAGCCTGTCAATACACCAACGAATTGTCATATGCTGGTAGTCGCACTGTATGTTGTTGGCTTTGGCATATGTTTACTATTTCCCGGGGCCTGTAGACGGCGATGCCAGCGAAGAGAGAGGTGAAAATACGCCCACGCCTTGGGCTGATGAGGCGGGCCTCATTGTGCCATGCCCCAGGTTCCACGGAAAACTCGGCAACGGCGTAGAGTGCAGGGTATCTGGCAGGATCCCTGACACCTGCCTGGAAAAGATATCTGGCCGAGAGGCAAGTATGGCCGATCGCAAGGGGCCAGATTAGGCCCCGGTGTGTTTGCTTAGGGAGTGCTCAGGAAGCGCTCAGTGATGCTCAGCCAAATGCTCAGTCAAAGCTCGGATCAAAGCAGCTTTTGCTCACCCTCTAGGATCAAACCTCAGATGGCAATCTGGGTTTTCGTTCTCGAGTATTCTAGGTGGTTGACTTGTTGGCCACAGCAAAATGAGACAGGCTACTACTACGATTACGGAAGTACCAGACAGCCACTCCAAATTCTATGGAGACTGTTCGCGCAACGGCCACTTGGATGATACTTGTAGGTGCCTAGGTAGTACTTTGCTAAAGAGCACACGCCCCCTAGAGCACCCCCTCATTGTACCCAAAAACACCCCCCTAAACAGCAATCTCGCGCCTTAACTGCACCTCTTGACAATTGTATCTGTTCAGCCTTGCAGCATGAAAACATGAGTAGGATCACATGTGGTTTTTTTTGTTTTTATTTAGATTTACTCTGTATATGATGGGTTGATCAGAAATCAGAGAGCTAGCACTGCTTTTATAAATGTGTTGTCAGTGGTCAGTATGTAGGAATGTTTTGTACTTTGTTGTTTCTACAGGTACAACTGGGGAGACTCGTTGTCGAGTGTGGTCGTCCAACCACAAGGAGAGTCCTCTTGGGACATTGTCAAAATCTCTCGATCTCTACGAAATATCATTCCATCATCACACGGCCGTGGAGATCGAGACTACTTTCATCAGTTGCTGTCGTTCTGGCCCGTGTCCTTTGTTTTCTGGCGACATCTTTGACGTTGCCGTACTGACTGACCAAAAAGCCATGGTAATGGTGGTGGCGGTGATCCGGAAATGTCTGGCTTGTACGGAGTACTGATAGGGGTTGTTGCATGTGAAATTTTACGGATAAAGAGTCCAGATCGTGTGCGATACGACGACGACGACGACGAGGAGGAGGAGGAGGAGGAGGAGGAGGAGAGGCAGGCAGACCCTGCAAAACCTACCACGGGCTCACACGCGGCCTTTTCTTCCACCGCCGCACGGTTGATATTTGATGAGCCCAACCCAAAAGGACGGGAACAAGGTACGGATAACAGTCATCTTATTATTCCGTAGTAGACCGGCATATGGCGCTCCGGATCATGTGTCGGGTCAGCCGGCGATAACTCTTACCATGGGCAAGGTAGTCTTTGTCCTTTCGATCTGGAGGGCCGGAAAATGGAAACAAGTACATGAACTCAACACGTGTGAGTGTTCCTCCCAACTCACGCCTTGTGGTGTTTCGTTTCTGGTTCTGCAAGGCACTTCCAAGTGGCTTGCAGGTGTTAACGCGAACTCTTCTTTGGCGGATCACGTCCTCGCGTACCCGGTGTACCTGTTTCACTTTTGTCGTTCATGCAGAGTGATGATCCTCGCGTGTCAGGATAGATGCTAGTATGTTCTGCTCTGCTTCGCCCGATTCATGCAGTACCGATGGGAGCACTCCTACTACTCACTAGGCACGGAAACTGTCAATGTCGAGCTTGTCCATGGTCCCGTGCGTGCGTGTCGTGAGAAAAGGGGAAGAAGAGATCTGAGCCCGAAAAAAGCTTACCCACGACCAAGTGTATTTTGTACTCGTACGAGGTCGAGGGCAAAGGGAAAAGGAAGCCGGATAAGCTTACCTGGACACGCACGGGACATAGACCAATCGTGGCAAGTCGATGCCCAAGCTCATTAGAAGGACCGTCTGGATCGAGGCGGACTGTGCGGGCTATGGAAGTTGCCGTGGCCCGTAGCTGACGGACACAAGGTCAAAGCTCTGTCAACCGATGTGGTGGTTTCCCTGGGGAGGAGGGCGGCGCGGTCCAGAGAAGTTCATTCTCTCACGCGCGCAAAGAGCGGCGTGACGGTGAACAGGTGGGCATAGCAATATGTGCGTGGTCAACGATACTGTATCGGGTCGTGACAAGTTAGAGTCTGAGACCCTTGGGTTCAAGGCTTGTCCTCAAACAGGTGCATTGTCTGGTAGTTTCGTGTAGTTGGATGATGGATGCTGAACAGTGTTTCGGATTGATCTGTGCACATTCCATGTTAGACAGACACATGTCAAGATAAACTCTGCCTAGGTGATGAATCCAGCCCCGCCCCCAATACGAAGAGCACCAAGCTGTACAGTGGCATTTCCGCCAATCAAGGGCGAAGGACTTTTCCAGTAGCTCTATGAGCAGGTCACACAGCGGCAAATCATCATGGCCTTGGCAGGGACGATGTCGGACAGAGTGGTGTGAGGATTTCAGGATGTATTTGACTGTTTCAAGTCCGACGATAACGAGATGCATAAACGAGGGAACAGGCGGCACGAGAACTGCAGCCGTGAGGATGAGGATGCTTACCGTGGCCTGTGGTGATGAGGGAGAAATGTTTCACAAGCCTTTCGGACTTCATCTGCTTGACATGAAAGCCAAGGGTGAGGTCAATCATGCATCAAGGAACTTCTTCGAGAAGACATGGCGAACATACTACCCTCCATAGTTTGAGAGCGACAGAGATGCCTTGGAGTCACGCGGTGCTCAGGCTCTCATACTCGAAACTGATCTCGCCCACCAGTCTGCCTCTAGAGGATTTCAGCATGCGAGTCCATGGTGAAATCGCCGGGATGCCCGTACCGGCATGCGCATCATCCTGGACCTGTGCGCAATCCCCGCCAAAGCTGTCAGCTTATCGCAAATAAAGCGGGTTCCAATCTTGTCCCAGACTTCAGGGATCTGTAACTTCCCTTTTGTCTCTCTTCTCCTTTTGACGCAGTCTGGTTGTATCAATATCGTTAGGTATGTTGCCGGATGCTGGTGCAAAGGGTTGAAATTTGACAGCTCTGGTCTGGGTCAAAATCTGGGTTTCGCTTCCCAAAAGGATAGTTGCGGACTTGTTCAGTCAGCCACAATGGAGCCTAAAGTACCCCGTAAAAGCAGGGCAGGCCTAGCGAGCCTGCATTGATTGCACCCGAAGCCAGCTGGCATCTCAATCTCTTGCGGAGTAGTACTCGTACTCTGGGCGTTTCTTCGTGGCGTTAGTTGAACGGTGATTCCGGAAAAGGAGAGGACAGGGATCCAGCAAGTAAATCCCCTCTTCTCGTATTGCTCCCTACGTAGGCTAATCTCAGATTTAGGAAAGCCCTCTTTGCAACATCGCGACCATCTCCCTAGCGCGTCGAACCAACAATCGCTTCGTCACCATGACTGGTTGTAGTCGCGAAAAACAAAACCACCACGGCTCCAAGTATGTACGGGAGGGCTGGACCGCATGACCAGACTAGACCAGACCAGAACCCGCAGGTCTCAGCTGCAAAAGACATGGAGCCCATTTCGGCAAACCCTGGACTATTCCCTAACGTTTTGTCTATCAGGAACCTTTTTCGTGACTATCTGCACCATAGCGGTTGGACTAACTACCCTTGGTCAGGCACAATACTCCGATCATGAACGGCTCTGCGTCTTTTGACGTGGCGTTGACGATAGTTACGTAGTTGGATCTGGAGAGCTCGCATCGATCGCATCTATCGTGACATGCTTTCCACACTGCTGAGCAGTTCGTCGTAGTTGCTAGCTGCCTTGGTTGTCTTTGATCATCGAAGTCTCTTATCCCACATGGGATATGATCTGTCATTGAACGAGGGCGATCGATTGGGAATTCAGCCGTCAAGGACGTCGAACAGGGCAGATCAGCGTGCATCCCTCGACCTCATTCGCCAACCAGAGCCTGCTCCATGTTCTCTTTGATTAGACTCTCCCAATGCGACTGACGCGCTCGCGGTTCAGACAGCCCTTGATTCGACGACGCACAATTCCGGTACCTCATACACGTGGGTGTCAATACCACACATAAAGTTGACTTGTCGATGACTGCGCCAGAGACACAAACGGCAGGCACCCGACAGCAATTTTGGGGCCTGGGAAAGAAAGGTGTCATTGTTCGGCTCGACGCTGATTCTCGTAGTACTGGACTCGGTACGCGTTCTGTAATTTTAACTCTAGACATCAGCTTGGGACCCCTTCCCGACAAAGCCCGGGCCAAGTCCTGAGGTGTGGTTGCACCGGGCCCGGCACCAGCGGCGTAGAGCAAGACGAAGCGACCAAAAAGCAGAACTGCTCTTGTCTCGTGTTCGGCCTTAGTCGCCCATCGCAACCGGATTTCCCAGACGCTCTTACATGCAAGGCACCAGATTGGGTTCCTGACTAGTCCAGTCCGCTCACCTATTGAAGAAAGCATTTTTCAGCTGTTCGTCTGCTCGTTCGCTTCGCCAAAGCTCTTTGGGCCAGGCACCCTTGCGTGGCTGATTCGAGCCCATCACTTACGAATCTTCTGATCGCCGCATCCAAAAGAGTACCACCTGATCTGACACAATGACATGACACGGCGCTCGCTAGTGCCTCTTTTCTTGACACTTTTGGGAGGGGCACACTCATACCATACCCATTATAACCCCAGGCATGCTCTTGTCCAGCTGTCATCGCTCTGACCGCGATGCAGCCGTAGCCGTGCCCCTACCAGAAACAACATGACAGGCGGCCCAGGCTGAATAAGACAAGGTTGCTGCTCTGACACGAGAGACAGGGGTCCCGTTGCGGAGGAGCGCTTCTCTCTGCACGGGTCCAAATATCGACATAGAGTATAAAGTATATCGTGAGGACTTCGCCAGGCTCACTACCGTCGAGCCCAAGGATACTTGCAACAAGTGGTGCTAGTTGAGGCGTCTTCTTTAGTCCCTAACCACGACTTGTTCACGCAGGCTTCCCATCCCCTGTCGACGAACAACATACCTCGCTCCTCCCCTCCTTCGCGAGCAGGTTCTTTACTGCGTTGTACTTGTACTATATACCCTCGTCACTCAATAGGCGCCCAACTAGCTATAAGCGAGATGCTTCCCCTCCCGACCAACATGCCCTCACCCAAGGATCAAAGGACGAAGTCACCCACCTATTCGCATTTGCTCTATCTCTCCGAGACCGACCGACAAATCTTTACAACCGTCACTTCCTCATCCTCCTTCAGATCATCGCGTTCAGTGCACTCATATCAAACCGATACAACAGCAGTCTCGGCCTCCACTCCAGGCACGTCGAGAATGAGTATACAGAGACCCCGCTTTGCCGACGACCATTACCCCCTCATTACCACCATTCATCCCGAAACCGTGCCAGACTATGTGCCGATAAACCATGCCGCACTGTGGTGTGCGCGACAGATGGCCCAGATCCACAACATAATGATCCGTGCTCTGAACTCTGCCTGGAACCATGCCGTTGGTATCCAACCTTCCACCCGAGAGGCTGAGGACTTTCTTTTCTTCAACCAACAGATCTGTTCCACGTTGGAGCACCATCACAGAACCGAGGATGAGTATTTCTTCCCCACGCTCGAAGCAATCCTCGGAAGGCCTAGTGCCATCGAGAAAATCGCAAAGGCCCATGAATCCTTCGCCGAGGGACTCGCCATCTATCAGAAATATGTCTTCCTTACAAAGGCATCAGAGTACAATGGCGTAACCCTGAAGCACATCATCGAAGCCTTCGCTCCAGACTTGATCCAGCATCTCCATGACGAGATCCCGGCCCTCGTGGCCTTGCATGTACTGGACTCCAAGACTGTCATGAAGGTGTGGAAGAGTTCCGAACAACTCCCTGCAAGATACTCGGACGTGTATGTTCTTGCCCCGTGGATGCTGGGCTGCCAGGACAAATCGTTCACCATCGACGGGCACAAAGCCGATTTCCCTGAGATGCCTTGGGTTGTTGAGTTCGTGGCAAAGGGTTGGTTTGCTAGGCGGCATGCGGGTGCGTGGAGGTTTTGCCCGAGTGATTTGAACGGTCGAAGGAGACAAATCTATGTCTGATTTACTGCCGGGATCAAGCATCGGCAATCAAGGATCGCAACTCATGATTTATGACCAATCGCGTTATTGATTTCTTGTTTCATTGTCTCTTTGATTGAAGCGTTCAAGCAGGTATTGTTCAGTCAGTCGGCCGGCCAATGGCTATCTCGTGTATTGTTCAACGTGCAAAAGGGAACATTAATTGAGGAGAGGAGCAGGATGGGATTTGGGATTGTACGATATTATCTTCTGCCACCCGGCATCGCCTTTAGCGTTATCACTTTGTGAATAGTTTTCCCCATAATAATGAGCAGTTGATCTATATTGTTATCATTTTATGGCTTTCGAGTCCTTGAGGATTTCTGGAAAGAGTCCCAAGAGCTCTCGAAGATGACTGATCTGATAGTTACTGGCTTTCTGTGGCGGGTCGGGAACACTTGGTTCAACGAAATGGACTGTGTTGTGCCAGCCTCTCTCATATGCGGCCTGACAATTAAGGAAGGAATCATCAACATAGTATATTTCGGTATCACTGGCCGCTCCGGCCTCTCGCAGTGCCTTTTCGTACATTTCCGGGAGCGGTTTCGGGACGAGGGGCGTTTGGGAATAGTCACAGTATGTGATGCCCTCGAAGAGATCTTCGATTCCGAGGAGCTTGACAACTCTCCGGCCATGCGTGATGTGGGCATTGGTGAACAACCACATCTTCACTTTGGTCTTATCGAAGGATTCCAGAATCGCCCGCGTCTCGGCGTCGGGTGTCAGGAGATCGTCTAGTGGGAGGGCATCGTCGACTTCCCGATTGAAGTCGAGCGGATCAACCTTGTGGTGTCGAGATAGTCCTTCGATGGCGAGGCCGTAGTCTTTGTAGTATAGGTGGTGAAGGCGGGTGGCTTCCTCGGTCGACATGTCCAGGTGTTTTATGAAGTATTTGCTGATCAGTAGCGCCATGTGATCATGGACATTTTTGCTATTTGGATAGAGACAGTTGTCTATGTCGAAGAAGAAGATTGCTCGGCCGTCTTTTGAGCTGGAGTTCCCGTTGATCGAGCCCATTTTTCGTGCCTGATGTCCTTTCTATGTCTATGTGCAGAACGTGTGAAATAAGGATCAGACACCAAGGTAACAAAGATCTATTTTAACGTCAAGGAAATGAAAGATTCAAATAAGCCTATTGCTTTGATATCATGCTCCGTGAAGACCGAAATGCACTGCCCGGTGATGTTTTCTTTATAGCTCGTCGTCGGCATCATTGACTTTGCAGTGAGTCACAATGTAGGCACAATCTCTCTCTGGCGGATCACGGGAGTGCATCACGTGTCACTGACCCCACGTGACCTCCACCGCCCCGCTTGGCACAAGGTAACGTCGATTTTGTTGGCCGAAATTTATTGGAGCGCAGTTAGATGCGCTGTGTTGCTTCCCATCCTCGAGAAAGCACCTCCTTTCTTTTCCATCAAGCTACGGCGCCACCATAGACGGCGAGGTTGTTTTTCATTTGTTCTTGTAATCTATCATCACTTCCTTTGTTCCTGCTTTCGCCGCCAGTCTCACCATGTTACTGTTCAGGTAATCTCTGTTGGCACCAAATCGCGCTTCTTTCGACGCGCTTCCTGCAAAAATGTCAACTTCGACTGCTCCTTTGCTGAACGGTGCCGTGCCGGTGCCTACGGCGTCTTTCAACGAGGCGTCAGAGTTTGGGAAGATTCTTAGAATACGCGATCAGGTTTTCTCCGGAGATCATCCTCGACTGACTGTGCCTGCCCATTCCATCAGACTGTCATCTTCTCAGACTCCTTCGGCCGTGTCCCAGTCTCTCTTGAATGTCCCTCCTCCATTCCCCAGCAGTGTATCGCCAAGTCGCCTGGCCGGCAGCTCATCCAGACAGGGAGAACACACCAAGGCCAATGGCCTTGCCAGTAATGTTTCTGAATTTGACCCCATCCTCCTGACCAAGTCGGATGATCTAGTTCGAGCTGAAATACAACTCAAGCGGCAGCGGCTGGAGAGGGCTCTGAAAGAGCAGTTTGAACAGAAGAGACAAGATACACGAAGGAAGCCTGCCCCGTCGGAGGCTAAGCCAGACTTTGACCTTCCGGCCGTCCTTGCCAAGGTACTGAACAGGCCCAAATCGCCTGCTTCTAAAGATGAGGGCGAGGCCAGCGACTCCTTTGAAGCAAACTCTCTGTACTCCAGCAGAGCTCCTGATTCCACACCAGGCGGTCCAGTTTCTGGAGACGAGAGTGAGGAGGGGCAAGTTGACGAGCCTTCCAGGCCACCCGCTGTGAGTGCTGTCATGGGTGAACGTCTCGCTCAAGATGACGAGGGTCATACCTCTACTAATAATCAGCCCATGCCACCACCTGTTGCCACGGCCTCCAAAATGGACTTGGATGATGAAGAGGAGGAAGGTGAATACTCACCTCCAGAGGCAACGGCTTTCCCTGTCCCCAAGACTGCATCATCACAGGCTATGCCAGACGAAAGAGATCCAAGAGGTCGTCCCTTGCGCAGATACTCGGAGACTGAGGACAACGGGAGGCGACCACTATCCCCATCAGAAGCCAACATGCGGATTGTAAGGAACCAAATCACCTCCCCACTTGCCCCAGTCCCTTCGCGTGTCTCTCCTCTTGCTGTAGCTAAGGATCCGCCCTTCTCGCAGGACGAACGTCAAAGACGATCACAACGGATTGGTGGACCGGGATCTCCCCCAAGTCCCGATGAGTCTCAAGGAAATATCCCCCCTAGGAAGAGAAGGAAACTTGAGCGACGGGCAGAGAAGAAAGCCAGACAGAACCCGTTCATTAAGGAAGAAAACATCTCGCCCCCGCCATTTCATGATGTTCAGCCGCTTGGATCCGGCAGGCTCCGTCCAATGGATGCAGATCGACCTATTGTTATCGAGGACGACCCCGTACAAGATACCCGTTACATGTCATCTACAGAACGGTACGTGGACTCTCCCTCGCGGCCAATTCATCGTCAGGTCGAACAATTGATGCCTCTGAGCGAGCCACGTGTCATGTCAAGGGCTAGTATCAGGCCTATGCGAGACGATCAAGACCTCCGACGAGTTGCTAGCATGCACAATATGCGAGCAGAGGCCCCACGCGAATACAATGATCCGTACTACGAATCTCCAAGCCGAACAAGAGCGGTATCTTATGCCAGAGCTGGAAGTCCTGCTCCTTTCGAATCACCTCGCTACCAACGCGAACCTCTTACCGAATACGACCGGCCCCCACACGAGGTCAGAGTGGTTCGCTCTCCTGCACCGGTCTATCGCGAAATGTACGACGATGGTGAGCCTTATCGGTACGCGGCAGAGCCAATGCCACCACCCCGGATGGTCGAGAGAATTGTGGTCGATGGCTATGGGAGACGATTCCGCGAAATTATCGAAGATCACCCGCCTCCTTTCTCGAGAGCAATGTCGGTCCGGAGGGGCGATGCCGAGCCGATTTACGAGAATTATCGGAACACCAGGGCAGCTTCAGTCTTCGTTGAACCTCCACCAGAGAGAAACTTCTCGGCAGCGGATATGCCTCCGCCACCGACCTCTTATCGACGCGGCGGTGATACAATGCGTAGCTCTGTTGCGCCTGCCTCATCTTCACGAGAGTTTGCGGAGCCTGGATCATTGGCAAGAAGCTCAAGTGTCATGATGAACCACTCACCGCGGCGTACCATGTATCCTGACGAGAGACCCGACTTTCGTGAGCCCGTGCGGATGGGTAGCGTGCGCCCACCCTCGATGCGATATGAAGAAGCCCCTACGGCGCAGATGATGACAAGATCACAAAGTGTTCGCCCAGGCGCCCGTGAAGGCAGCTACTTTCCGCATGACAGGCCTCCAGTCAGCCACGAATATGGCCCTCCGGAACTATCGAGATATCATGCACCCGAGCCAGAGCCAAGACACTATGACGCACAAGCCAGGGACTTGATGCCCATGGACGGGCCGATGGATGGGAGACCTAGAGGTATGGATAGGTATTGAGATTGAAGAGAACTGCCCTCCTGGGCTTCAGATGCAGAATATTCCACTATGGGTTGGTTGATCGCCAACAGATCAGGTGCGGTCTTGTATTACATAACATGGGGCGTGATGTGAGTGTACAGAAGCGAATACTGCGTTGCCGTGTCTGATATTTCATAGAATTAAACGTCATCGATGAGTAGCCATCTTAATCATTCATGAAACACGCACTCATCCGATCCCGGCTTTGCTTCAGAATGCATAGCGATTGTTTCAGGATTTTGTGGAAATGAATCTACACAGGGTTTCGTTGGTAAACACCGTATACCGTCCGTGATTCGCCGGTGGGCACATTTACGCGCCCAGTCCTCGTTCCACGCCGTCGACCTTTCACCAATCCCTCACGGCAACTAACATGGCTCAAGAAGGCCATCGACATGTCATTCGCGGGCATGCTGGCTCCGGCGCTTGCTGACTCTAGGCCTCTCGGGAGATTGTCCGCCTATCTAGCAAAGACTTGCTGACAACCTCTCATCCAAACTCCTGGAACGCCATGTCGCTTCCTCAGGCAGTTCACTGTGCATCGAAGAAGACCTCGCACCAGAAGCGCCCGAGTTCCATGTGATTGAAGGGAAGGGGAATTACAGATCCGCTGTAACATCCACTCGGCGGATCGTGATGAAATCCTCGAGAACCCATGGTTGACGGGCAGCTTGAGAGCTTTTGGAAGCTGCGTTTCATGTCCTTCTCTCGTCTTTGGCCGGGCTTAGTTGACCTCTCATTGTAGGAAAAGTGGGCTATGCTTGCTGCTGTTGAGCTGTTCCTCTTCTTGTGACTCTAGCCGTCCTTCTTTGCTGACGACCTCTGTTACACGAGAGAGAAGTTCAATCCGATGCAACAAGCACAACACCTTCGTGTTGTAGAGCCACTCAGCCTCGTGCGAAATGCTATCGAGAAATTCCTCAGAAGACCTGCCTGGGTCGTCTGGTATCTTTGCTTCGATTCTCGGGTGTTTCTCGTCAAGGACGAAGGACGATGGACGCAAGAATGGAGAAAGGTCTCACGGTGAGTTTCCTCGCGGGCAATCCCTACTGTTCATGGCCCCGACATTGACATCCCCCCCCCAGGCATCGAGCGTGAACTACATGTCCACACCCGGCGGCCTCATCTGGTTTCGCCCATGACCCTCACCGTGTTTCGCGAGCTCGACGAACTCCCGTCCATAACGACCGGCCCCCCACCGTCACAACTGTCCAAATGGGTCTCGAACGGTATGACGAGTCTGAGAGGGAGCCTGTCATCCCAAAGACGTGGCGTTTCGACGCAAATCTCGAGACCGCTCCAGTCGACGGCCATGCCCGCGACTCGGGTCCAATGTCCAGGTCCAACGCCGGAGCCCCTCGAACTCGCCATCCACAAGGGTGGCAACCGCCTCTCCGACCTACCGAGATTCGATCGCCTGAGCTTCACCGAGGACGGAGCGATCAAAGCCCCGGCTCGGACCATGACACGCACCCGGTCGGAATGTTTCGCCCGTCTCGAGGTCTCGGCCCCTGCCTTGGCCAAGGCGGTGTCGATGATCGACCGGCCCAGACCCGGGGACATGCGCCTGGATGAAGTTTCGTCGACGGTCGTACCGACCTCTCGTCCCGCTTCCGAACACGATGCCTTGCACTCGCACCCCGTGTCGACGGCGTCCCTGCCAATCCTCCCACCTCCTTGGAGTGTCCAGGTCCCGGTCGAGCCGACGAGGTCTGGGCCCGTGGAGGCGGAAGCATGCGGCAAGTACCACCGTCATCCAGACTGCCGCGTTCAGAGGAGGGTCTCTCGGTGGTTGGCCACCAATCACTCGTCGTCGTGGGACACTGCAAAGTCCCCCGAACGGCGACGGCGAAGGGCCACCTTCTACCAGCCCTCGGCGACACCACGGACTGACGCGCAACGAGGGATGAGATGTCGCCAGCGAACCTCCACAGAGTCGACGGTAGTCAGTACCGCCGGGACTGACTCGTCGGTCGCGTTCCAAAACACCACCAGCACGACGACCGTGACAACCATGGGCTCTCCACTTGAAAGCGGTTTTGCCGATGGTGCCAATCAGGCCATCAGACCCACGGACAAAGACCCTCTGGGAAATTCACCCTCATCCGCAGAGGCTGTGGACGGAGTCGTCGACGCCGTCACGGTGGATGAGCATGGAGAGGCCGCAAGGGGTTCGGATGTCGGAGTGGCTTTTTAAGTATCGCATGGATTCCATTTTGGACGCCTTTTATCAGGAGGAGGACACTCTTTTGATTTCCTCTCTCGCCTCGGGCGCCGAACCCTTTGAAACCTGGCAGAACCAGATACCCGATTGCGTATACGGTTTTTGTTTTGGGGGGGGACGTTTGTGTTACAAACAGAATACGGGGCGTAGACTTTGGCGACGGAAAATGGTGGTACCCGCGTGCCATGCACATCAGCGACATCGAAACCAGCTGATGCAGATAAAATTATTGTACAGACAGTCTAATATTGATCCAATCCTTCCGTCATTCCCCTTTGTCGTCCAAACCACCAGCATCTCGAGCCATGAGGTCACATTGATGAAAAGCCTAATGACGCGAGAGCGACGTATACATACTTGGGTGCCTAGGAGTAGGTACAATGAGGGGAGCTCTAAGGGGGAGTTTATAGGTGCAGTCTGGCATAATACTAGGCATGCTTTTAGGCATCACTTCGGAGTTTGTAACGGCGAGAAGTGAAGGATTGAGACTCTAATGTAGAGGAGGCTCCGGCCGTTGATGTGTACGTCGGGCATGTCAATCCTTCACTCAAGGGACAATACCCAAGCCCTCATGAAACTGACTACAAACCTGCCTACTCTTGTTCATCGATGAAACCTATTGTCACGAACTGCCAGCGGTGGACGTTTGTCTGTATCCTTCTCGTCCATTTTCTGCTTATTTCACAACAGAACTAAATTGCACTGTACATGACTCGATTCGATTTCGATTCACTCTCCGCAACAAGGATGATCATCATCCACTGGTCGCCCCGACTTGGGAACCATTCACCACGCCTCTCTTCGTGCCGAGGTCGGAACCCAGCTTGACCTCCAGGATTGCCGCTCTCCCTTCGTCTCTCACGGCCTTTACAGCCTGAGGTAACAGGTCAAGCAGCTCCTGCACAGTCTCCACCGTGCCGGCCCAGGCCTTTCCGCCGCTCGCAGCCTTGGCAATCCCGGCGTAGTCTGGTGTCGGTTCGAAGCTGATGTTCAACGCCTTGTTGTCGACCTTGCTTCCTTCGCCGTCCGGGTGGACGAGCAACATGGAACGTCGCGGGGCGTTCCACCCCTTGTTGTTGAGCACGACCGTCAGGATCGGGATGTCGTACCGCTGTGCGATCCAATAAACCGAGCTCGGCACGCTGAACATGAAGGTGCCGTCCCCGACGATCTGGCACACAAACTTGCCCTTCGTGGCACCGGTGCGGTCGCCGGAGGCGAGGTCACGGTGCTGGAAGTCACTCGCGAGCTTGACGCCGAGGGCACCCCCACCAGACCAGCCGAGACCGCCGCCGCCGCAGTTGATCCACGACTTGGGTAGCACGGGCGCAATCTGATCGGCAATGAAGCCCGTGAGGGTGACGGCTTCCACTGCGAAGATCGTGTCCTCGGGCACGGTGGCGCGAATTTGTCCACCGAGAATATGGGGGTCGATCGAGGCATTCGCCGGGTCTGAGGGTAGCTTCGCGAGCTCTTTGAAATGGCCCCATCGCGCATCATACGCCGCTTGCCTCTTCTTGGCTGCCGCGGCGTGCGACTTATCGGAGAGCGCGGCGGTGAGTTCGGAGCTCGAGGAGAGGTAGTCGTTGATCTGGGAGAAGGCCGTTGCGGAATCAGCTTTGAAGCGAGCCATGGCCGGAATATAGAACACTGGCATTTGCTGCTTCAAGGGATCGACGTCGACGTGGACAATTCTGGCGTCCGCTCGAGGCTTGCACTGGGTAGGGATCCAGGGCACATCACAATCGACCACCAGGATGAAGTCTGCCGTTGTGATGGATGGCTCCGAACCATATCTCAGGCCCAAAGCTGCCGGGTGATTTGTTGGGAAGCACATGTCACTTCCGCCAGTATCGAGCACCCTCAATCCAGGTATCTTATCGGCGAGGGCCACATTTGCCTCGACGGATGCTGGATTTCGACCGGTGAAGCCCACAATCATGAGGGGTTCTTTGGCCTTGACCAACTCCTTCGCAATCATCTCGACGGCATCTTGTGGCAGAGCAGTAGCCCCAACGGCGTGCCAGACACCTTGGTCGAGATGATAAGGCTCAATGTCCTCTTCCATTGGCTCACGAGCACCGCAAAGATAGACCGGCCCCTGCGGGTCGCTCGTCGCGAACTGCAAAGCACGGTTGACGATCTGCTTCACGTTGCGTCCAGCTTTGATCTCGCCAGTATATCTGCAGTATTGTGACACAATCTGTTTCTGATCCGGCACATCTTGTATCCAATGTATGTATTCTGTTCTTGACCCTCGATATTCGCCTTCTATCGTGTAAGGGGAGAGGCCGGCAAAGATGAGGACGGGTGCACGACCGCAGGAGGCATTATGGACGGCAGCAGCGAGACCCTGTGTTCCTACATCGACATGGACAATCACACATTGAGGTTTGTTCGTCAAGCGGGCCATTCCGTCGGCCATGGATAGTGCAACCATCTATTTCAACTCGTCAGCATTGTGATACTCATTCCTGGATGGTCGTGGTGGTGGTGCTTTTGTACCTCATTGGGACATGTGATGATCCTGGGAAAGTTCCCTTCCTTCTCGTTTTGACCCTTGACAATGGCTTCCATGATGGAGGGGTGGTCGGAGCCCAAGTTGACGAAGACATGTGTGATACCAGCCTGCAACAATATCAGCTTTCAGATTCTTGGGAGCTCGGTACCATGGGAAAATCCTACCTCCCAAACGGCCTCGAAGAAAGCGAAAGAAGTGGTATATTCCCTGCAGCTCGTCAGCTCGTCAACTCTTGTGGACAGTGATCTGGGGGTGCTGGTCTCTACTGTTGCGCGGAATCCACCTTGCGTTTCTTCGCCATTGAACCCATGATGGCAAGGTTGGCTTGGTCTCTGTGTCTGCACAAGCGTTTGGATGATGCTGAGTTTCTCGATACAAGGGAGGTAGGTGTCAACTAGAGGGAAGTGACCTGCCAATGAAGTAAGTCCAACAACAGGTGTGAGAGCTCTGTATTAAAAGGGAACGGAAAGTGGGAAGAAGTTCAGCCATTTGATACCGAAACGAAACGCGGAGGGGAGGTGGATCAACAGTACCACATTCGAGCACTTGTTACCGTTTACGCCGTTTGGCCCTCATATCGCGCGCATCATTCCGCCTTCTTGTTATGGAGGATCCATCATAGCAATGCAGCAAAGCCAGCCAGGACGGGGCTCGAACGAATGGGTGGAATCTGAGATGAGCACGGAAAGCTCTTTCGGCTGTTGACATTTGCGGGGAACAAGGAAAGATTGGGGATGTCGGGAGGTAGAGGCAGGCATGATCCGAGGGCGGGCCATTCCCGATGCCGGACCTCTCCATGGTTTGTGTCTTGATCAAGATATGTCCTCTTTTTGAGTGTGCAATAGGTAGGTCGGTGTCTGTGATGAAAAGTCACAAGGCACAAACGCTGCGCAGAGTCTCTTTATCCAGTGTTTGGCGGGTCTGTAGGTATGCGCCCTGGACGTTATTGGCCGATTTTGCGGAGCTCTTAGAAGTCGCTTTCGACGACGCCCAAGATTCACAGCCTTAGGGTTAGGGACAGCGCGGAGGTTGTTGCGGGTCAAGGCCAACCCTCAAGGTCTGTCCGCCAGGGCAAATGGTTCAGAAGTCGAAGTGATCGAATGTCGAAGTCGTTGTAGAAAAATCGCAAAGATTAAGATTGCACTGATGCTGTGCGACACAAACTCAACGGAGTTCGGGAGATTTGTTTTTCCAGTCAAATACAAGTGATACCTCAAAAATATCGCAGGCCAGTATCACAAGAAGACCTCTTTCTTGTCTTGATACACAATATCAATACCGTTTGGGATCTTCACGGAGCCCGCCATGAAAAGCGGGTCACCAGTATCTACACGCAGAGAGAGAGAGACGATGTCAGTGTCCAAACTCCCTAGAATCACACGAATGGTCACACTGTCATTCGGATGGACTTATCAAATTATGAGAAAGGAATCTTTCTTGGATACATTTGTTTCCTTTATGCTGCCATGATGCATGCTATGCAGATGCAAGAATGCATGCAGATAATTACTACTTCTCGCTAACACCAGCTGTCGCCTTCTTCACCCTGCTGATATCTGTCTGCCAGCCCGAGAGGGGCCCGTGTGTCCTCTTGTGGTTGTTTCAAGGCATATCCGTACGTTGATAATAATCATGGTCAAATGCAGATCAAGGCTCGACAGCCATAGGAGCACTAGGAAAACGACCTGCGCCAGACCATATCTTGGCTCAGTAGTGGGATATGGATGTTTTCAAGGCCTCTCTTTACGTGCTTCTCTTGCTTCTCTGGCTTGTCTCGAAAGAAGAACAAGTGGGTCATATCTCCTCTAAAAGACCGATCCCTTGCGCTCGGCATCCTGGACAAGTTCTTTGTTGAGAACACCGCCCTGGCTACCCATAGTCTCGGCAAAGGTCTTGGTGGGTCGCCACTTGGCGGATGTGCGTGGAGTAGATTCTTCCATCATCTTGTCAACCTGTTCCAATGATAGACCCTTGGTCTCGGGGATGAGGAGGTATGCGTAGACAAAGGCAGCAGTGCAGAGACCACCCCAGATGAAGAAAACGGATGAACGAAGGTTGCCCTTGTCTTCACCGACCATGTAAGGAGTGATAACAGCAATGATCTAGGGAGGGTTAGTAAAAACACCACAAGGCCGCGGGAGGACATGAAACATACGGTATTCCACAACCAGTTGGAAGCGGTGGAGAGACCGACACCGCGGGATCGGATGGGAAGAGGGAAGATCTCGCCAATGACGATCCAGGCACCAGGACCCCAGGTGGAGGCGAAGAAGAAGATGTAGATGGCGATAAACGCGATCTGCGCATTAACAGCAGGAATGTTGTTGGCAATGCTGTTTCCAGCCGCATCAATGTGAGTCTTGTTGAATCCCACGGTGACACCGATGATACCGACGAGGAACTCGCAAATGAGCATACCCAGAGCACCCCAGATCAGGAGTGGGCGACGACCGAACTTCTCAACAGTGTAGAAGGAGAGAGGGGTTGATCCGACGTTCACACAGTTGAAGATCAGGGAGATCAAGAAGGAGTTGGAGATGGCACCGGTCGACTTCAAGAAGGGAGTCGAGTAGTAGAAGATGAAGTTGATACCGGTCCACTGCTGCATCATCTGAAGAGAAGTACCGAGGATGGTTCGGCGCAGGTTGGACTTCTGGTGTCGGAGGCCACCCTTGAAGCAGTTGAACCAGCTGCCAAACCAGCCAGTGGCAGGAATCATCTGTCTCTCATACTCATCGTTGGCAATGATCTCAGCAACTTCGACCTGGATGTACTCTGACTCGGGAGGCTGGCCACGAAGGCGGGAGAGCGATGCGATGGCCTTCTCGAGTTTGCCTCGCTTGACGAAGTATCGGGGCGAATCTGGGAGGAAGGCCAGACCGATACCGAGGATGAGGGCCCAAGCGAATTGGATGGCAATGGGAATGCGATAGGCACCGGTGTCCTTTCGATTGCGGACTGCATAGACAACGCAGGAAGCCAACAGGATACCAATCGTAATGCAGAATTGGTATCCCGCGACCAATGCACCACGGACCTTTCTGGGGCACTAAAAGGCGGATCTCGTCAGTTTCCGGAATGGCTCGCGAGCTAGATATGATTTTAGGGGCAGCCACTTACGATTTCAGACATGTACAGAATGACAACGGCACTCTCGAAGCCGACACCGAAACCAGCCACAAGACGGCCAGCGACGATCAGACCGAGAGCGTGGCCAGGACCAGTGCCCATTTGAATGCAAACACCAATAGCGTAGATCTGTCGTTTCGAGTAAATTAGCATATGGTCCCAGGAGGCCTAAAAGGCCCGAAGGCTTTATTTTCGGGGCTATCTTCAGATGCAGGGCAGGCAATGGTACGTACCACACAACCAATAATGACAGTCCATTTGCGACCAATGATGTCGGCAACATCACCAGCGATGAGAGCGCCGAAGAAAGTACCACAGGACAAGATGGACACGATGAGAGACGAGTGAGAGGAGGTCAAAGCATCTTTACCAGGACCCTCGATGAAGTGAATGAATTCGGGGTTGGACGTCGCGCCGTTGATGTAACCAGAATCGTAGCCAAAGAAAATACCACCGAAGGACGCAAAGGCGCAGATCAGGTATGCTTTCCAGGTGACCGGCGCCTCGATGCGGTTAACATCGTTGGTCGTGGACAGCGAACGGACCGCTCCACCCGGCATGATGAATGTGTGACTGGCTAGGGTAAGGGTGTCCTTGCTGTGATGCTGGTATCCGTGATAGAAGAGAACGGGGAGGGAGAGCAAGGTTACTCTGTAGGTGCAGGAGAAGAAAGGTTGGGTGTTGAGGGAGAAGGAAGACAAGCTCGCAACCGAGAGAACAAGGCGAGGAGGGTCCTTTTATTGTTCGGTGTCCAGAGAAGGAGCTTGGATGGTCAAGCAGGCGTCGCGCAGGAGGCGAAAAGACAAACGAAGCGACAGGGTTCTGTTGGATCCTGGTGGCAGTAGCGAGTCGCGACTGATTACGGAGTTCTGTGGTGGATGGAACTCTGGAGGAGCTTAAACCAGGATCAACAAACTGGGGGTGACAGATGCACGATGGAGCGTGAACTGGCGAGTGATATCACAAATTCCTTCACGGAACAGGAATAGACCGGGCCTGGCAATGGCCGAAAAGTGCCATGCCCATTCGTATTCACCTGCCAGGTTACCATGGAGTGCTGGCCAGAGGCAGTGGACAGGGCAACCGAGAGAAAATGTGGGTAGCAGCGTGGCATTCAATGTAGAATCTAAGTCCCATGATTTCGAGCTGGGACCATGTCGTCCCTTGTCGATTGGACCTCACGGCTATTGATACCCTAGGGATCGCGGAGTCACGGAGGGAGAGTGAGTGGGAAAGCATGAGCCAAAGTCAGTAGTACATACAGTACCGTAAAGTCAGAAGGGCAGAGACAGGCGGCTCATGCGGGACGAGGAGGGAGATCCATCCTTCCTCCATACGCCATGGGCAGATACAGTACTATCCTCCGTACGAAAGAGTAAAATCTGCGACTGCGGGGGCATACCACACCATCAAAGGTCCGGGCGTGTCTGCTCACAGTCGTAACAGCAGCAAGCCAGATCGATTGACTGGTCAATGCCCGGCGCCATGTAGAGGGGGCTAGAAGAGAAAATGTCACCCTCACCTCCAGACGTGGCGGCCACTAGTCACTGGACAAGCAGCCTGAAGCTTTGGGCTTGTTCAGGCTCCTCTTCGGCGACGGCGACCTGCCCATATTCGGATTGGGCAACCTGGAGGGGGCGTCAAGTGTCATCACCAATGGAGACCCCGCGCGGCTGGAAGTGCCACCAAAAAAATCATCTACAGTATCTATCTGGTCACGCAGGCTTTCAGAGCCTTGTTGGTGGAGAGCCGGGCTCTTGAGGGACGTTTGATCACGCCAGAGGCATCAGCCCATCATTCCAACGGAGTATCTACGGTTCTAGTAAAGATCCAACTCCTACTCTGTACGGACTTTGAAGTCTGCGATGGAGCAGATCCAAAACTCTTAGCTCTAGACGTGACCATCGCCAACTCCAGTGGAAAAGCTTGTCAAACTGCAAATCTTGACATGTGTGACTCGTACACATCTCGATCATTGTTGTTGACGACGGACATATTGTCCGTACTCGGTGCCCGTCACTGAAATATCGACCATTTTCTCATTTCAATTCAGGTACTGATAGGAAAGTGCCATTTTTCTGTCCAGCCCGGGGATCCTGCTCGCACTCTTTGCTGCTTCTGAACTCCCTCTCTCCCCCGTGGGTTGATGCGGTGCACCTGCGGGGCGATGAAGGTCGTAATCCATGGTGGTTAGCGTGCTGTAACGTCGGCAAGGAATGTCATCGTCGGGCAGGCTGGATTGGCCGGGAAACAAGATTAAGCGTTAGTGGCAGAAAAAGGACAGCCAGTGCTGGAGGCCGCCTGTCTGAGCAAGGATCGTGCGCCGAGATTGGATTCTTCGGGCCACACTACCGGTCAGTGGCCCCCCAGTGCATGCCTACAACGCAGGAGGCTTGTTCGTATACAAGACGACCCAAGACTGCCCAAGTCTCTACGCCGAGCCCACTAGGTGGCGTCCTGGTGATCATCTCTCGTGCCTTCTGTACACACAATATGTCAGGACACAAGAGCGTGACACAAGAATGATGTTCGAGACATGTCTTTTGCTCATTATTGTCTCAGACCGCGTTGGAGTCTCAGAGAAAATAGAACTCCCAGATCCGGAGTATCCAGTACACACCATTATTGTAATCAAGACCTGAACCGATGTCTCCTCCACCGTGTGCCACCACTACTTGCCTAGATCTAGCACCCTGAAAATCCTGTACAAGGTCAATGGAAGCGAGCCACGTCGATCTGATCTTGGATTAGTTGGATGCAAGCAGTGCTGACAGAGAAGCACGCTATGCTTTCACGGTGCAATGCCCTTCTCCGTAGTTCTCCCGCAGAATGCGAACCACAGTACGGAGTAAAAATGCATGGATTATTCTCCGTAAAAGGAGAGAGAGCATTGGTTTGACGGAGGTGCTGGCTGGTCGTAGGTAGAAATTGAGAGGGAGCACACCACTATCCCGTACATCGAGACTCGTTACTCGTACGGAGGACATGTGCACGGAGATTTTCTCCCAGTTCAGCTAGTTGACCATCTTTCAAGCATTTCTTTTTTTTTCATCTCCATGTCGTTCCATATTTTCCATCTGGAACAATCGAACAATTCATTCTTGCGACTCCACTGGCGACGGTTGATGACGAATAGGCCAAAAAAACTATGCTGTCGTCCGGCACTTACCTACGGAGTTCAGATGCCATACGTAGAAAAAACTTCAGCTCCATCGTTCCACTTCGTGCGACAAGATCGATGAGTGAAAAGTGTGTTGTGCGTGCTGAGGAATCCTTCTAGAAGCTCTTCCGCGGTAATTGTCATTCGGTAATCACCCTCTTTTCCCCTCCACCCCGTGGGTTTGCGAGTACAATAGCTCCAACGTACAGTCATCCTCTCCCTCCGTCCCCACCAACAATACCACTCTCCGGAGCCAGAAATGTTGCAAGATCTCACTAATGGCTGTGGCCTCGTACATAGGCGAGGATTCTCCGATGTTACTCTGGCACATGGCAAAGTCCTTCGCCTCCCGCGCGTGGCTGCACGGTCGATGCGAGGTGTAGCTCGCATCTCGTTTCCGAGGGAAGAAGAAGGAGAGGTGAGGTACTCCGTAGAGGACTCGACGACTGTCGCATGTGAATGCGCATTTGTAAATTGATACTGGACATACAAATTTTCCACTGGTTCACCCTCCAAGCAGGCAGACAGATATGTATATGAGTGTGAATGTGGTGTGAGTGAGTATGCGTCTGCGTGCATCCTCCACGACCAAATAGCATTTCGATAGCCAGTGCCAGGTAGGTTCGCTTGCCTCCATCTAGAGGGGTGTCTGGTTTAATCATTTCCTCTTCCACTGATAGTACCGACTCTACAAACCTCGGGGAATAGTAGATATACAGGTACTCCGTACCTTCTCAGGTAATGAAATAAGACGAATTCTTGACCTTCTTGGTAATGGCCAAGTACTTCTTCTTCCAAGGTCATCATCCTCATCGTCAACCTTCCAATTCAGCTAATCTTGCTTTCCATCCTTCAACACCGCGGAGCAGAGCATCCAATTCTTCCTTCTCATCCTCCAGTTTGATCCTCCTCTCGGCATCGAGTTTGCTAAAGACGTATCCTCCTTGTCCATCAAACTGGAGAATCATACTATGATATTTCCACAAGCTGCGTCGATGACTCACCGTCATGAGCGTGGTCCCGAGCCCCTTTGCAGTCTCGTACATTTTCCTCTCCATCTCCAAGGTCACCGAACTGGTACATTCGTCCAAAATGGCATATTTAGGCTTATGGTAAAAGAGCCTTGCCATGGCGATCCGTTGTTGAAGACCACCGGAAAACACGTCTCGCCATTCCTCCACCGCGTCCCAGCCATTTGGCCGGTTGAGGATCGACTCGATCTCGAGAATGACCAGGATTTCTCTCAAGGCTTCCTCAGACCCGTTCTTTGCACGGAATTCGTACAATGTGTCGGGATAGATGATCTGGTCCCGCAGTGTACCTCTGCTCAGGTATGGCCGCTGGGGTATGTAAAAGATATCCTCGAAGCTAGGCTTCTTCACACTCCCACCGTACACGGGCCACAGGCCACCGAGAATTCTGAACAGGCTGGACTTGCCACAGCCGTTCGGCCCCACGATAAGCAGGTGGTCACCAGGTTTGATGGCAAACGTCAACTTCTTCACTAGAACATCACCGTTTGGACTGACAATGGGAACATCCTTGAACTCAATGTTTGCACTTTCCTCGATGCTTCCTCTCCCCTTTAGAACGGCCGCATTCTCTTCGATGCTCGCCGAGCTGACCAAGTTTTTCTCGAACCGGCCTGCACGCACGTCGTCCATGACGTCCAGCAATCCCGCAACGCGAGACGTATATCCCGCCAACTCGGTGATTTCCTTGTAAGAAAACATGATGCGCCCAAAGGCATCTGAGCTACTCAGTAGCATTCGACGATTCTTGACAAAGCTTTCTGTGTGATCACCGGCCGCTTGCAGGGTCTGTCCGGGGATCTTGAAGAAGACGGGTAGCGAGCACAGGATCAGACCCAGAGCACCCCAGAAGTACTTGATGACAAAATCCTCCATGAAGCCATGGTAGAAGCGTCTTCGCAGTATCCGGTTGACGTGTTTGATCAGCGTGAAATAACCTTTATCCAGGCCGTCCTTCTCTGCTTCATGGCCCGCGTACAGCGCGATTTCTTCACTGTAATCGATGAGCCGAGTATGCTGAAAACGAAACTCTCCCTCCAAGCGCGCCTCATCCGCGACGTAACGTCCAAAAGGCGGCGTCAGGGCCCGCATCACATTGGCTGACAGCTGCACCAGCAACGCCATTGCAAACAGGCCCTCGCCACCTACAGATTTGGAGAGAGAATAGTTGTAAATGACCATGTCCAAGATCGGCTTGGCGAGATTGGAATACAATTCAGCCAGCGAGTTGCTGAAGCGCGCAATATCGACGGTCACGAGTTGGTCGGCGTTCTTGATCCGATCGTCCAGCGCCGACAGAGCATAGAAGGTCATCTTTTCGTTGTCGAGATACTTTTCGTGCACGTGGTTCACGAGGCGTGTGCGGTATGCCAGCGCCAGTCGCGTCTGGTGGTACTGCAGCATGGAATTCGTAAAGGTCGCCGGGATAGCCACCATCATCCACCATACCAGGCCCAACACGAAGTCTCGTCCGCGGCCTTTGACCAACGCCGACACGACCTTGCCGTCCAGTTCGGCGACGTATACCGACAGCAGGGTGCGCAGAACGAGGAACACGCTGTGGCTCACAATCAGGCGCAACTCTTTGCTCCGCCAACCCGGGATGACGATCTTGAGCAGCCGTAGCAGGTTGCGCAGGAACTCTCTATTGATTTCCACCCTCTTTGTCTTTTGTTTTTTGCTAGGTTCCGACTCCTCCGCGGCTTCGTCGCTTTGCCGCGTCCGTACTACTCGTAGTTCATCTTGTCTCCTGGCCGCCGCTGCCTTTTGCTCCGAGATGGCATTGTGGATTCGATGGACCAGAGCCGCGACCAGCGTGATATACACCGTCCGCGAGACTTTGGTGCGGTGTTTTAGGTACAAGGATGTCAGATCCGAGATCAATTGTTTGACCGTCCGTCCTGGTGGGAGTAGTTTCGATTGCGCCGCCATGGCTGCTGTGTAGGTACACCGGCGCAAGTCAAAGCGAGGACAATTCGGTCGAAGGCGAGGACGATATGTCGCGATACACGGTCACAGGAACACTAGCCCGAGGACATCTCTGTCATGTTCTTCTGGAGTTTGGTAATGCCGCGTCGAGGAAACCAGGGGACATTGTCGTCACTCGAACTCGCATCACGTAGACGTCAACGCCCTACAGAGTAACACGTCTAGCGGACATTGGTCGTAATCAGTGCATGACACGGACCGCAGCCTCGGCTGAATCTGGCATGTGAAGAATCGCGGTCCACGTGACCGTGGGCTCTATAGTCACGCGAAAATAATGTTTCCTTCGCTCGTTAGTGTGCGATTGTTGAGTTCCCTTTGCAACATTGTTTTCGATTAATGGTTGAAACTAACGATGTTCAATTACAAGGAAATATTGGGAAGCTTGAACGGAGGCTCATTCGCTTTTCAAGTCTTGTCGGATCTTCACCTCGAAGTTGGTGACCAGTATTCAGACCTTTCACGTTCCTGTCCGAGCCCCCCTTTTTGATTCTTGCGGGTGAAATTGGCCGACTTCAGGATTACGAAAAATACCTTTCTTTTTGATTCGGTATATCTAGTCCTTGGGAATCGAAACGTTGGGTAGGGTGTGATGCCGTCGAAGCAATTCGATGCTGCATTGGAAGGCGGCAGTGTCAGCCACACTTTGTCGCTAAAGTCACCATGGAAAGCGTCATCTTCATCACTTGTGTCAAAGAGTCTCAAACGCGGTAGACGGAATTGTGACAAGCACTCGATACTCTTACAGAAGACTCTTCATGCTGTGTTCAGACATTTCGTCAGCACCAGTGGCTTTGATCCAATGAACAACATAGTTCTGTCTAGAGATGATGGAGCTGTGTGTAATACCGATCAGCTACGGCACAACAGAATCGGCTCATTGCATCCCCGCGAATACGCGTAGAAGCGACATGGTACGGAGTAGATTCCAGCTAATTGGCGTACCATTTCTGCTAAGCCTTACGAGTTTAAAAATGGAGTAAACAATAGCAAGTCAGATCTCCCTCTCATATCATATCAACTGGATACAAATCCGTAAGATCGGGACAAACCGCGTCGGTCGCTGGGACCACGTCGGAAAATCTTTAGAGGCTCCTTCCGCCCCTCCAACTCGAGTGAGATTTATTCTTGGTCGTATCAGAATGTCCTAAACCTCAGCAGGAGAAGAGGGCGTTGCGTTTGTTCTTAACCACTCCTCTTCTCATTTTCTCTACTTTGTAGACACTCATCCATCCATCCAACAAAGCAAGACTCATCTTCGGCACGCCCATCATGAATCGACCATCACGCAATGACGATACAGAAGCCCATCCGCACTGGAACCAGAGTCCGCACGCTCTCAGCGGAGATCTGACGACGAGAGCCGACCTTAATGGCATCGTCAATCTCCGGGAGCAGCGTGTGAACGAGTCGAGTCTCGACAATAACGAACCTGATCAAATCAACACGCAACCCGTCAATATCCCGGAGGCAGATGCAATGGCCATGAAATCCGCCAGCACCGTCCAGGTTGATCCACGAGATCCGCACCAGTCCTCGACTGATGCAGATCTCGCGGCCTTTCAACAACACCCACAACGGCAGCGATCTCTGGCTCATCGTCGTCATTCTTCGCAGTCATGGTTTCGGGGTTCAAACGCAGGTGGTGCAAGCCGTCCCAAACGCATCCTTGCAAAGATTGTCGTGACTCTGCAGAAGTACGTCAAGTTCATCGGCCCCGGGTTCATGATCGCAGTGGCGTACATCGACCCAGGAAACTACGCGACCGATGTCCAAGCCGGTGCCGACACACGTTACCGCCATCTCTTCGTCATCCTGTTGTCGAACCTCTTCGCCGTCTTTCTGCAATCACTCTGCATCAAGCTGGGCAGTGTGACGGGTCTTGACCTGGCCGAAAACTGCCGCAAACACTTGCCCAAGTGGTTGAATATTACCTTGTATCTGTTTGCGGAGGCGGCCATCATCGCTACTGATATCGCCGAGGTAAGCCGTAAGCCAGTAAAGCCCTGTCCGATACGAAAGTGTCAACCTCGAAATCCCCCTGGGCCGTTATACCGAGATATCAAATTGTGTCACATGGCTAACAAGTTGTAAATAGGTCATTGGTTCCGCCATCGCACTGAATCTTCTTTTGCACATTCCTCTCGTGGCGGGATGTGCCATCACCCTCGTCGACGTGCTCATCCTGCTCCTTTTCTACCGGCCCGACGGCTCCATGACGCGACTCCGTCTCTTCGAGTACTTCGTCATGGGCCTGGTACTGGGTGTCATGGTGTGCTTCTGCATCCAACTGTCCTACATCCGAGACACGACGGCCGGGCAAGTGTTCAAGGGCTACCTGCCCTCGGCGGCGGTGGTGGAAGGCAACGGGATCTACCTGTCCTGCGGAATCATGGGAGCCACGGTCATGCCTCACTCCATCTTCCTGGGCTCGGGTGTGGTCCAGCCACGGCTGAGGCAGGTTGACGAGCAAAACGGCCACATGGTCGCCCTCGTCTCGGAGGACGAAGAGGGCGAGAAATACCGCCCGTCCATCTACGCCATCCGGGCCTGCCTCAAGTATTCGATCGTGGAGCTCGCGTCGTCGCTCTTCACGTTCGCCCTGTTTGTCAATTCGGCCATCCTCATCGTGTCGGGCGCCTCGCTCTACCCCTCGACCGCCGCCACCGACGCCGACCTCTTCGGCATCCACCGACTCCTGAGCCAGAACCTGTCCGCCGCCGCGGGCACCTTGTTCGCCCTGGCGCTGCTCCTGTCGGGCACGTCGGCGGGCATCGTGTGCACCATGGCCGGCCAGATGGTGTCCGAGGGCATGCTGCGCTGGACCATCAAGCCCTGGATGCGGAGGCTCGTCACGAGGTCCGTCAGCATCGTCCCCAGCATCGTCATCGCCGGCGCCATCGGCCGCGGCGGGCTCAACCAGGCCCTGACCGCCAGTCAGGTCGTCCTCAGCGTCATCCTGCCCTTTGTGACCGCCCCCTTGGTCTGGTTCACCAGTCGCAGCCACATCATGACCGTGCCGGACGAGAGTGGCGTCCACGGCGGGGCCCCGGTCAACATGCGAAATGGCTGGGTGGTGACGGCGTTGGCCGTCATCATCTGGCTGGTGCTCGTGGTCATGAACGTCGCATTGCTCGCCCTCGTCGGTCTGGGCAAGGCGTGAGAAGTCGGGGACCGGGTTGGCGGGGACACAGAGATATCATGGTGGAGGGACACTGAGTACGAAGGGAAGATGTCTGCGGTGGGTAGCTTTGCATTCGGTACCCAGGCATGACGGTAAACGTCGTTCGATCCTTTATTTACCTGCCTAGATGCCCACACTCGTTCTGTTCACGTCGATGGAGTCAGGAGGGTAGGGAGGGATGGTCGGGAAAGGGTCAACTACGTTACAATTATAGGTGGTGACAGGATTATACAGAGTAGATGGTCGGATGGCATACTGCTATTACAATCATACACCGAGTCAAGGGTGTTTTCATAAGCTTCGTGTCTTCGGCGAGTCACAAGGCATCAGACAACAGAGTGTTACAACACAATAGCGTATTATACCCTCTTTGCAGCCCCGACTTGTTGTCGGTCTTTTTGTTTGGTCGAAGTCGGCATGTATCTGCACTACACCTTTTCGGTATGCAAGTTCCAAAGATGGAGAGTATCATGAAGACAGAATTATTTTTGGCATTCCATATTCCAAGCTAAGAGCCTCATGAGGTTGAGAAACCAGAATTCATTCATACCTAGGTAGGTATGTACACACACAGTATTCATATCCCAAGGACTCTAGAGCTGCATTGAAAAACAAGTATCATTACGGCACGTGGATCCTGTCCCCAGGTTGTATTCTCCAGTTTGCATAATGGTTGGTATGTATACATATATACAACATTGAGACCTCGTCATAGAGCGTACATCTGGTAGGTGGAAACGTTGGATTGCATACTTTCACCACAGCCTGTTGGTTGAAAAAGAGCAATCGAACATGGCCCTCTTTCAAAGTGGCTTTGTTACAAACTTTGACTCCTATTCAATTGGTTGTCAGTTGTCGTCGTCGTCAATAGAAAGTTGCCTCTCACGTCCTCCTCCATGAGGGCATTCCTGCAGGCCTTCTTTGTTCCTCTCGGGCTCCTTCAGGTGCAAGCGATAATGAGGTCTCTAGATGCGAATCTCTAGTCTCCTTGTCAAGATGGTGAGTGGTCAAGTCACCGCACTAGGTGTTGCTGTAACAAAAATAGAGTCATTCTTCAACCGGGCCTCCATGAGTCATGGTGTGCCTCGTCGTGAGAAAGGTCCGTAGACGTTTTGTCATTGATCAGCTCGCACTCGTGGGAGAATTGTTAGTCGCATCCGTGTCCGCGACGGTCTTTGATGCTGCCCGTTCATTGAGTTTCTTCTCGGCCTCCTCTTTCAACTTTCCCACCTCGACCCTCGTGGACTCGGGGAGCTGGCCGAGGTTGGAAATCTTGCCAAAGAACCAGACGCGGAAGCCGTCAAACGGGGTGCCGTGGCCGTGGGTCGGCTCCAGGATGAAGACAAAGTAGATGACGGTGAAGATGATGAGGGTCTGCTGGAGGATCTTGATGCTCTTGGTCCACGTCGGTCGAGCCCACTTGAGAGCCGCCCGCCGCCGGTACGTCTTCTCAAAGTGGAACTGCTGCTTGGGGTCGAGGTCGTTGAAGTCGGGGGGCCACCGCTTGCGAGCCCGGTAAGGGTTGTTGGTGATGTGGAACGGGGCGGGCTTGTAGTTGCTGGGCCCGGGGCGCCAGCCGAAGAGCGTCTTGAACCACGTCCACGCCGTCAGTTTCGTCGAGGTCTCGGTGGCGGTGAAGCGCCGGGCACGCGGGTGCGCGTAGGTCGGGCGAGGAGTGGCGAGCGTCGTTGTGGACGTGGTCGTCGGGGACGACGGAGAAGAAGAGAAAGAGGACTCGACTTCGAATGGTTTGGGGTTCGAGGGAGCGTTGGTGAAATTCGAAGGTGCGAATTGAGACGATTGACGACGAGGACTCCGAGTCGAGGCACCGTGAGCCTGACGACGATTTGCCTGTGGTAGGCTCCTGCGGCATTGCCGCATGAAGAACAATGCTCGTGCCGAGGAAGAAACCATGGTGAAAATATGCGACAATGTGGAAGAAACAATATAGAGATGGGTGAGTTGGTTGATGTTTCCCAAACTGCTGTGCCGTACCTACTTAGGTAGTCACGTGAGAAGAACCGGAAAAACCGATTGTCCGTCATCCCATTCTGATTAGGCGCTAACCGCTTTGCTTCCCCCCCTCCCTAAGCGATCATGGAGCTCTCGCTAAGGGCTGCTCGAGTACTTGGTCCTTCTGTCTTCCTCATCATTCACAATACCAACCTTCGAGATGGTGCTACTACACTACTAGTATACTGCCACGCACATAGTTCGTTATGATCCTGCAGTCTAGGCAGGTCTCGTATTCGGTTATGTGTTCAGCCCAACCGGTGAGATTTCGCATTCAGGGAAGCTGCAAGTTGGATAACATACTATTGGTGCTCTCTGACATCGTAACTTGCGGAAACGTGCTGTGCCCTTTTCCTCACTTGATATCTCTTACAGGAGCGGAAAGGGGGGAAGTCTTCTCTAGAAACAAAAGATCATCCTTCCTTCTGACCGACTTTGTCACGATAGCCATCCAACATGAATCTGTCGCGCTCATTCAAATTGCTCTGCTGTGATCAGAGTTGGAGTCTTGAAGTGTTGATCTCCCAAGTCGCCTGGAATCTAGAATGAATATCGCAGTTAGGCAAGCAATCAGAAATAAAGCCTACAGGTAGGCCGTTACTTGTCAGCAAATGACCATCAATCTGTGATATGTGGGTGGCTTTGAAACTCACAGCCAGAATCCAGAAAGGAAGTCCAAGAAGGTCACCGCCCCATTCAATCCCTCTTGCCCACGCAGTTTGGATCAACGGTGTGCCGATCAGGCGTGTGAATTCTTCAACGATGGAGAGAAGCGCGTAGACCCGTGCACGATAGTCTTTTCTGAAGAAGTCTATCATGACAGAGACCATGGATATGCTCGCTCCGAACCCAGCGGCAAAGATTGACAAGCCTGGATGATCAAAGAATGATTAGATCATGGTTGTAGTATTAATGAAAAAAAAGACTCGACAACGTACCTACGAACATCAGGCCCACTGTATTCGCAATGCCAATGACAAAAACTCAGCTGGCAAGGAGTCCTAAACTGCATCTGGCAATGAGTAGGTCCACACCTGTCGTTGGTAGCGTAGTAATACGTTTCAAGCCGATGGTTCCAAAGGGAAGAATCATCAGAAATACTACGATGTTGACGCAGTATATAAGAGTTATGAGGACTGCAGTCCGGGAGGATCCTATGTCAGTTGCAATGGCTTGGTGGATCGGGATATGTTCACACCTTTGAGAGAGGCCAGTCAAATTTGAAGGAAGCATAGGGCAAGAGGATGCCGATGCCGACCGATCTGAACTGTGCGAGAAATACACAGGTAAGTGCAGCCAGCGTCCTCCGATCTTTCAGAACGAGTTGATAGGCCTGCATTACGGAGGTGACCCTATCTTTCAGTGTTGTTTCAGGATCTTCCGCAAAGGCAGAATGCTCCGATGAGCCCGATTGCCTCGTAGGGCCCACCGCCTATCAGCCTGAATAAAGAGTTGATCCAGACGACATAGATGGGGATTTTAGCCCAGAGCAAACCTTCAAACCGACTTGTGGTTAGCAGACGCTGGAAGCACCATGGTAGACAACTTACAAGTCATCAGGATCCAGCCCAAGCAGCATATCTCGCCGAGTTCGCTCAGGAATAAAACAAGTCGACGGCCCTTTATATCAGACATGTACCCAAAAGGAATAGAAAGAAGCAAGGCTGTGGCAAGTGTCAGTTATTGTGCGCAACACCAAAAGCAGTTTTTCACCCTGTACTGACTGGGGAGCGCATCGAATAGCCCTTGCCACCTGCGTATCTGGGCCAGGTTCTGTTGGATTGGCTTGGTTTTGCGGCTGCTCTCCTCGACTGTGCCATTGTAGTATTGTTGACAGATTGCTGACTCGTAGAGGCGGACTGTGGGTATAGCCTGAACGCTTTCCTCGAACTCCAGGCAGACCATGAGGAAGATGAGATAGACAATCATGGGGATGCGGCTTCTCGAAGAAGATTTCCATGGTTTCGGGGTTTCGTCTTCGTTGGGCTGAACATCGTGCAGTAGTGGTGCGCTGTCTGTGACACCTCCGTTTGCAGTGTCTTCGTGTTCTATATCATCAGGGACTCGACCTTCAATCGAGGTGTGGATATGCTGGGACATTTGAAGAAATCTGATCGTATGTCTTTGGCTTGGGCTAGTACATTTCGGCTATCGATAACTCGATGCCCAGGCTAGAAGGTCACGATGAGGATGAAAAAAAGGGTCTCAAGGCTGACGCCTGATTATCACCCGGTGCATCTGATTGTCACTTATCCAGGAGAAGACGCCCATGACATCGGGGGCGTCGTTGTTTGTCTCTTGCGATCCCCTTAGGCCAGTTTGACATGCAGCTCACTATGTAGGCTACTATTCCGTACAATAGGCCCCAAAAGTTCAAGTTAATTAGGTCCAATAGTGGGTATAAATAAGGTGGCAAGTAAAAAAGCTTGCCTGCAACTTGCAGCCACAATCCCCGGAGCCATTGCCTCCTCTTTGGCCTGGGGGCCCTTAAAACAAACTTCAGCCTTGCACTTAACCGAAGTTCCGGGCACGGCTAGTCCCGCCTCCTTGATTCGGATGATGGCTGGACCACCTACTCTACTTCAGAGCAGATTTTTTTAGACTACATTTTGTATAACGTTTTGTCTTAGCTGCAGAGGTTCAAAGCATAGTTCAAGGATGGAGTGAATGCGTATGACGAGATTGCAAATCATAGCAGGGCGGGGCCGTCAAGATAGCGACCCAACCATCCTGACCGGCCTAGAGGGCACACAATTCCAGCCGCTCAACAAGGTGATGCGCCCGACGGCGTGATCAGGCGCAGGAGCGAAAGTTTTGAGATCGCTCACGGAGTATATCTATATGATCTGAGCCACCTCCTTCACTAGACGGTTGCGAAATTGCATTTTCCAGTTAACTTGCAGTTCACAAGAAGCACAACTCCTGCGGACATGTCTTGGCTGTTGTCATTCCTCTCGCCCGGCTTCCCGCTGGGTCACATATCTCAGACGGACCCAATGGCGCCAATGATCCCTTTGCCACAAGATCATAACACGACTGTCATTCTCGGAGGAGGAATCATTGGACTTTCGACCGCCTACTACATGGCCCGAGATCAGTTGACGGAGTCGAATCATCTTCCACACATCGCCATTCTCGACTCTGAGTCAAACCTCTTCGCAGGTGCCTCGGGCGGTGGCACCGGCATCATCGGCGACTATGCGTTCAAACCCGAAGTTGCGGAGCTAGGAACGTTGTCTTGGGAGCTTCAGTCGCATTTCCCGGCCAAGGGAGTGTAAGTTGAAAAGCCAGGTCCCCAGAGCTCGAGCAACATTGACGGCGGCCCGAGTCTTGGACGGATCTGTGCCCACCTGGCCAACAAACTGTGCGCAGTTGATTGAAGCCCTGGGATTCAGATGGCCAAGGTCGCATTCTGGGCTTAGATCCTCGACGATGATGAAATGTTCATCCAAATCTGCGTGCAGTAACTTGGGTAGGCTGACCTGAACGCCCTTTCGTGGTGCAGAGTCTAGATGCTTGGCGAGATCAGTCAGAGCGCGAGCTTCGAAGGCCTGGCGCCCGCTACTGAAGCTGATTTCCGGGGTCAGAAGAATGTTGTCAGGGAAGTACTTGAAAATGGCGCTTGTAGGGGAAAAGGAGTCTCCAGGAACACCAGTCGATTCAAGTAGCTTGTGAAAATGTAGCCTGAATGTGTGGTTCGTCGAACCTCCCTTGACTGGCGTAACTCCTTTGATGGTGGGAGAAGGTGTCCAGGCAGAGGCTGCCGCAGATCCGCGAAGGAATCGGTCGATGGCATCTGCAGAGTCGAGGACAGGAGTTGCTTTTGCTGCAGACATAATGGACGGTCGCAATGCGGGTGCCGGCGAGGGGATTTTGCTGATCTTGAGAAGTCGAACCCGTCCAGAGGATACTGCAGGACAACCAAGGTGGGATCATTTCTTGGTCTTGGGTATTTCACAGTTCATCCAACGCCTGAGGACAGCTACACTCCCGCACTGAAACATTCATCAATGAAATCCTTCAATGGTGACCTAAAGTGAAGTTTACGAATCCGGACGAGACTGCCATAGAGAACAGAAATGCAGACAGCTTACCACCGTGAATAACGTTGGACTCTTGTAAAGTCCAAACCAGGAATTATCTTCACAGACAGTGTCTTGATATACGACGCATCGCGTGACAGGCACCTGGACGGTCATTTGCCTACCGTCAGACAGCACGACTGGGAGTACGAGGCAGAGATGCGTGCCGTTAGGGTCACTGTGTTGAAACTAATCAAGTAACTCTTAAGACATATTTTCTTTCAGGATGTGAAAGCGATAATCTAGACAGGTGCTGGAGGCTTTCAAGGCTCGTTGTTCGTCTCTGAATGGTCTGCCCTGACGATTTTCACCCCGAAGAATTGCACAAACTTGTGGGAGTGAAGACCCCTTGAAATGGGTCCTGGGCATGGACTGCTGAGCCCGCGATTTCGATTAAGTCAGGAATGTTGTGTAAAAAGTCGACATTTCTAGCAAGGCTGGGCAAGACTGAGGGTATGTCTACCCCTACGACTCTTTACCTAGGTACAATTTCTCCTGTGAGAACACAGCGACAGAGACGGCCCTATTGCCTGAGGGGTCGTTAGGGTTGTCTTTGCCAAGCCACAGGACTACGAAGGTAAAACTTCGGACAATGGGTAGCCGAGGTAAAAAAAGTATATAGACTGAGACTGCCAATTTTTACCCCAAATTACAAGCAAATATCTGCCTGTTTCGGACACTATGGCCGAGTGGTTAAGGCGATGCCCTGCTAAGGCATTTCCTTCGGGAGCGCGAGTTCGAATCTCGTTGGTGTCGATTTCTTTTTTGTTTCCCTCTTTTTTTTTTCTTGGGTTCTTGTTTATATTGCGTATGTCCTCGTGACTAGGCTGTGAGTGAAATAGCTCCTTCTTTCCCTCATGTGATTCCCATAATACATCATCTCTTCAGTAGCTGATACCCGTTGTCTCGGGCCGGCAGTCAGTCTTTCCATCCCCTTCTAGACATGGGCTCTTTTACAAGACGGAGTTGTCGAGATCTACACGCTCCGGCAACGGGGACTATGACTTCACCATCCAAAGTTGCTGCCGTTCATCGAAGGCCCATGAAGGTCGTTGCCATTACGTGCCGCTGGTCAACCGTGCTGGCGCGTACTCTCCGCACTCGGCTATCGAGACCTGGATACAACCGGTGAAGCCGAAACTACCGGACGCACGCAAATGGTCTCGAATGCGGGGAGTTCAAACACGATGAAGTCGATGTCCGACTTTTCAACGGATACTGTATAAAAGGGTTGGTGTTCGCATCTTCACTGGCTATCGATGGTGTTCCAAATTCTATGAGCAAGGACACCCCGGACTCTATCCAAGTCGAGACGCTATGTCAGTTGAGAAGGAAGTATTCCTCATTGGCCCCGGCCTGATAGGTGCGGACCTGTTAGAACTCCTTCTGGAGGATGGGTATCATGTCACCACGATGGTGCGCCGGGAAGAGCACGCCGCACAAATCCGGGAATTGGGCGCAAAGGTGATCATGGGCACATTGGATGACAAGGACATTATCCGACAGCATACGATTGCAAGCCCGATAGTCATCCATGCTGCAACGGCAGACCATCTTCCTTCAGTCAAGGCGGTGATTGAAGGCGTCCGAGAGCGTGCCGAAAAAGGACTACAGACCATCTTCATCCACACCAGCGGTACGAGCGAGTTGGTCGACAATTCCAAGGGAATGTACAAGTCGGACAAGATTTACTCCGACGAGCGTCCCGAGGAGGTCGACACGGTTCCAGACTCTGCTCCTCATCGCCAGATCGACTTGGCCATCCTGAAAGCGCGGAAGGAGCTCGGGACGAAGGCCAAGATCATCATCATTCTTCCTCCGCTGGTGTATGGCGTCGGCAAACGAATCAAACGGCTCACAATCCAGCTTCCGACCATGGCCAGGTTCGCCTTGAAGCACGGATGGGCTCCCGTCATTGGCAAAGGACTTTCAGTGCGATGCACGATCCACGTGCAGGACCTGGTAAGGGCGTACATGGTCATTCTACACTGGATGGAGACCAGCAGTGCCGAGGAGGTCCTCAAGAACCCTTATTTCTTTTGTGACAGTGGCGAGGAAATGGCATGGGGAGATGCTGCCAGGGAGATTGGCAGGGAGTTGTTCAAGGCAGGTAGGATTCAAGATCCAGAACCGAGACCCGTCCCTCCCGAGCTGTTCGACGACCTCTTCGGGCCGTACAGCCCAACGACGGTCGGGGCAAACTCCAGAAGCCGCGGCGAAAGACTGCGGAAAATGGGATGGCAGCCCAGAGAGAAGGGCGTTTTGCGGTCACTTCGGGAGGATGAGCTGCCGATCATATTGCAAGAGTCTGGCCCTTTCAGTGGGTATACCGGTGTTGCGTCGTCTGGGACACACGTATTGAAGAGTCTAGAGTAGTCTGTTACTGCAAAAAGCACGGAGATTGAGTCAGTGAATTGATAAATCCTAAAAGTTCAATAAATTGCCAAGACTTTCCAAGAGAGAGAAAACACCTTCAGAGCACGGAGCAACCAGGACACCTGAGAATACGCTGATTTCACGAAGGACACATAAGACAGCCAAGAGGGTTCGAAGCACTACGGCCTGCAGTGTTTCTTTCCCTTACCTCTTCATCTTTGAATCAACATATATTGACCTCGCTTTCACCTCAGTCTCACTTGAGCCTTTGTGACACAGTGGCCCTAACGCCACGCATCTCTTCCTTGTGCTCCGCAAACAAGCATGATAGAATATCCAACAATGAGCTGATTTCGAAACTGCTCCAGGTTGGCGAACACTCCCCATACTTGACCGTGGGCTGTTGTGAGGCTCGGAATAATCGTCTGCTCGATCTAGAAGCACCTTGTGTTTCCCCTCGGCAAGATTCTGTGGGATACGATGACACAGTTGTTTGGAAGTTGAGGGTGGAGTGGACGGGATGCTTAGGAGAAGTGATTGGTGTGCCTGGGGAATATCCCGTCGTTGCCGTCAATGGTCTCGTACAAAGTACTTTGGTCTAATAAGATGAGATCTCGTCATTGAACCTCAAGAAGAGCTTTAGTGTTTCTTGTGTTGCATTTGTCGGTGCCACACAGACTATTGAATGTCAGACAAGGAAGATGGAGAGGGTGTTCACAGAGGATTCGGGAGTTGGTCATCTCAAGAATCGCCAACATTGTTGTGTACGAGTTATCGTCGTCGACCGTCTCTTATCTCTACAATTTCTCCGGAGGATCGATTTATCGCGATGAAGCTAGCAGGGCTTTCGGCCCCATGAAACCTCGATGTAGTGGATTTTCATCGACGAGCCGTTATGTATCAAGTAAAGAAGCCGCATCTGAGTGGCCGCGGCGCAATCTGGAGGCTGATGGAGCAATTATTGGCGTGGGATTCTAAACAAGAACGCCTTAAGTTTAGTACTGTAGGTAATCACGGAGTCTACGGGTAGTTATACTTGTAGGGAGTGTTTAGGGACTTGGCTAACCTAATCCTTTCACACTCATGCCTAAATTTGGCCGAGAATGCCATTGCCAAAGCCCATGAGTGGATTTGCTCGGCATGGCACGGTACCTATTGCTTTTCTTAAACTACCGTACTAGCTAAGTTCTGCCTAGGTACCTACATTAGGTAGATACTCTAGGTGCGATAGTTGTTATCTACTGTCTGCGCCTGCGCCCTGAACCGTTCATTCTTGTCTCGTGCACCCACAAGGTCCATTCACTATCGCAAAACACGGAACACGCTTTTCTTGCGTCCCCTACGGAGTACCAACTTATCACTCACTGTACATACAGTCTTGCCTTCTCCTTGTACATCTCCCATATGCTCGCTGCGTCCTCCCTGCCATCTCTCGAGCCGTCTAACACCTCTCACTTTGCTCCTCGAACCTCACCTCAATCATCCTCGCTTCGTATTCGCGCCTTCACACAGCGAGTCGACCGCGTGCGACTTAGATCAGCCCTCAACGATGACTCGCAGGGTTTCTGGACCCTCGCATCTGTAGCCAGTTCCTTCGATTTGCCGACTGCATAGCCTTCTTATTTGTCCGCCGGTTGCCGCGTCTGGCCTCAGAGAATGGCTTACACTGCTGTCTCACAGGCTGAGCACGATGCCATCTACACTCAATCGCCGGACCTAACCCTGCATGCCGACAGAACACGCCCCGAAACATCCAGCCCTCCACTTTCCCTCTCCTTCGATCATGTGTCTCGAGATGGGTACCACTCGGATGTTCCGCAACCAAGTGCGGAGGGTAGCGGCGCCGCGAGCGTTGGAAATCTCCTCAAGTCTTTGAGCTCATCACAGTCGTATGAGATGGTGGAAGACGACGACTACGAGGAGCCCATGCGGACACCACAGGGCTTAGGGTTGAACATGACCGCACACGCGCCGGTAGAAGACGACACCCTCACGTATGAGTCCGAACAAGCTCCGATTAGGACCGCGTCCATCAGCCGAGACCTCCCTCTCAACCACCCGACACCGGATCTACAAACTCTGCAAGGGGCGTTTGTCAAGAATGTGGAGAAATTGGAAGAGAGCGCTGAGAGACTGAGCATGACTTCGAGTCTAGAAGAAGAGTTGACCAAGATGAAACTGGACCAAAGACGTTTGGAAAGACAGTCGTCTGCACCCACAACCTTTGAAAACGGTGGCGCTTCTACAGCCCAGAGGCAGTTCTCGACCAGTTCATGGTCAAATTCCATCCTCAGAGTCAATCAGACGGCCAGGTCAGGAGGATATTCACCGTCCGGGTACATCACCTCTCCAACAGGCTCGATACACTCGGGACGACGGCAACAGCAGCACACTCTCGACCGCCACTCGTCCAAGGGCAGTCGTCATGATCAACCATTGACGGAGCCTCCCCGTGAAGGTCGTCCACTGGACTTTGGGTCTACGTCTCATCCCTCTGATGCTGCCATCATTCCAGATCAAGAGATTGTTCAGTCACCTGGCGCCTCGAACAACTCGTTTTCAGAAGACAGACCGCCAACATCTGGTTCAAATGATACCTACCGACAGGCTCAAGCGGCTTTCAACGATTTTGATGGTGTCTACTTCAATTCCGGCGCGTTGTCCCAGAGAAGTGATTCTATATCGCGTCATATCTCCTTGCGCCGGCCTCCATTGGCGCGTGATTCCAAGGCTTTCAGAGAAGCGCAACCGGGCGAGCGCATGATATACTATCCGGCTCCTGTCCCTGTTATGCTGAATCTTCCACAAAGACTGTCCAAGATGGATCTAAGCGAACGTGAAAGACGGCGACTTCAGGGTATATCTGCGATACCTGAAGAACTGCGCAAGTCAGCACCCTGGCTAACTGATCAAGATAACACGAAAGTGCCTGGTGGTAGGAGCTCACTGAATCTCCCACCACAACTACGCGCCAACGCCTTTTTTGAGCAACCAAGTGTCACACAAGATCTCGAGTTAAAGAATGGTTCGGCAGTTCGTACTCTTGACAGTATCCTGGATGCTGCTGCCTATGCTCCGGTCAGTGCATTCACGGACCATCCCATTGCTGGTCATCTGGGCAAGGAAGTATATGGCCAAAATGGCTCGCCGCGAAAGAGCATGCAATCCACAGAAGAAATGAAAAAGAAACGTCGAAGTTCTTTGAGTACTTTGTTGAAATCGAAAAGATCAAGCACGGGACTAGATGGTGCGCGAGTAGGCCGCACCAAATCCAAGGATTCCAGGACACCGCTAGATGGCGAAGACAACACCAGTGGCGACGAACTCGATCGAGCGGCAGCGCAATCCCTGGCGCCTGGTGAGGATGAGATATCTGATCGTGAAGAGGACGCCGAAGACGCCACCCCACAAGGATTTTCCGCAGCTCCAACCACCCTGCTTGCTGAACTCCAAATGCGCAAAGCTCATCAAAAGCAACGCAATAGAACTGCGGCAGATGCTTTTCCAAACGGCATGCACTCAACTCTGTTGCAGCTTGATGCTGTGACCCAACTTCAACAGAAAGCCCGGAAAACTAAGCATGTTACCCTGGCTTGGGAAGACCATGACGAGGCCGATAAGCAGAATTTTGACGACGACGAGGTTCCTCTCGGTCTTTTATTTCCCGAAAAGGATCGTTTGGAGACGTTTAATGCACACCGACCTGTCGGACTTCTAGAACGGCGAGAGATGGAAGACAACGAGCCTTTGAGCCATCGACGCGCCAGGTTGAGAGGCGAACCACTCCGGTCGATGAAGTCTGACACAAAAGCCCCTTACATTGAACAGATTCCAGGACTCTCCGAAGGAGTTTCCGCTGAACATGATGACGAGCCGCTAGCTCAGCGCTTGGCGAGATTGAAGGCGGAAAGAGACAATGCGAATGAAGGACAATTCGCAGCAGAATTGAGTCAAGAGCTCGGCTTGAATGTGGGAAAGCATGAAGCTCTACCTTCTACCACTCCCGATCCCGAGGAGACATTGGGTCAGAGACGAAAGAGACTCAAGGAAGAAGCATTGCGCAATGGCAGACAGGTGAGCGGTGAAAGTGCAGGCAGTGCCACAAGACCACAGCTGCGATCCATGCACAGCCTAGCCGACGTTCTACAAGCACATCCAGTTGGCGTGCAGGATCGCACAGTTCTCAACGAGTCCCATGGCTTTGCAACGCGCAATTTTCATGCGCAGGGACCATTGCTGAATTTTGCTGAACCTCCGTCGTTTCCTCGCATGGGCATGCAGGCTCTCCAGGGTAATGCCTGGGGTTCTGGTCAACAGCATGGCGGATATGCCAACACCCCTTACGGTAATTTCTACCCAAATAACGGCATGACCGCAATGCCACCCGGTCTCTACGGTGCTCCCATCCCTATGCACATGCAACAACCTATGGCTGGCTACCCCGGCCTTGCGACTTATGGAGTTCCAGGCTATGTTCAAGATCCGATGAGTGGACCACCACTTGATCCGAAGCAACGAGCACAAATCGATCGTTGGCGTCAGAGTATTGCTCAGTGAGCTTTTTGTCACTTCTAGGGCCAGCAAGCCTTTGAGTATTCTCGCCAGCTTCGTGCACGGGATGGGGAATACCTCTTGTTGACGGAGCGAATAAGGGCTGGACAGGTGCCAGTCTAGTGGTTGACGATTGGTGAAACCTGGCGAAACCTGGAACCAGAATGAAGAATTATGTATTTTTACGACGAGAAGAACAACACCAATCGATACCATGATGACCTTGTATGATGTGTGTGCTTTTGTATGATTCGTCTAGTCGACCTGCAGGAGTACAGTAGAGCATGTGTGGTACCCGTGCACCGGAGAGTAGCAGTTATTGTAGAAGCCCAAAATGTGCTGTGACTTGCCCACTGACTGATTGATTTCTCGGGACTCGAAAGCCTTGGTTCCGGTCTACATATTCCGTAAAACAAGGATAAATGATCTCTGGTCGAGTCAAGACACATATGGCTCCTATTTCAATACTGTACGATGCTGGGTGCGTGGTGGAATTGTGATGTTATCTACCAGGACTCCGTAAATCATCGCAGACTGAAACACTTCACGCCATTGGATCGTCGCTTCTCAACCGAACTGCATCTGCGACATCAACTCACTTCTTCTCGTCGTGCACTTGACTTCCCGCAGATCTCGAGGACCATCGTCTTGATACCTTTCTTGTCTCATTATCCTCCAGAGTCAACAAACACATTCTTATCGACTACTCTGTACAACATTCAGCTTCCCGCCTTTCCTTTCTTCCAGTCGGTCCCAAGCCATACAGCCTCCGCCCGCAGCGAACCAGCCGACTCAAGAGCGAACCACCGTCCTACCATTCCTACCCCACGGATATCAATGCCCTTGTAGAGTCGAGGTATCTGCCATGACCAAGAGGTGACCATGAACCGTGGGCGCATGCAGGACGTCGCATCTCTCAAAGAATGATTCCTCCCGAGTGTGGCGCACCGACGCATCGGACATGATGAATCCGAACAAGGCGACCTATCCGCCATTGCAAAGACACAGGAGGAGGTCTGATCATATGTCGCCCACCTCGCCCTCGAACCCTCGTCGAACCGTCGATCGTACCAACAGATATAGCGACAACCTCAGTTCCGCTGATGCCAACCCGGCCACCGATGACTCGGACAGCCCATCTCTCAATCTGACCCTCTCCTCTCCTACCTACGACCGATATCGTGCCCTGCCTTCCGCGCCTCCCGGTCTGAATACTTTCGGATTCGAGTCAAGACACCATCAGAGATCTTCCGAGGATCATGGTCGTGCAAGATATCGTACATCGGACGAGGATGCTCGTCCTGCTACAAGCGATGCCACCGATCCGCACCTGGCATCCCCATATCAAACTACGCGGACCATGGGACAATACTCGGACTTGCCCCTGAGACCTGCACCTGTCACATACAACACCAGTCCCGACAGTTTCAAGGATCACATCTATGAGCGTTCAGTACCGAGACATGAAGAGCACACGCTCTCTCCCACATTCCGCACCAACAGTTTCCCTTCTCCGGGTCTAGACAGACCTTCGTTCGATGAGGCACACCATGTCAAGGCCCATGCTGGAAAGAAGAGCAGGCTGAACTTGCTTAATCCTATGAGCCTGCTCGCTCGACGACGCTCGTCACAAAATCAAAAGCTCGACGATGTCAACCTCAGTATCAAGACCTTCTCGGTTCCTGCCCTCCCCGACGACTTCGACCCCAGCATTCGAGGCAAGGTTGTGCACGATTTTTCCGCTCCTCGCACTCGTAGGCTTCCCTCTCAGAATGACCTGGGCAGTATCGATTCGCCGGCAGTACGATCAGCAGACCCTCTGCGATGGCATGAGCCCCCTAGCGGAAGATTGTCCACAGGCGGCACTCCAAACCTCAACCACAGTCCCATGTTCAAAGAGCATTTCCAAGACGACCGGCCAACTTTGCGACCAGATAGGACAGGGTACTTGCATAATTTCAATGCCTCGCAGATTGCACACGAATCACAGGACTCGGAAAGCGTGCCTGCATTCGCAAAGCGACTACCTGCTGCGGTACCACAAACTGATTCAGACTCCAAACCTCCACCCGTGGAAAAGCCAAATGCACCCCTTCCACATATTCCACCTGGCGAGCCGTCACCTCCTCCGCCGACACCCCCGCCAAAAAGCACTCCTTCGCCAAAATTCGATCCTCCGCCACCAGCAGCACTGCCCAAACATATGACCAGCACTTCGTCTCGTTTCAGCTTCCAAATGGGAGGCTCCGGCTCCTCAGCCCAGGAGAAATTGCTCGAAGAGAAACATAAGCAACACGAGGCTACGAGGAAGACCGATTCACCTGATGTGGACGAAGAGGATGACTACGCCAACTACGACTTTGATGCTGACGATGGCTTCGAGGAAAAGATCCCCGGCGTCAATGCGGATTATGACGAACACGATGCCTTTGGTGACGACATCCCTGAAGGAAATGCACTGGTTGCTCGTTACGACGATCCTGCTCCCGATGTGTCCATATGCAGCACTTCGCCCCACGTTCCGCCGCCCATCAAAACTCAGCATACCGATCTGCAAAGGGCTTCCTTCCAAGGGTTTCACTTTACGCCACAGTCGCTGACTTTTAGCCCAACAAGCACCAACAATGCCTCTCAACCTACGCCCCGTGACAACGAGGGATTTCCAATCGGAATCGCAAACTCCAGAGAGTCTTCCCAGCATGGCAACCCCGAGAGAACCGACAAAGATACAATGGACGATGGCCAGGTTGCGATGTTGGGAGGCCTCGGCATTTCTACAGCTGAAGTCCGCGGCCGACGAACCTCGTATACGACGCGTCCACAAGGTCAAATCTTCCACGACGACGACCTATACTTTGATGATGGCGAGTTCGGCGACTTCGACGCCGACATGACCCCCGGCGAGTTTGACGAGGCAATTTTCGACGACGACACGGGCAGAATACGCGACATCCCCGCCGAAAATGCACTCAGATTCGAGGCAGCTCGGGAATCAACGACTCTCGAAGCCGAAGCCCAGTCCAACAATTCCTTGGACGATGACGCTCACGCAAGGTCTTCTGGTGACTATGGAAGTCAGACAAACGCTCCTCGGGCATCTCTTGATCCCCATCACACCGATTCAAATTATCCAGCGCAGAAAAGTAACGTTTCTGGTCTCACGGAGACGAATCTCGCGGCTTATCACGACGCGTTGGCTTTGGCGGCCAACCAGGCGGCTGCAGAGGGCAAATTCGACCGCAAAGTGAGTTTTGGCCAGAATTCCGACGACACGTCTGATCCACCAAGTCAGAGGAGAGTGATCTCGGACGATAGTCGCCTTAGTTACAATTTTAACTCTGCCATTGCTGAAGACGACGGCTTCCCCTTTGACGATGATCTCGACGATGACCCTATGATTGCCGAGGCCAATGCGGAGGCGCTTGAGAATGATGATGAAGGATTCTATGGACGCGAGTTTGGCTTCTATGCTCGGTCCTATAGTAAAGGAGGTACGGATCTTGTTAATGGCGGATACTTTGCAGAACGTGGTTCGAATGGCATCAAGCGAAGTCACAGCGGCAAAGCGAACTTCCAAGAACCCAGTTTGACGCCAATCACTGAGAGAAGCGAATGGAGCACGAGGAACTCGGTCGCATCCTTGCAAATACCCGGTGGCTTGCCAGCTTCGGCACAGTCTCTCCCCAGCCCAGGAATTGCCCAATTACTTGAACTTGATTCGCCCGCCTATGACGAAGACATGAGCTTCAGTGCACTTTTGAAACTCCGCGGAAGGACGTTTGGGGGTAGCTCCTCAAGTGTCAGTAGCTCAGCAGCCGGCCACCCTTTGAGTTCACCGTTGGCTCACTACTCCAACCCTCCGTTCCCGCCCGGAGACTTTGGCTCGAGAATGTCAGCATCGATTAACGGTCGATCGCCATCTGCCGACATTCCTGAATCGGAAGAAGAAGACGACGAGAACGAAAGGCCGACTTTGACGCAGAACACTCCTAGAAAGAAGACTGTGGATCACCATCAGGTCATGACATCTCAAGAGGAAATGCCGGCGTCTCCCGGATGGCTGAGTAGCGAGCGGCGCAAGGGACACCACAGCCGGACCAGCAGCGGAGCCGACAGCGTGACATATTCGCGCGATACGGATGGACGATGGGTATTGGAAAGGAGGAGGACCGATGAAGAGAGTGGAATTGAAGAGATTGTCGATCGCGAAGTGTTGGCGGGAGCACGAATTTGATCAAGAGATGGACATGGATGCTTTTGCTCGTAGGAAACGAGTTAGGGGTCTTGTTGGCTGAGAGAATAACACACGAATCAAATATATGACCAACTACATGTGGCAGAGAAGAAGTGGTGGTCTTTTGTCTGTTTTGTCCTTCTTTTGTGGTGTTTAGACGGCGAGAAAGAGAAAAGCTTTTGAGAGAGGGGCCCCTTTTCACATACACGACCATTTTGGTTTACATCAGATACCTCTACGCATAGGTAGGTAGTATATACCTAGTCAGTTTCATGATACCCTTGTGGCTTTGCACCAGAAGAAACAGTTTGGCGAAAAGTACCTACTTGTAGGTAGGTAGTAGTTTGACTTAAGAAGGCCTTTTTTATTAGGACTAGTTTTCTTGACCTTATAGGCTTTCACGCCTAATAGAATAGTCACCCATGCCCATAAACCCTCCCTGGTACCACCCAAACGCTTGGTGACGTTATAGGCGCCACTCCTCTACCTCTTTGGAGCCTAATTTGCTCCCTTGTAGGCTAGGCCTCCACCCCCCGTAAGACGCCGCCCCCTGACAATTTGACACATTCACACGGCATCCCTCTCGCCCTCACACGCAACAACAAGAACAACGAGAGGACTCGACGATGGTGACGACGATGACAGCCAACACCAGAGGCCGCGAATTGTTCGTGGACGAGGAAGGCGAGGAGGGGACGTCCAGATCGGCCACCTTTGAGGACGTCTCAATGACGACCAACTAAATTCTGTCGGACGGTTCCAACGTGAGTGAACCTTTGTCAATGTTTGTCGCGACGACCAATTTTGGCCCTGGAGACCGTGTTGAGGTGCGACAAGCGAGGTACCGTGATTTGAAAAAAAAAGATATGCAAACTACTGTAGAGAAGAATTCTATCATCTAGATAAATGTAAAATCCTCCCACTACGGTGGTGAGGTCGTTTTCTGCTCGGCATCACAGGAGGCATAACCCTAAGCTCGCGTACACAGGCACCACGGGCATCACAGAAAAAGAATACCCGGGGCGTTGATCGTACTCCGGTACGGGTGGACAGGGATGGACAGAGTCACTCACCTACCCACCCAAGGTACTCGTTCACCTCGGGGTGAGGTAGGATTGAATAGCTCGGTCGCGTAACGCAGAGAGAGGTACGCCGCACTCCGTACGGGGTGCTCGAAAGGGAGCCGTCCCGGATGCCACACCGTACCCACCCAAAGGTACCTAGGTACTTGCGTATCTAACCAGCGGTCGTGGCGTGGAGGACTACCGATCACGAGTGAGGGAACCACTCCTGGTCGCAGTTGGGTGCACCCCTGACCCGAGTGGCCAAATCAGTCAAAGAATGTCGCCGGATTTTCAACCATTCTCTGATCATCATCCCGTAGCTTTCTGGGTTGACTTGTCGGCTTCACTTTGGAGGATTTCGGCCACCGCGAGTACTTTCTCTTCGTCGAACCTCCTTCCGATGATCTGCACCCCGACCGGGAGACCGTCCATGGACGCGAGATCGTACAGTCGGCGGTTGTAGGCGTTGAACGGATTAGAAAGCCCGGCCGAACGGTCTCGGTCTGTCGTCGATGTCGCGTTGACGTCGTGCGAGTCGAGATGTTTCGAGACAATGGTCCATGGAAATGACAATGCCGTGTAGTCCAGGAAGTTCCAAACCTTGGTGTACCCCGTGTATCTGTGCCGATTGAACTTCGGTCAACGCCCCGGGACATCGACGACGTAACAAAAAGCGCACACCCCCGGGAGAAGACACTTACCGAAAACATCCATGTGGCAACGCAGCGTGTCCCGCCACCGGGCTCAACAAGACATCGACGCCCGCGTCGTCCCACTTTGTGTTGTACGTCTGCTGGGCTCGTACTTTGGCCCTGTTCAGCTGCCAGTAGTCGTACACGGAGATGGGCTTGCTGCTGGCGACCAGGGCTTCGACGTGCGGCAGCATGGGTTCGCCCGCGCCGGCGATTTCGCGGCGAATGTCTTCCCCCCCGTCGGCCCTGTAGAATTGATCCTGTGACTGCGTGTGAGGACCGGCCGCAACGGCGTGACGACACTTGTCGACGGCGACGACGAGACTCACCTGGATCTCTATGAAAGACATGTGCTCGGACGTATCCCACGGGACGATCTCGTGCCCGGCCTTTCGGAGGAGAGCGGCCGCTTCTCGCACGGCGCGTTGTACGGGCGGATGGGGCTCGACGATTCCATCGTCGACGATCAGTCCGATTCTCAGACGCCGATTCAGAACTTCCTGGTAGATGGCTTCACGCCACGGCATCGGGACAACCTTTGGATCTTGAAGCCACGCTTGCGAATTCAAAACTGCCCTCGTGACGGCCACCAGCGATGAAAGTCGCTTGGCCATGGGTCCCACCGAGGAGGGCACATGTTCTTGCCCTTCATGAGGTCCTGGAACCCCGCGGTGTGAAAACCGACTGCTCTGCGACCCTGTTAGCAAATTTTTTACCCCGTGCCTTGTCGGTAGCGGGGCTTTCTACCGTCGGCTTCAAGCCAAAGAGCCCGTTGAAGTGACTGGGGCCTCGAACCGATCCGCCAATGTCGGTACCCCATCCACAAAGTGATCCGTCCAGACTCAAGAGAGCGGCTTCACCTCCAGACGACCCCCCGGCGGTGAAATCTGGCCTGTCTGGCAGCGTCGTCAGACCCCACATTGGATTTTCAGTCTCACCCCACTGGTGTACCCGGTCAGCAGGATAAACCTAGCAGGCCGGGGATGATGTGCCTACCAATATGGTCTGCGGTACATTGGTCTTGGTGATGATCACCGCGCCCAAGTCCTTGAGGACTTTCGTCATCGGCGCGTCCTCGGAGGCAGGCCGAAATGCTCGACCGACGTAACCAAATGTCGTGTCCACACCTGCAATGTCGAATTGGTCCTTCAGAGACATGGGTATACCATGGAGCGGTCCCACAAGCTTCCCGGTCTTTCTGTAATACTGATCGAGTTCTCGCGCGCGTTCCACGGCGCTCTCGAAAAGAGGCTCGGTCAAACAATTGGTCTTGCCGAAGGTGAGTTGGACAGATTTCCATTTTGTTTTTTGGTGACGAAACTCACTTTTTCATGTGCTTCAATCGCCCTGGTGCGTGAGCTGAGTATCAGCGGCATGCACAGGCCCAAAAAGCAAAGATTCTCGAGAGGACAACTTACTGTAGAATGACGGCCACAACGACATCCTCGACAGAGACCTCGCCAGTCGCATACATCTTTGTCAATGCCGGGACTTCGACATGGCCTACAAGCTTTCCAGCAATCGTTGTCCTCCTTTTGTGTGCCCCATTGATAAGTCGTCGGAATGCGTGGATACATTGCTCCCTCTGGGTGCGTTTTCTCTGAGCGACCTCTTCCCAAGCCATGGCTCAATCGAAGTAGAGATACACTTGAGGCCACGGATTAGATGGAATCATGCTGGGAGATAGACCACGCCAAAGAGTTACCGCAAAGGGCTCTCACTCGAAACTGCGGGGGGTCTGTTCGGCGATAAATCACCGAGGTGGCAACCCGGCACTGATTGCACTATGTGAGCGCGCTCCAGTTAGCCATGACTGACCCGATAACGCTTCAACGGAACTCGCCAGTATCTGTCCCGGCTCATCGCCTCGCAGTGCAGGCAGAGCGCCTTGACCGGTGACAGGTGTGCCTTTACTCATCTAGAGTTTCTGCAAATTGAACTGTGGCCATCAGATTTGGCCAGACGGGTAGTGCTGGACGGTTGGTAGGGATTTGCAGGCGCAATGGAGGATGTATTTACTCCGGGGTTCGGCATCAACGTCTTTGTCGTGATTTGTGAGGCCTCAAAGAATGTATTTCCATGGTGTTTGTTCGCATCAGAAAAAGGTGCGTGCCCTGGTTGAGTGCTGTGACAGCCTCGAGATTCTAGGTCTAGGAAAAAGGATCGGAGATACTTCTTTCCGACTGCTACAGTGGCTCATATGCTTCTGCGTACAATACACAGAAGCGGCATGGCCCTCTCTTCACTTGTATTGTCGTTAACTGGTCAATCTAATTACCTTCATGCCGCTACCATCGGAGCCTCTCTTTCCACTGACGCCCTTCTCCTTCCTGTGTTGCCTACCTGGTTCTCTGTCCATCAACCTGGCAAACCAGCACCGCCTCCAGTCATGACAAATGGGGTCTTGAGGGCCTGTACACGCTGTCACGCGAAGAAGATCAAGGTTAGTGACTTGGCAAATCGATCTCTTACACAACTGACTCGCATTCAGTGTGATGGGACTTTGAATTGCAAGAATTGTTCCGATGCTGGCGCACCTTGTGAGCCATATACCAGGCTTAGACGAATCGAGTAGGTGGTAAATGCGATTGGGTGGATAGCCGTTCTCATTCTCTGGCAGATTACACAAAGACACACAGGCAAGGTTGACCTGGCTTGAGGACGAATTAGCCTCAATTTTTAATGTCGATTGCCATCTTGTCAAGACCGGGACGCCATTGGAACCGCTTATCAAAAATTCAAACACGAACAGTGCGGCGTTTCACTGCCCAGCGGCTCAAGGTGATGGGCAAGAGCAAACTCCAGAGATCATTGCTCCGGCGATCCATCATACTGAGCAGCAAAATGATGGCGCTGGCCATAATTCTCTAAACATGGACGCGCCTGAAACAGGATTGCTCGCTCTCAACGCTACGGGCGAGTTGCGCTATCTAGGCCCGTCCTCTGGCTCGTTCTTTGCCACCTACGCGGCATCATTGGCTCGATCATGTGTGCCGAGCCAGAATGTTCGAAGTCATGCTTCAAGTACCACGGATAATCAGATTAGTCCCGAGAGAACGGCCACTGTGGCCAACGTACATCACATACTTTCTTCTGAAGCGATTCGACTTCTGACTCACTCCTTTCGGATCTGGACGTTACCGCTTTACCCGCTCTTCAGCTACAAAGATCTCGACAGTCTCGTCGCGAGATGCGGGAGCCTGCAGACGACTCCTCGAACAGAAAACACAGAACAAAGCCGTGATCTTATTATCTTTTATCTAGTCATGGCGTTAGGATCTATAAACGCCTCCAACACCATTAGACAGCGCTCGGATGCATTATCAAAACCGACTCACACCGTTCCATCGGCCAGTCTTCTCTATGCAAAAGCACTCGAGCTGTTCGAACACGATGTACAACACCTCCGTCCCAGCGTATCCTTGATTCAGATACTCCTGTTGATTTCTATATATAGCTCTTACGGGCCGAGCGGTTTCAGTCAATGGCAGTTGGCAGGCTTAGCAATGCGGGCAAGTATTGGCCTTCGGCGGCCAGGCACTGTGGCTATGCTTTGATGAGGAGCTGACTGTGGATTAGATGACTCTGGAACTTGGCCTCCATTGTTTCCATCATAAGTGGCAAATGCCAGATCATGACAGCGACAGGCGGAATCGTGTATTTTGGACAGTGTACATTATCGAGATTTCGCTGGCCTACAACCTCGGAAGACCACCAAGCATAGTAAACGATCACATCACTGCACCTCTGCCAGCCTCTACGGACGAGAGCGTCCTCGCCCTGCACCATGTCAGACACAGGCAGATCCAGAACAAAGTCATAGCCTCAGTCTACTGTACAAATCCGCCCAAATCACTTTCTTCGGAAGATGGAGCTCGCATTATTCAGGACCTACAGGCAGAGTTGGATGATTGGAGGACGCGACTTGGGCAGCTATGCCAACAGGAACAAAGATCTGCTTATCCGCTCTGGTAGTTCCATACGCACCCTCGAGTTGAAGGAGGACAATTACTGACTTTGAGGCAGCTATTGGGAAAGATTGTATCACGGGACCTCGTTTGTGTTGCATCGGTCTAGTCCTTTGTGTCCGCGACCTTCTTCAGAATCTGCTGCACGCTGTATCCGTTCGGCCGGAACTTATGTCGACAATTTGCTGACCGTGTTACGCACCAGTAACGTCCCATTGACATGGATGCTTGTTCAAGGTGTCCTTTTTGCCGGTCTGACGATGCTTGTGACTGCAAGAACAACAGCCTCGGAACTAGTTCAACGCCTTGATGCGACCCTTTGGTTGGCAGACTTTGCCAACTGGACGAGGAAATGCTCTATGTGCATAGCAATAATGAACGAGCGATGGAGTGAAGATTTGCTATCGAGGCTGGATGCACAGTTCGAGGCACTGGCGAGCGATACACTCACGATGGTTGCAGCGAGCCTCACGAGCAGGAATGAAAGCGCAGGGGCTCTCGAAACATGTGTGCCAATATCGGATCCCACTACCAATATGGCGGCACCCACGTCGGAAGCAATAAGTCCTCCAGCTTGGCCTGGTGACGCAAGCCCTACTTATATGGACTTGCCAATGTCCACCGATCTGGGCTCGCTGGATCCCTTCGGCGACCTCCTGGGCTTTGACAACGGCCAAGCGTTTTGGAACTTCTTCCCCTCTCAGTCTGGCTTCGATGTTCTAGATGCATTGGTCTCTGAGCAGTCCCAAAGGCAGGACTTTCACGCGCATATACATTCCGAGCCTCAGACTTGGGCCGACATGCTTCCATAATCACGATTTTTGAACGTGCTCAATTTGCCCAAAGACGTCAAATCGATCGGTCAAGAACTAGTTGGAAAGATTGTCTCCTATCGGCTTCCTGGTTTCAGCGGGGTTATACCGGGATGGCTTTCAGCTTCGCAACGGCCGCCTGGATCATTGATATGGCATCGTCCAAGAGCGGCAACTCGATGCGAGACTCGGGGTCCAAAGCCTTGTTAAGCAGTCCATATCCATTCGCGTACCGGTCCTCTTTGCTCTGGAAATACAAGTAACTTGTTGCCATTCTCAGGCGATAGCGTCCTCCAGATAGCCCGCGATCATCCTCTCCAAAAGCAGAGCCTGGCAAAGTCGCGATGCCGAACTCTTGGATCAACCAGCGAGACAGGTCAAGACTTGTTTTCACGCCCAATTGCTCTAGCTGGGCCGTGTAGGGATGGAATGACGGATATAGATAGAAGCTTCCCTTCGGCTCGGCAATTGCAAGGCCGGATTCCCGCAGGGCATGAAACAGTGTTGTTGTACAACGCCGATGCAGCTCCACGACTTGTTTGCGGTAGAGATCCATTTCCGGTGATGTCGAAAAGGCGACGGCTGCGGCCTCCTGCGCCGGCGCGGATGCTGCAGACCAACATTCGGACGCATACGCAAGGATGCTTTGCTGGACGGTGGCGCCGAATTCATTGTCGGGGAAGATTGCAAAGCCTATTCTCCATCCCCCAGCGGAGTATGTCTAACAGCGAGCACGCATTGTGGTCAGCAGAATGGACTGGGGAAATTAGGGCGCGAAGCTCACCTTCGACAGTCCTCCTGTCAATATCTTTCTTCCTTCGTTGAAGGCGGCACCTGAACATGCACTAGCAGAGTACTCGCTGTTGAAACAGATGTCGGCGTAGATGTCGTCACTGATCAGTGTTATGCCGTGGTTCTCACAAAAATCCGCCATCAACTCTAGGTTGTCTTTGGTGAAAGCCTGCCCAGTAGGGTTTGAGGGGCTATTTATGAGCATGACTCGTGGATTGGCGCCGGCATGAACCGCTCTATCGAATGCCGACTGCAACGCAGGAACTAGGGAGAGCGTGAGAAGAGCGACGGTCGTTACATCCATGGTCTACTCACACGAGATGGCATGTCGGTCTTGTTCGTCTGTTTCGACCCAAAACAGCTTCTTCCCGGCGTGCATAACTTGCGGTTCGTAGCTTACCCAGGACGGTCGAGGAAGAAGGACGTCTCCGTGAAGGATGTCGAATAATGCGAACAACAGTGGTTTCGAACCCGGGGCCACCACGACCTGATCTGGCCGGATAGCGACACCAAGGCGTCGCGCTTGGTGGCGGGCAATAGACTATTACGAATGTGCGTTAGTAACTAGTTCGTGGTATGATACTGACGCACGGTCAGATGCCACCAACCTCTCTGAGCTTCATTAAGCCGGCGACAGGCTGGTAGCTCGTCTCCTCGCTAGCCTCCCGGTGTGCTTTGAGGACATGCTCGGCAATGGGAAATGTTGCCTCTCCAAAGCCCAGGTGAACAACTCGATGGCCTTCCGCTTGTTTCTTATGGACAAGCTCGTTAATCTGTAGGGTGGGCGACAGGCAGAGCTGCTGTGCCAAAAAGGTCAGGGGATTTTTGTTCGAGTCAAGCGAACCCATGGTGAGTGATTGGCGTGGGTTGATGCTGATAAGACCGTTGATAGGGGAGGTGACAAGATCGGACCAGGAGCAGCCAAGCGCTCCTATATCCGTTTTCCCTTTGTGAGACGATGCGAAGAAACCCTCGAGGCACCGGCGATTTTTTGCCAGACTCGATGGAGTGACTACTAGGAACATACAATGAAAGGATGGGGGGCTCGCCGGGAATTTATCGCCGTGATCTGCAATAACTGGGACTATCCAGATCACCTCATTCTTATCCTGAACAGACCAAGAGCAATGGAAAGAAGATATGAAAACCCTTCGAGTATCCTTCTTTGAAATTTGAAACAGCCAACCCCTTGCAAACATCGCCACCACGCCCGCTAGAATGGAATCTAAAATGGAACTTGCCACCGATGCCAAGGATGCTGCCACTATCACTCCGGCCAGGGATGAGATGCCGCTTCAGCAAGGTGACCTCAAATCAGCCGCTGGTGACGACGAGGACGTTGGCCTTCGTATTATCCATGAAGCTGGCAATGCCATTAATGCTAGCGTTGATCCGGCCGTCACGCGACGTACCTTGCGCAAGATAGACACTTGGGTGCTCCCTCTCCTGGCGTGAGTTGTCCACCAATTTGTGCAACGATCGAGTGTTGAGTTGCGTGTTTCAATTACTTTGACGACTTCTGACGCCCGCTACAGTCTTACAACGATGCTCCAGTTCTTGGACAAATCGACCTTAGGATACGCAGCCATCTTTGGACTTATCGAGGACACCGTAAGCCCCCTGTTATCCACGGCTCTAGATACCCAGTTACTAACAGAGGCTTCTAGAACCTTCACGGAACCGAGTATTCATGGTTGGGCAGTATATTCTACTTTGGTACCTATCTCCGGCACCGTGGATTATCGTCTCTGTACTGATGCTCCAGGCTACATGATAACTCAACCGTTCGCTGCCCACCTGTTGCAGAAATTCGCTGCCGCAAAATGCCTTGCGGCCAGTGTGTACGTTACATCGATGGTACCCTAGTCAGTCAGGTTCAGCACATACTTATCACCTTTCGCGATAGATTGCTCTGGGGAGTTATCCTGTTCATGCATGTGGTGTGCAACAACTGGGCCAAGCTCATGGTTGTTCGCTTCTTCCTGGGCATGGCAGAAGCAATGTAAGCAGGTGCTCCTTGTCGGGAAGGTCGAGATCCATGTGGCTAATTCATGATGATCAAAACTCCAGTGTCACTCCAGCTTTCATCCTAATCAGCGGCGCTTGGTATGCCAGACAAGACCAGCCGCTACGGATGGGCTTCTGGTTCTCCTTCAACGGCGTTGCCCAGATCGTGGGAGGTTTGTTGTCGTACGGGTTGGGACACATACACGTGGGGATCGCGTCTTGGAAGTGGATGTTCCTAGTCACTGGAGCCATCTCGGTGCTGTGGGCGATTGTGCTGTGGTTCATGTTGCCGGACAACCAAGGCACGGCATGGTTTTTGAACGACGAAGAAAAGTATGCCTCGATCGAGATGGTCCGTCAGAACCACACCGGCATTCACAATACCAAATTCCGCCGCGAGCAGCTTGTCGAAGCTCTATGCGACTTCAAGACATGGGCCTTTTTCTGGATGGCTCTGATTTGGAATGTTCCTAATTCCATAGCGACTGTAAGTTTTTTGTTTGGGATCGTCGATGCTATGCATATGTCAGAAAGTTATCGCTGACCGTGGTATCAGTTTGGCAGTCTTGTTATCAAAAACTTTGACTACGGCGTGCTCGAGACGACATTGGTGAGTGTCAAAATATCAGGTTTGCCAAAGTCATTACCACTGACAGTTTCCGTGTTCAGCTTGGGATGCCCGCCGGAGCTCTCGAATTCGTCCTCATGTTGATAATTACCTGGGTATGCCTCAAGGTCGCAAATACCCGGACATGGTGCATGATCACTGCCCTGACCATCGCCCTTGTCGGGTCGATCATGGTCTTTGCGGCTCCTTACCACAACAAGGCCGCTCTGCTGGCTGGATACTACATGGTAAGTGTTGACTACTTCCGTTCTTGTTAGAGCCCGAATGCTGACAATGATTGTCCCAATGACCCAGATTTATGCTTTTCCCACAGGTTACATTTTACTTTTATCCATGATCTCTGCCAACACTGCCGGCCACACGAAGAAAGTGGTCACAAACTCGATGGCTATGATTGGCTATAGCACTGGAAAGTGAGTTTCTTTTCCTCTTACCCCTTGCCGCAGTTCTATTACCCTTGATACGTGGACGTGACTGACCAATACTTCTAGCATCATTGGACCACAGTTCTTCAAGCCATCCCAACAACCTCGCTACGGTGAGTATCTCTTCCTACGCCATGGGCTTGCCGCGCCTTTGAATACTGACCAAAGCTTTAGGCCTTGGGATTGGAGCTTGTCTGGTTTCTTTTGCCATACTGATCGTCATGCTCATTGGAGTTCGTATTTATCTGGTTTTCCAGAACAAGCGCCGCGATATTACGAGACAGCAAATTCACGGGCAGGTTGAGGATCATACGACGACCGAATTCGACTTCAAAAATTTGACGGACAAGCAAAACCCGCTCTTCGTTTATGCCTACTAGGATTGGCATTCCCGGGAGAGGAGTTAGTTGCCAGGGCAGAAGAATGTTCGGTCATGTACATTAAGAGTCTGGCACGTCGAATAATTACTTTGAGCGCCGTGTCGGCTGAAGCAGATGATGTACTATCAAGCTTGAGTACGGACAAAGGATTTATCGGTCCTTCGACAGGCAATAATTGCAGAAATGGGCAGAGGAATGGAGGGTTTTTTCGTCTCTACTCTGGCACTTAGAGCTGTATTCCTGTAAAGTCGACATGATGGCCTCGATGGCCCTTCCATGTTCAGGTCGACCCTGAGGCATTCCCAATACTACTATCCAGATACAAAATGCGTTGTACGTCGAATCAAGAAAAGGTCATCGCCGATTCCATGACTCGATTTATCTGCAACATCGCCCTTTATCCTTGGATGTTCTCCTTATAACAGCAGCAGCATCCTACAAGCATCAGGTCTGCAGCATTACGGACGCCTAGTAAGTAGTGACACTATAGTACTCTCTTAGCGGCATTCATACCTACGGATCAGGCGCCGAACTTGTAATTCGGCACTCGAACCGCGCGGCTCATACCTCCTCCAATTGTGGATTTGATGATAGGCAATTCGGCGCCGCAACGCCGAAGAGACTGGTCGATGCCAACCTCACACATTCGGCTCAATTCCTTGATATAATCAAGGCATTATGCCGAGTACCACAGAGAGGGAAAATAGGATCATTGTGGGACTAGTTCTGTGCGCCGACGACCTCGACGACAACGACGCCCGTCCAGGAATCAGAATTCTCAAAGAGCCGCGAAGGTGCATTCATACCAGCTGACCCGATAGACAGCTTCTTCTGCATCAACATGGGACTACAAGAGTACCAAAAGATTGCCGACGAAACTATCACGATCGCGTCTCCCGAGCTGAGGGATATAAATTGGGATGTAAGTCGGTCTCAGGATAACAGCATACAATCTTTGTCGGTCGCTGGTGTGGCCATGTCCGTTGCGGTTTCATCCCACGATCACGTCCCAACCTGATGCTTCTGGACGCGACGAACTGACGCTCGACAACACCCAGATACATTCGCACCCCGAGGTTTTATTTCAAGAGCGTCATGCCCACAAGGTGCTGAGTGATTTCCTCGAGCAGCGAGGCTTTGAAGTTCACCGCGGTGCCTTTGGGCTCGAGACGGCCTTCAAAGCCACGTATGGTCCCGAAGGGGCTCGCGCCGTGGCGATTAATCTCGAGTACGTTACAGCCAGACATTCCCCGGTCTACCGAGGGGATTTTGTGCTCCCAATTCATGTGGCTTACGGACCTTTTCGACCAGGTACGATGCACTGGAGCACATTGGACACGCCTGCGGCCACAATCTGATCGCCACGGCGGGGCTGGCGGCTGCCATTGGGACGGCCGAGGCCATCAAGCAGGGCTCGATCAACGGCCGCATCGTCGCCATCGGCACACCGGCAGAAGAGGGAGGTGGGGGGAAAATCAAAATGATTCGCCAAGGAGCCTACGAAGACGTGTTTTGCTGTTTGATGGTCCATCCCATGTGAGTTCAGAGCCGGAAACATGGCAGAAGTTGTCTTCCGTGACTGCTCGTGGGTTGTCAGGGACTGACTGGGGACGGGCGTAGGAACAAGGACAACGCATACGTGTCTTCGATGTGCGGGTCCGAATTGACCATCGAATATATCGGCAAGCCCGCGCACGCGATGGTGGCTCCGTGGGACGGCATCAACGCACTCGACGCCGTGACCCTGCTACAGACCAGCATCGGCCTGCTTCGACAGCAGATCATGCCCTCGGACCGCATCAGGGGCGTCGTGCTCCAGGCCGGCCAGCGCTCGGGCGTGATCCCGGCCTACGCCAAAGCACGCTACTGTGTCCGGTCTGCCAGTCTGGAGAGGTATCGTGTCCTGAAGCGGAAGTTTATCAATTGCATGGAGGCCGCGGCGCTGGCGACCGGCTGCGAGCTGAAGACGGACTGGCTCCCTGCGTACTGGGACATCCGGACCAACGAAGCGTGAGACTTTGACATCCTCGGTTTTTTTTCCCTTGAGCCCCTCCGAGGAGGTTACCCCCCTTTAGGGAGCTTGACAGCTGACTTCGGTCCCCAAATTAGACTCGCAGGCAAGTTCGTCGAGCACATGGAACGTCAGGGCGTGGCGTTCCGCCCCGCCTACGAGCAGAAGATGGACCGCGAGTGCTTCAGTACCGACATGGGCAACGTGACCTACGTCGTTCCCAGCATCCACCCCACGTTCGAGGTACGTTTGTTTTTCTCGTGTCCGCGTCGTCAAGACAAAGACAGGCTTTTTCCCCTGACCCGGCGCAGATCGTCAGCCCCGGAGGCTCCATACACACGGCAGACTACGCCGCCGCGGTGCGAACGCAGGACGCGCACGATCGGACGCTCAGGTGTGGCAGGGCCATGGCTTCGACGGCGCTGCAGGTGCTGGCGGACGACGACTTTGCCGCCGCGGTGAGACGGGAGTTTGACGCCCAGGACTGGTCCATTGCCGCCGATCCGGCCGTGGCGTAAATCTTTCATTGCACGAGTGTATATAGCATAACTCTATCATGTGTCACGTTTCGCTCCGCTCCAGATGTGCACTACACGTATGGGTATCGTGGCGGGTAGAAAGAGTAGGAGAGACGACGTCGACGTGAGAGCCTCGGTACGGAGAGGATCAATGGTACCCGTGCGGGATGGCTTTTTCTCCGGGCGTGCGGCGGACAAGATCGCGGGACAGATGACGATCTGGCGCCAGAAAATCCTTCCACGTCAAAAGAAAATAGCGAAGACTTCTACAACAATAACCAAGGGTCGACAAATCCAAGTGACCCCCAGGCAAAAGACATTCCCCCGGGGATCTGTTGGATTGATGGCACACAGAACAAAGGACCTGGAGTGGTCGTAGAACCTGGCGCTTGTCGTACTGCGTCACCATCTCGGCAAACCGTGGCCCAAGTCATCGACAGGGCGTGGGCTTCTCGTCCCTCGAAACCTCGTCAAATTTTCCATTTTCTTGATCCAAACATCTCTTTCCGTCAGTCGACCCTGCGATCTGAGGCGTGGGATGACAATATTCGACCATTCTACAGAATTCAACGCTTCCACGTCGTGACGGTGTGAAAATGATCAACCAGGTGTTGAGCAACTTCGAGGTCACGGCGGTCGTGCTGACGATCCTCAGGCATGCCTTGATCGGCGGCCTGATCTTCATCATCGTACTATCTGGCAACGTTTACCTGTCCCGTAGGGAGCTCAGGCATCTACGACGCCTAGGAGTGCCGCCTAGGGAGAAGAGCAACCTCGCGGACCAATTCGACGCGAGATACGAAAAGGAAGAAGGCGCACCGCAGAACGAACCGATCGTCGTGAAGGCACTCCACGTCTATCCCGTCAAGTCGTGCGCACCCATCGAACTGGAGCGCGCCCTGCTCACCAAGACCGGCTTTGCGTACGACAGGTGCTTCGCCCTCGCCGTGGAGGCCACTCAAGGGGGCGAGTGGCAATTCATCAGCCAGCGCACGAAGCCACGAATGTCCCTCGTCAGGCAAGAACTGTGGCTCCCCGACGACCGGAGCAGCAAAGACGACCAGCTGGTGCAGGCGGGCGGCTGTCTCGTCGTGAGCTTTCCTGACCCCGACGCTCCCGGCAGTACGATCGGGCGCGTGAAGGCCGTGATCGAGGCGCGGTCATTGTCCGCAACCCCACACGTCCGCTTCATTGTCCCATTGCATCCATCGAACGGTCCACCGGCCGGTCGTCAACCAGGTCCACCGTTGAAGTCGTTCACGATCCACAGTCGCCAGGCGTCAGGTCTCGATTTCGGACAACTGCCGACGGTGGTTGCGGCACTCCCCAAGCTCAAGAGATTCCTCAAGATCCCGGAACGTCAGAGGTTCACCATCATGAGGTGTACGCCAGACACCTTGGTCCGTACTACCAGGAATCTCGCACCCCTGGACTACATCGGCACGCCCGCGGTCCACGGGTACACGGATCAACAGCCTGTGCACATCGTCAATCTGCCTTCGGTGCATGCCACTTCCAAGCTGCTACCACGAGAGAACCAGCCTCTCAATGCGCTACGATTCCGCGCAAACATCTACTGCGCAGGCGCCCCTGCATTCTCGGAGGAAACGTGGAAGCGGTACAGGATCATACCCAAACCCGTAGCGTCAAGACGTAGAGCGCAGGTTGCTCCTTTGTTCTCCGTGGTCTGCCGTACGTCCAGGTGCACGATGCCCAACGTCATCCCCGAAAAGGGCGTCTTCGAGGAAGATACCCCTCGTCCAGACAAGAAGAAAGGGAAACCTCAGCCGAGCACGACGTTGGTGAGCCATCGGACCGTGGAGAATGGCAACGCGGCGGCACTTGGGTACCTAGGCATGCATTGCGTGCCGGAAGACTCAACGTTGAAAGAGGCTGTTGAGCGGGGTGGTGCCGGGTTGTACATAGAAGTCGGTGACGAGATTGACATTCTCGAGACAGGAACTCACCTCTACGGCTCGACAGGCGATGATTATTGAGGATGTTGGGAGAATTTGCAAATCTTGCCTCTCGTCGAGTTTAACCCCGGCTGACGTCCCACAACCCCCAAAGACTCCTGTTGTGAGATAGATGATCGGCACGTTTGTCTGACCGTAGATATGCCGCATTTAGGGCTTTTTGTCTCCGTGGGGCTGTTCAGGTGCAGCACCGGCTCTGAATCAGCAGCATTGAGATGTATGGTGATTGGTGAAATCGCATGGTCGTAGCCAGTGACGGCAAAGCTGTACAGTAGATCTCCTGTGGCATCAGAACCGCACTCCATTAATGTGATCCCGAACGGCCAGCTCGACGTCGAACTCGGAACTTCGGAACGTGTCCATCCAGTCGGTGATGATGGGTTGGCTTAGCAGCCACTCGGAACCAGGCCTTCCCGGGCTTGCCGGGCTTCCCGGCGAAGTCGTATTGTCTCCATAGGCTTCAACGATCGGTTCCTGCATCGCCCCATGTTCATCAGTGGCCCATGCGGACTGCGAAAGTACCTCGTAGTCTCCAAGCACCGGATCATTCCTGTCGGGCGCGGGACCGAGCAAGAAGAGTTTGAAACCGCGCCCGTCCTTCTCGGTGAAAAGCAGGGGGATGACACGCGACCGAGGTGGACCGAGCCTGCCGAGCATGCTCGTGTGCAATGCCGCCGTGTTTGACACCGGTTCGAACGCGCGGACCACTGTCAACGCCGTCGCAAAGGCCGGGCCGTTGTACAAACCCTCGCGGCCGATGAGCTGGAGGCGTTCGATGATAAAGTCCCTCCACAGGTTACACGGACAGCATTGCGCGCAAAGGTAGAGCATGGCGCTGAAGCCGACCTCGAACGCCTCTCCAAACACCCACTGGTCTTGGCCACGGCCGTGGGCAGCGACCGCCGTGTCTGAATAATTGGACAACTGAATGACCTCGTTGACGTGAAAGTAGGCGGAAAGCTCGTACACCTCGTCGTCGGCATTGACACGGGACAGCGCCCACATCAGCCTCGCCATGCAGAAGTGATACAGCGCCGCTGTCAACGCCGACTGGTAGGTGTGTTGCGGCCGTTGCAACTGCGTACTCAAGAGCCCGTCGATGTCCCGCCGACTGAGTCCCGAGGGGTATTGCTGGGCGGCCGACTTCAGTGAAGGGTCATTGTACCTGCTCTTCCAATCCTCCACTTCAAGAAGGAAAGATTTGATCCGGTCCGATGGAATCTCCTCGAGGCTCTTGACGAAAGGACTCCATACCAGATCGGCGACGAACTCTTCCGCCGAGAAGACGTCCAGGAGTTGATGCATATACTCGGACAGGACAGATCCGTCCTTGTCTCGTCCGAGAAAGTGCGTTCGCCGTCTCTCGTCTGGGTGAAGCCTGCAGGAGTTCTCGGCGCCGAACAGGCCGATGGGGAGAGGAAGGACGACCCGGCAGACGAAACTCACATGCCGCAGGGCAGACTTGATCGGCAATAATGACTCGGTGTTCCCTTCTTCGAGGGACAGATTGAGGTAGAAGTACTTTCCGATGTGGTAGTGTCGAATGGCAGCGGGGATATTGCCATTGAAACACTAGTTCTCTGGTCAGAGTGAAGAACGGGCTCAGGTTATAAGACGGACAAAGGGTACCTCGAAATATACCAGCAGCAACAGAACTGCAACTCGGACATCCGGTGCGGGTGGCTCCGACTTCAGCTGTCTGGAGAAGCCCTCTATAGCCAAGGTGTATGTCTGTAACGCCGTCACCTTGGTGTCGGCACCTCTGCTCTGGGCGTTGTCCTCTGAACGTGCCAAGAGCAAGGACGCCCTGTGCAAGGAACCGAGAGCGATGATTGCGTCGTAGATACACTCGACCTCCCATGCTTCTTGGCAAAGCATGTCCCTCCAGAAAGGGAAATAGCAAGCCGGGAACAACACAGGAACTGTACGGAAAAGGTACTGGTGGTATGCCAATATATCTCGTGCCCTTGAGTGTGGCCGCTGTGTGGGCGTGGGGTTGTTCGGTAGAGCTATCAGGGGGAGCCCATCCCGTTCAAAGTGAGCGACCGGCTGGGCGGGAGAGCGTGTTGACGTAGTAGCACTGTCTGAAGGAGTCTGGTTCTGAGGAGATTCTCCCGGTGCACGCTGTCGAACGTCGATATATCGCATCTGCTCGTATCCGGCACAATGGATATTTGACGCCTCGCATCTCTCACACGTGGGTTTGCGCTCATCGCATTTGATGCGCCTTCACGACGTTAGTGAGCGGGCCTAGCTTTTGGCGAGAAACGCGTCAAGCCAGACGTGATCTGTCGGTCTCACGTACCTTTGGCGGCAGGTCAGGCAACCTGTTTTCCTTCTCTTGCGAACCCCAGACATGGTTTTGAATCCTCGGCGGTAGTTTATCTTGCACTCAGGATCTCTGACAAAAGGGAAATTCGAGTTCCAGACAAGTCGGGAGAAAGAATTCGAGTCTACAACTTTGTCATCATGGTCTCTTGGATTAGAGATGGTGGGAAGGAAAAAAGTCGCTGACTAAAAGCTTCAAATACTTGGAGATTCGCGTCTGTCAAAGTCACTGGCGCCTCGTCATTGGCGTCACGACTCGATAGTAAAAGATGTACTCGGTTGCTGACTAAAACGCCGATCGAATTCCTTTTAGTTGGTCTGATCTCTCGCTCGTCGGACATTCCTCGCTCTATCTCTGGGGGTTCCATTGCTATTGGTACCTGGACTGACAGATGCGAAGCAGCGATCGCTGACCTGACTTTTGCTAGGCTCTGAACGGGGGCATCGGAACCCTGTCAAGGCGAGTAACATGTGACTGCTCGGTTTGCTTCTAGAACTTTTCCAGTTCCCAACAGCCGAGGCGTAGGACTTTTTCCGTTCTGATAAGAGATATTGCTCCACGTTCATAGCTATCCAAGGGATTCAGCGTAGGGATAATTTTATCTCGCAGGTGTGGAGGGGTTGTCTGGCCATTATATATCCACTGGATAAAGTCACAAAGACTACAGACATTGTATAAGTGTGGATCCATATTCACTGGATACGGTCACAATGAATACCTGCAGAACTATCTTCACGGCAAGGCTCTTTTCACGGTGAAGACTGTGACTAGTTTGTTACTGCCCGACACTTCTTCTCAGGCTGCGTCTTGTCTCTAGAGCCCTGCGTCAACCACAGCGAGATTCGAGACTTTCAACGCCATACCCTCTTTCCTCTGAATGAGCACGGTTCCCCTTCGCGTATTGTTTCGTTGATGTCCACTGCACCTGTCCTCATAAATATGCAATGTCTTGCTGAGAAGTCTGAGCCCGATGATCCATGTGTTTCTTCACCAGGATATCGGCCCGTTGATTTTGAGAAAACAAGGAAGGCCAGAGAGGCTCTCGAGAACGCACCGACCGTTGTGCTTGGGCACACTCTCGTCTTTGCAATGCCCAAACCCCTCCATTGGGAGTCTTTGGTGGACGGGATGAAGTTCAAGATAAAACGAGGTGAGTAATGGTGGTGGTGGTCACCGAATGGGTTCTTTTTCTTTGGATACCTCAACTAATCGTGTGCACCAGAATACCTCTGTCAGAAGTACGGGGACCTCTGCTTCGTGTTTGAGGAAGACCCCCAGACTACACGCAACCGAATTGGGAGGATCTTCGTTCGCCAGGGCCAGTACTACACCGATTTCGAGGCATAGGATGCCGAGAACTTCCAGGTTCAATTCCACGCGACCATGAACTTGCTCGAACATGGTTTGAGCATGGAACGAAAAGATTTCCTCAATCTCCATCGCTCTCTCGCCCAGAACATGGCATTTGAGTACTCGTTGGAACAACTCAGAGGACCTCGATCGGAGACAACTGGGCAACTGGTCTCCTCTCCCGCCGACCATCCGAAAAGCAAACCTGCGTCTGGCAAGCCACCCAGTACCGAATATCAACGTAGTGGAAAATACCAAGCACCTGAGACTACATCCTCCGAGATTTCTCCACCGAAGAAAAGAAAGGCAGAGGATGATTCATCGACGGTCCCACAACGAAGAAGGACTATGATCCCTCGAATCACCGACCGGCCGGCATTGTCACGACCCGCAATTCCAACCCAGGCTACTGAGGTTGAGCCGGCAAAAGCTTTGACAACCATTCTGAGAACCAAGTTTGGTGCCCGCCTGCAACGCGAGTCCACCTTCTTGCCAGGAGCGGAGGTCTTTCAACGTCGACGGAGGATGTGTGCACTCTATGGCCAGGGACTCATCGATGCTCTTCAGGCCGAACAGAACCATAAAGACGACTTCAATACCAGGCTGCATGAGACAGTTCGCTCAGTCTACACATTCTCACAACAACAACGCGACCGTAACGGGAACAAGTACAATCTCATCGAGCTTGCAGCGTATCTTTCTGGACAGCTTGGTCTTCCCTTGACTCTTTACCTTGAAACTGCTGAAATGGCTTCCAGGGTCACTACCGATTGGATCAACCTCTACACTCTGTATGTGAAGACTCAGGTGCAGATTTGGTATAATCTGCGGGCTCGGGTAGGGAGGCCGTTCCAAGACAACCCTAGGGCCCGGCACGACGTTTTCGAGTCCTTGTGGAGTTCTGAGACCGTGTCAGGGAATTTTTTTGACGCACTGCGATCACTCTGGCTGAAGGTGAATTCCCAAGGCATACTTTGAAGGAATCGACACGTGAGTTCAAGAGACGGTTGCGAGAATGGAAACATTGTGCGCGTTGTGATTCTGCAGAATTTCCAAGTGTCTGAGATTTTGGGATAAAGTATTGGTTTTTTTGACTTTGTACAGCAAATACAAGCACATGATTTCGAGCGATATGCGTCTCGGTGGACCATGTTCTTTCTTCCTAATTAACTACCACCTCTGACCATACCTGGCGCTTCTCCCTCTAGGTACTCCTGTTATAACGTTCGATGCCACCGGTTGGAAGAAGAAGCGGACGAAAAGAAAGATGCCCATGACCAAGCTTGTCGTAATGCTGGGTAGAGGTGGGGTATACGTTGAGATCTAGAATGTTATCCTTGATGTGTCTGTCGGAGATGGGGTCATGGTACCACTGCACATTGTAAAGGAGAAATTGATATAAGCCCGGGGTTTCTTCCCAAGAAACCCTTTTTAGTTTGTGGCCAACTCCGAAGCAAGAAGGCACCTGTGGCTCACAAGCTCGGAGCAAAACCTGGCAGGTTGACACTTGCGAGGTGAGAGGTACTACTCTGAAGCAGCGAAGAACAATGGGGAAAGCCTTGCCATATATGCGTTCATCTAGGCGTCCGGAGAATGAGACTCGGCGTAGTGCGATCTCAGCGTCCTCACAAAGGAGTTGGGCATCTCCTCGTCGACACATCTTCGTCGACACAGGTCCCCCTCGTTTCTCTCAACTTCGGACGGCGACCACGAATAGCCTCGGGTAACGAAGACACACCTTGCCGTCGGCCAGGGGTGGATAGAGCTCGGTGGTTTTCTCCAGGTAGGCCTCGAGGAAGCCTCTCTTCTCGTCGTCGCCGAGCGGGTCGATGTAGGGCCTCAAGCCGGTGCCCTTGACCCACTCGACGATGGCCCGATGGTCTTCGAGGACGTGGTAGTAGCAGGTGTGCCACATGTTGACGTCTGAGCAGAGCGGTTTGAGGCTGTCGTACAGTTCCTGGGGCGACTGGAACGGTCGGCGAGTGGGTGGCTCCGGCAGCCGGTTCAAAGTGTCCGACCATGGACCCTGCGCGGCCACGGCGCGCATGGCGACGTGCGACGGCTCGCCAAAGTTGTCGGGCACCTGGAACGCGAACACGCCGCCCGGCTTGAGGGTCTCCAGGAGTTCGGTGAAGATGCGGATGCGATCGTCGTACGGGAGCCACTGGTACACGGCGTTGGAGAAGAGGAGGTCGGCCGAGTCCGTGTCCCGGAACGTGGTCAGGTCGGCGAGCTGCACGTCGACCTGGCCGCCGCCGCCGGCCACCGAGGAGGAGGAGAGTGTCTGTCGGGCCTTGGCCACCATGTCTTGAGACGAGTCGACGGCGGTGATGTGGGCCGACGGGTACCGTTGGACGAGGACGCCGGTCGAGTTGCCCGGCCCGCAACCGAGATCGAAGATGCGCGCCGGAGGGGATGATGCCAGTGGGGGGATCTGGGATAGCAGGTCGGTGGCGGGTCGGGTCCTTTCCCGTTCGAATTTCAGGTACTGTGCCGCGTTCCAATCCTTGGTCGCCATTGCGGTTGGTGACGAGTGGTGGAAGTGTTTTCGCAGAATATGTATGACTCCTCGGCTTGACTGTTGGTGGATCATCAAGTACCTTGCGACGGTAGTGCTGGCGGTGGTCGATTTAAGCATGGTATTTCTCGTGATTCATGCTCCCACAAGAGCGCACCGTCGAGTTTACGGTTTGGAAAGGGTCTCGATACTTGTACTCGTAAATACCCATGATCTCCAGTGTTGTCGACGTCGAAGGAGTCATTGTTTTGCGCGATTTACCCGCTGTAATCCCGATATCGGGAATTGGTGCTTTCGGAGGATCATGATCCGAGGATGATTATTAGCCTGGTAACACGAGTTACCACCCAGTACGGTGACTTGCCGGATTATACCTGAGGTATTTCTGGGGGAAGACAATATCGAAAATTTGTCCTTGTTCCCTATCCTTGTGCCCCGTGAGGTGAAAACCTTCGTCTGCTCGAACAAGCATAAAGTGAGATAAGGTAGACTCATAATTTCCTCAAGAAACCGGTTCAATCAATGAATCAATTAAGCCCTAGTGTAAGACGGTCCTTCTGACCATGGAGTACAATTGGTGCGAGTGTCGCTGAGCTACCTACCTAGAGTAGGTAGGATCTGAAGCCTGTTCCTGACCCATAGGATCCGGAATAACCTACCTCTCTCCTCAATTGTCACACAAGTCCCAGTCGTGCTGTGTTGCTTGAATACTACGGAGTACTCCGTATTGTAGATACCGTAACAACTCCAAATTGCCAAGTTTTTCGTACGGACAGAGAATGCGCCAAGGTCAGGGACGTTTCTGTGCCTTGGTACTCTTTCCTTCATCTCGTTTTCCACCACTGAGACAGAGCGGATTCCCCTACCAGGGATGACACAGTGAATCAATGACGAAACAAACGACCAGGGAACCACGCTTGATATGAGACCTGCCAGTGCATGTCAATCGTGCAGGTGAGTCTGACCTTTTCCTGTCATTTTTGGGTGGGATGGTTGACCGCGACTGAAATCCTCCACCAGACTACATCGTCGGAAATGTCGGACAAGTGGTCTCGGAGAGCGATGTGAAAGATGCACCAGTCTGAACCTCGTATGCAGCAATGTATCTGGTCCTCGGTCGTCTTCGGATACGCATATCCCTAGGCGAGGCTTTCCCAGCTTGCGTGCAAAAGAGCCTCCACCGCACTTGAACCGGATTGCTTCTGACCCTCCAGACTCGCTCTGCTTCGAACATGACCGTAGTGACAGCGGTTATGTGAAGGGTGCAGTACCAGATGGTGGATTCAACTGCAATGCTGATGATGAAGACATGTATAAAAAAGTGGCTCCAACCGCCGATCTGGAACTCCAGCACGAACTGGTACACTTGTACTTCGCGCATATCCACAACACCCATCACTCGCTGTTTCACGAACCCACCGTTCTGTCGCAAGTACGCAATGGGAGTCTCCCAGAAGTTCTCCTCTATGCCATGATGGCTCTAGGTTCAAGGTAGCAACCCTCATTTTGACGGAGAGCGCAGAAACCCCGGAAGCGCAACTGACCGAACGCAGGTTTTCAGAGTCGCCCAGTCTCGCATCCGTCGAACGCCGCAGTCGTGGCATAGAGCCAGCGCAACGAGCCTTTGCCCTGTTCGACATGACAGACATCTCCGTGACGACGGTGCAAGCGGCCGTCCTGCTAGGCACCATCTGCTTTACAGAATCCAAAGCAGAGGCTGAATCGCTCTACTACGCAGTGGCCAATAGACTCGCGCTGATGCTGGATCTCGCTCATCGTCAGACCAACAGCGAGACCGAGAGACAAGTCAATCTTCGAAGTAAGCCTCCAGACACTTGCCCTTTTTGTGGTAGATTGTGATCTGAAGCACCGGCGCTGACCTGCCCAGTATGGTGGACACTGTACATGATCGACGTTTGGTGTTCGACAGGCCTACATCTCCCTTGCCAGATGCGTTCCTATAAGACGGTTGAACTTCCAGCGAATGAACTACTCTTCCTGGGTATCGCGCCTCAGACACCGCCGAGGCCTACCACGAGCGGGATCTGCGCGGAGAATGCCAAACTGCACCAGATTTGGGCCGACATCTGTGACCTCAACCAGAACGTGATGCGTGACGTGCAAGGCACACAGTCGCTTGAGGATCAAGTCGAGACGCTCTTGAAAAGATTGGAAATGTGGTCGGCCGCGTTGCCACTTCACCTGCGGAAAACACGGGCCAATCTCGAATACTACGCCTCGATCGGCCTGGGCCCGACGTTTGCCGCTCTTCACCTGGGTTACCACTACCACACCGAGGTGCTGTGCTACCAGTTCCTCGCGGGCGACGCATCTGCCGCGAACCCCGAGTACGCCGAGAGGTGCAAGGAGCACGCCAAACACTTTTGCGACCTCTTGTACCTCTGCCAGGAGATTCCCAATTGCGAGTGCTTCTTTGTCATGCTGGGCCACCTGCTGGTCGTCACCTCGACCGTTTACATCCACACCCTCGTCTTCAGCGCGCACGAGGACGAGATATCCATCGCCCGTCGGCGACTGGCCCGAAACTTTGAGATCCTTATGCGACTGCAGTCGTTCTGGGTCAAGCTGGATGTGTCACTGTCGCGACTGCAGGCCTTCCACAACGCTTGCAAGATATCGGCAGAACACTCGTTCGGCATGGACAAGTGGTTGCTGTGCTTCTTGCTCGAGCACGGTGTCGTCATCCCCGAGAAGTACCCTCCGGTCGTGCATGTCGTGAACCCCCCCGGCGGTGCTTCCCCGGAACTCACTTTGCAAGACTGGTATTCGCAGACGTTCAGTGGAGGCCAGTGAACGAACACGCCTCGTGAAGAGCCGTCTCTTGTTGATACTGGCCGTATCACCCCTAGCCAAATACTTCGTACAAGCTTTCAGAATCAATCATGCATTCGGTATTTCGTCTCTGCGGGTCCATGGGTACACACCATTCTTGGTGCGAGTGTCTCGGACCAGACGCGTTCCCGAGAAATTAACATAACGATTTGCAGATTGTGAGACGAAAAGTTGTCGAGATGATGCTCTGCCCTGATCCAACTTTCGGGTCTCCAAAAGCTCTCCGATTGCATCGATTGCTGAGCAAAGCTTTTTAAAATGAGCAGGCATCCAGATATTATAGACGTTTTTGGTAAGCTTATAAGCTGTCCATTTCTCTTTTCCATCAGGTGGCGTAATGTCGAAACTGTAGATGAGACGACGATAGAACGTGGTCTCTTTGCCCTCAATTATAGGATAATGACCATAAATCCTAAAACATCGATGATCATACTGTGTGCATTCTGTCGATCTGCCACGTCGAGGTCACCCGCACACTTCACCTCGCCCGAGAAGAAGGGAAAATACATGTACCATGTCCCCGTGAAGAAAGAATCGTCGGTAAAATCACCCACGAATGGCTGAAGGGTTTGAAGTTGGGACTCGGTGAATGCTTCTCGTCGGAACCCGATCGAGTAGTCTGGCTGTGGTCGTGGTTTGGTAACAGGGATTGAATTGTCCCGACCCTCATCGACGCTCTCGGTCAGTTTATCGAGATGTTGGGCACCCAATGTGGCCAGGGTCTCTGCAGATGGGACGATCAGTCGAGCTATGTCTTGGATCACCCTGGCCTCATTTCTGCCCCGAAAGTTTTGGCAGGCTTCCTTAAACACGTCTTTTGAGAAAATGGAACCCTTGGGGATCCGTTGCTTCTTGGTCAACAGGTTTCGACAGAGAACCTTGCCCTCATCTGTAATGTCTAGATCGGAATCATCCAGAAAACTCCTTTTTGCCGGGAGTAAAACTTCATAACGTGCGTCCTTGTAAGGAGCGCTCTTCCCCTCCCTCGACCTTTGGTCACTGGGTGTTATTGACTGGGCGCTCCAGACTCGCTATACGATCGCCTTTGGCGAAGTGAGGCGATGGAGTTCTTTCTCGCCAATAAGTGACTCGTTTCTCCCCCTTCGGTGTGGAGTATCCACGAGGCCAGTGATATGTCTGCGCCCAATGTGTAATAGAATCAACATCCTGAATAGACGATGTCGTTTGGGGCGGTTGCGGTCGTCGTAGAAAGGGTGGGTTTAGTTGCCGTTCAGTTTCTCGTTTCCGCTTCAGAGGCTTCGATGGTAGAAGGGAAGGCGATCGGTGCGCACGCTATGTTGGGTCAGTCTCCCATCACACAAGCTTGTTGGCGGCTTACACGAAGTCCTACAATATCGCCAAGTGGAGATGAAAGAGACTGCTGGCTGGCTCTCGATTGAACCTTGTCATCCTCAATCAAGCGGACCAAACGGGCGCTCCGTCGAAGGGGGTTGTGCTTTTGTTCTTTGATGACACCTTGAGCGCCTTTGCCTTTGCCGGTCAGTAATTGAACTTGGTGTGGCAAATTCAGGGAATGACTTCTGCTCTTCTAAGCGTTTGCACCGTCTTGTGGCGCCATTATTGGTCCAAAATGAGGGAGAATGGGACAGGCAGGCTCATGTAGTTTCCGGAAAAGTGTAGTCGTGGGCAGGCTTGGGGTGGGAGTTGCAAGCTCTGTCGCACCAACAAGGTAAAGGAGAAATCGGTGCTCTCACAGTCTCATCTGTCGGAGCGATTGAAGAAAAAATCGAAACTCGGGACCCGTGGTTGCGTGAGGCTTCAGGTTGAGAAGAATTGCTTGATTCAAGGGATGAAACATGGCTTTGGGAGCCAAAGCTGCGAATCACCTGGTATTCACAGAGTCCAAGATCAACAACAAGAACAACAGCTTCATTGGACGAGATCTCTGTACAGGTCTCAGGATTTGATATTCTATCTATGCTAGCTAGCATTTACTACTAGTTGTGGAGACGTACTCAGTGTGCAACCACAAGAAAACATCAACTATGCTACACTGGAGGAACGATAGTTACAGTCGACTTTCTTCAAACCAATATCGAAAATTGGGACCGTGCACTAAACCGACGATCTATAGCCCCTGCGAAAGCGAGCATTGGGCACTCTATCAACGAAGAGTATCCTCGCCATGAAATCCGAGTGCGATCAATTCTTGTTGCGATTTAGCGAGACATATGTTCAGCATGACAGGTACTGGAGTATTGGCCATTCACAACACCCGTCTCCATGTATCCATCTAGCCTTGACGTGATGCGACGACTTCTTGTAGGTTCTCCGCGGCCAGTTGTTGGGTTATGATGGCTGCAATATTCGAGCCTATTTTGTACTCCGCAAAAGATGTCGGTCAGCATTTGAAACAAACACACCATGTTAACAGGTCATGGATGAAACAAGAACGAAGTACATACCTGAACTGATTGCGTTCGTGGCTGATTTGTACGGTGTGGCAGCGTCGCCGGCAATGAATACCCCGGGCGCCGTAGTGACAATCCCCATCTCGACACCCTTGACCATCTCTCCCATGACGGGATGATTTTCGACTTCGAGTCCCAGCTGATCGATCAAGGGTCTACTGGACAGTACCGTTGTTGGTCTATCGGTCAAGTAACCGACGTAAGTACTCTTGCCATCTTCAAACACGACGTTGACTCCGACATTCGGCTCTTGCTCAGGCACCAGTCTTGTAATCTTGCGGGTCTCGATCTTGAAACCCAGGGCTCGAACATTTTCCAAAGTCTGCTGCATTGGTTCGGTATCTGGGATTGGGCCGTTGCTGAATAAGATCGGGGGACCCGAAGACTCTGTAACCAGGAAGACCAGCATCTGGGCCGCGTGGGCAACGAATGGCGACAGTCCTATGATGCCGACAGGCAAGTGAGAGCGTTCGTGGCCGTCGCAGAACAAGCATTGAAATCTAAACATGTTGATGTTAGTAGGCCGGGCATGTGTCAAAGGACAAGGATTATGAGACTTCCAAGGAAAGGAGGACGTACATGTTCTGTGGCCAGTTTTCCTTGTACCCAGGAATTTCTGCGGGTAGGACTTCGACGGAACCTGTGGCTAGGACAACTTTTCTTCCAACCCACTTCCGCCCTTCGCCATCGGTCGCCTCAAAATAGCTCGAACAAGAGAGATTGTGACCTTCAGTGGAGGCCGGCTCCAGCTTTCTGATCGCGGTGATGTCTGCTTCGATGAACTCCGTCGTACCGTACTTTTCGATCTGCTCTCTGGCGATTCGGCGAAACTCGGCAGGAGGGGTGCAATCCCTGGTCAAGACGTTGTGAACCTCGTGTGTCCCCTCGTTCCTGAAACCTGCATTCTGTGGCCGAGTGAAGACCACCTTGGTGCGGTGAAGCCTGGACAGTCCCAGGGCGGTGGAAAGGCCAGCAGGACCGGCACCGATAATCAAAGCATCATATATCATAGACTTCATTGTGACGGATGGAAAAGGGGTTAGTCACTTGTAGGAATCGTACCGAGGAATATATACGTGAAGCGATTGCGAGAAGAAGAGGTTGAGGCCAGGTGGAATTGAAACTGAGAGTCTGAGAAAACTTGCGAAAGGCGAAGGTCTCCTATATAGTAGTGGGACATCATATTTCCACGTTGATCCAGGGAATGGAATGGAATTGTCCTCACTTTGACAGAGCGAAAAAGTTAAAAGCTTCTCTCCTTCGAAAAGTCTCCGACAGACCTGGATCAACCCACAAATTGACTGACCTCTCGAGTTGCGAAGCTCACATTCCATACTCTAGAATGTCGATCAACGTATGTATATTGCGAACGCGGATGAAATCTTTTGGGTAGAAGCATCATCGTTGTGTCCAGAATACCATGAACTGATCGTAAGGTGAAGCTTCGCAGTCTAAAAGAGGAAGACGAGGCTGAACGGAGACTTTTTGCGGTAGCGTCATTTATGGCGCCGAGACAAACCCAACGACGGTCTCAGGCCCAACATGTATGCCCAGCCTTGGATGACCACAAGATATTCATGGCGGTCAGAAATAATGAATCTATTGTCATTTCTCGTTGTCATTATTTCATCGACATCATCAAAGTCCAGGTCAAAAATAAGTGGCCGACGGTATGGCTAGGCGTAGTTTTCGACTGCCCAACAATTACGATTTCTCGTGGTTGGTCGCGCTAGGCGCCTGCACCTAGGTACGCACCTAAGTGGCCTCTGATGCTTTTTAAAGAGCAATGTCACCGCCTCTTCCATTTCCAGAGATCTCCTTTTGAATGAAATGATCCATCAATGGCGGTAGTTTCAGTACTTCTACGCTGGAATATGTCGTAGAAGCACCATTCGGAATAGTCCACATTCTGAATCAGTACTGCAATGAAGCTGGGTGGAATTCCGGGCGATTTTCACTCATAGGTCTACCGTTCCAAGTCTTGCAATGCAAAATTTCAATCCTTGCACAGCTGCTGATCTTTGTTTGTCGGAGGGCGCATGCGGATGCTGTGATTGGCACCGAAGGTGCAGTCGGGCTTGGACCATAATCAGAATCGTGGGCACTGTGAATCCCCAGCGCCCTTACATCGCACTCTACCCCAGCGGTGTCGTCAACAACGAGGAACGAAAGTAAAATTTTGCTCTTTTCTTTTTTGAACCCTCTAATCGCATCCTGGTATCACTGTTTCAAGCTCACTGTTTTCTTTCTCAATGCAGATATCATTGGGCGTTCCTGATTGGACCCAAGGTGCAAAAGGGCCGCCCGGGTCTCTATGGCATACGTTGTCATGTCAAGAACCAGCTGAGCCCAAGTCCGAATGGGCCCTCACGACCCCGGTGGGAATATGAAGAGCTTGCGCTAAACGACGTTCGGAACACCAACAACCTCCTCATCCGCATCATGATTGGGAAAATCATCAACGCGAAAAATCTTCTCCAGACGCTCCGAAGTGTGCCCGTGGTTCAGGGTGATCCGGAATGGAGGTGCCGTAGTTGGTGCGCCGACGCCCTTGTAGCACTCGAAAGAGATGGCCAGGCCATGGGAGCTTCGGTACTCGACTGGCGTCGTATTGAAGAGTTGACAAGGCGTCACGTCCGGGAAAAGATTGCTCAGGGACGCTTTGACGACTCATGGCTGCTGGTAAACCCCAAGCCGACCTGGGATCTCTGGGAGAACAAAGAGGTGATAGCTTAGAGGGTTCTTTCTTCAGTGGAAAGCAAGCTTGGCTGAGTTGGAAGGACTTGAGAGATTTATATCGAAATTTTGTAGACGGTACAAATGAATGTATATCATTGTACCTTCATTCGTTAAATACCTCCCCACCATTTCTGGCGAATAGTCTCCATCTTCAGCTCGTCGGGAAAGGGTTCGAGGAACTCGTCGATGCATTTCCGCCAACCTGTCCTCGTTGCGCTCCCGAGCCACGCCGAGGTATACTCCCAATAGTTCGGGTACCATCCGGATATTTCCCAGTCAACCAGGACGACGACCCGATCTCCACGGATGAGGATGTTGAACGGGTTCAAATCAGCGTGTGTGAAAACCGGCGGGCGCCACGATGACTTGTCCTGAGCGGCTGCCATGTCGCAAACGTCCTGCCAGTCCGTGTCGCCTTCTCGACCTTCGGTCCGAGATGGCTCCAGCCCCCTTTCTCAGCCAGAGGTGAAACTCTCGAATCGTTTTGAACGGACCGAACCGAGGGTTGTTCGAGCGAGGGATTCGAGGGTCGTGCAAGGATCCCCCGACGCAGCTCTCGATTCCCGTCCCCGGAGACGGCGGCTTCAGCGAGCGTAGCTCCCGGATCATGCCCCTCAATTGATCATAAATTGCCCGTTGGGACTGCTCGGACAGTTTCCCCCACACTGTCGGTATGGCATCACCTCGAATCCTCCTCATGACAATGGAGGCCCGGTTCTTGTGGACAAAGGAGCAGTACACCCTGGGCACTGGGACGGATGTGGTGTTCCGGGCGACGAATTCGATGGTCGCCCCTTCGGTGAGGTGGACAAACGGACCGGTCTTGACGATTTTGTTTCTGCTGATTGGAACACAGGTGCGGTTTATCGGCGTGTAGAACTTTGCCGTTGGTCCTCAACGCAACCAATGACGACCAACGACGAAATTTGGTGTTGTGGATGGCCAACCCTCCAGTCCCGTCATGCTGAGCATCTATCTTGCTCATGGTATCAGCCAAGTATTGATCGCGCTTGGGTTTCATGGCGAGGTAGGTAGAGAGCAAGACTTCGCAGGGGGGGTTCGGTTGCGTCTGCACGCTCGATTTTCGAGATGACGAGGGACGATGTCGGTTCGAGCCGCCGTGCTAACGTTTAGTACGTAAATCTGGGGCGGATGCAAAATGGGGCCTATTAAGCTGGATAGAAATTCAGAAAAGCGGACGGATTTTCGTTGCAGGACACCGTCTCAAATCATGTTGCGTGGGGATGATCGAGATGTGATCTTAGCGTTGTGTTCGGAGACATTATTTTCCGGCTACTTCGATGGTTTACATGGTCTCCCGTACATTGAATGAAAGAGTTCAGTACGGAATACAATTACAGTAAACTCCCCAACAACTAATCAAACCATACTTCACTTTTGTGCTTCCTCCTCAGACGGAGGCAGCGAGGCAAGGAAGGCCATTCCCGAGGGTGCCACACCCTCGACCGACGCACCTTGTCGACCCTGAGCGCCCAAGCAGGCTTGTTCCGCTCCCGGAGGTGACGATTCCCCAGGTATATCAGGGGCGCCGTCACCTGCGCGGAGACGGCAGACTGGACGGTGAAGAATTCTACCCCCCACTTCGCCACCTGCTCGGTGGCCTCCTGTGGCATGACTGCCAACCTCCTATGCATCCTCTGCATGCCGACCACGGCGATGGGAGCGCCCCTGCGCCCGGCCTTCCTGATGACACGTAGGATTTTCTTGGCCTCATCAAAGGACGCCCTCGAGTCGAGACCGAAGGCGATGATGAATGCGTTGGCCTCGGCCAGATATATCGGGAGAATCACCGGCGCCGATCGATACGCATCGACCACGAGAGGCTGGGAGTCGGGATCGTCGGCACCTACTCCCGTTTGGATCTGAAGCATCTCGCTGGGTACGCCCTGGACGGGGCGAAGGGTCGCATATCCCGGGCGCTTCATCAGATTCATAAACTGTCAGTTGTAGAGGAGCGTGAGTAGGTATGTGGGTGGATTTGACAAAGTTCTGTACTGGAAAAGGCTTCTTACTGTAAAGTTCAATGCTGCGCTAACAACATCGTCTCCAACAATAACAACCTTCATAACGTCGGACGGATCCATTCTGGCAGTGTAGGGGTAGACGAGGCGAGACCAGGGTAGGGCGATTGGCTGGGTATGGGCCAAGGTATTATTGTGTGAAGGCGATTGGCAAGTACAAGGGCAAACAAACTTTTGTGCAAGGACCAAACGAGGCGAAAGAGTACCGGGCAGAAAACTTTGGAGGTTGGATGAAAAGCAAATGAACCAGAATGCAGGGGGATTCCCGTACTTTATACACAAAACCATGTTCGCTCCCAACAGAGTAGAACACGAGCAGCCCATTTGCCCAAATTGAGTGCCCAGGCTCGTTGGGTCGCTCTGAGGCTTGCTATCAAATTTGCCGTCTGTTTCCAAGTGATTCGTGCGGCTGGCGACGAGAAATGGCAGGACAGGAAACAGCTCTCTGGGTAGAAAGTACGTGATGGACAAGGATGGGTTCACCTTCGTGCAGGAGACCTGCATCACCATGGCGGAGGAGGAGGGGTTGACGGGGTGGTTGGACACTCGAGCCCAGAGAGAAAGGGGACACAGGCGCCAGGTCAGCCTGACATCCTGTGACCGATCTCGAGGATAGATCTCTGGATCTTGCATGCTCTTCCTGCGGTGGTCTGGAGATGTTTTGTGAGCTAACCAGGGATCAACCAACGACATGCCGGGCTGGTAAAAATTTCGTCTTGTTGTCCCGGTGTCGGTTGGGCGGCTGGGGGAGGAGAGAGAAAGAGTGACATTCCTTTCTCACCGCCGGGAGCCATGGCATGCTACTGAGGCGTTCCAGAAACCGTACCGCATTGGCTGTGAAACGTTGTGGCTGCACCGGGGATGCAAGAAAGCACCCTTTTTGTTTCTGGATGAGAAAGCAAGGGGGTGGATGGAAAAAGGTGCACTATTCCACATTGGCCATCGAAACTCATCATCACCCACGCGTGTCTAGTAAACGAAATCGACCTAACGACCGGAAAGGGATGGCGTTTGGACATGGACAGGCGAGTCCGGGCCCCAGACAAGCAAAGTTCGGATCTGGAATTCTTAGCACGTTCTTTCTGTGGACTTTTCCCCAGATTTCGGGCCGCATCGCCAAACAGAAGAACAAATCAAGCCGACAACAGCCCGTCATTGGAAAGATGAAAATTGAGGCAGGAAACTACTAATACTCTAGAAAATACACCGTATCTCGACGTTTTGCCTGGTTTTACCGGAGTGTTCGTTCTTGGAGAGGGGCTACATTGGAGGGGCTATCCCAGGGGGTTTAGTGTGGTGTTTCGTGTGCGCAGGTGGCTTGCAGTAGGTGATCGGCCTGGGTGTGACCAGGCATACATGTGTGCAAGGGTACAAGAAAAAAACGGAGAGTGGCGTCGAGTGATTTCAAGGACAGCGCCGTGGTCTTCGTATTCAGGGAGGGGCGCGAGAAGTTGGTCGACCATAACCCAGGATAATTTACCCAGGTAAGCAAAGACAGGCCAGTGTTAATCTCTGGATTCCCAGGCAGTACACGAACACCATGCCCAGGTAGGCACTCATATTGTATTGCATGTGATGTTTGGATTGTTGTATTTCAACAGACGGACTGACCGGACTAAATCGGGCTCGGGAAACAAAAAAACACCAAGGCAGCTTCTCGTCCGCTAGGTGCAAGGGAACAGGTTAGCTGGACAAGCCACAGAGTATAGATGCCCACTCTGGTACCTAGGTAGGTATCTAGGTACTCCGTAGGCAGACCAGCCAGATACTTACCTAGGTGCAACGCTGCCCAGGGTCACATCCCACCGAGAAATTGTACTTGCGGGGCAATTGAAAACTACGCCTAGCGATACTGCCGGCCACTTTATCTTTTGACCTGGACTTTGATGATGTCGATGAAATGATGACAACGAGCAATGACAATAGATTTATTAATATCGATCGCTATAGATTTCTATAGTAATTCAAGACTGGGTATAGAACAGTATTCCCCACAAGCTTATGATCTAACGGTAACTCCGTACACCGGCAGTCCTCCCATCATTCCGCACCTTGCCATTCGGTCAATAGTGCTGAGGAAAAGAGAGTGCGAGGATGTTCAGCACCCAAAACCCGATTTCGCAGTTGTACACATTCCGACATGAGTTTGACAGCTTCGATATTTCTGCCCTGGCCTTTCATGGTAAGAGCAAGATTGCTCACGCTGCTGATTGTAACGGGATGCTCTTCTCCCAGTACTTTGGGTGTTTTCTTGCTACCCAGAAGCTCCCCTTCCCGCGAAGAAAATTCGACCGAGGTTGGAGCAAGCAATTCCTGTAACGTCCAGCCGCGTCTGAACCATCTACTGGTTCGAAAGTCTGATTCCCACCAACATTGAGTGCAGTGATGGTTGATTCTGCTGCCTGTAACGTCGGATAAATATACGTAGCATTTGACAGCATTTCGATACCAGTCGAACATCGAGACAATCGCTTCTGAGAGCTCGCTATGGTTGGCTTTATCGATGCAGCACGCGTCCACCCAGAAGTATTCTATCTCGTCTTTTTTTGCCTGTTCACCGCAAAACTGAATCTTAGCATAGCCAGCTGTATTCTTATAAGATCCGTATGTGAGGTCGTCGAAATTAACCTCATCTCTATCATATCCCCAAGTATGCGAGAGTATCGCGTAGGGGGGAATCGTGTCCAGGAGATCCCCGGTAAGCTTCGGCTCGCCTTGACCGTCGAACTTCAAAAGTCGCATTGTGTTGGTCTCGCTCTGGCGACGCGTTACGCTGACACACACCGAGTTGGAGAGAAGCTTCTAGCTGCGATCGGTCAAGAACGCTTCGTTCGTTGTGGGACTCGCCATAAGCTGATACTTTTGCCAGCTGAGGTGGTCATTGGTAGGCAGTCGTCTCGTTGTAACGAGGACGGGAGATGGCCGAACTTGGGTGGAAGGAGGGCTTTGGTGAGCATGCGACGAAAACAGGGAATTGATCGCATTTGCGGGGTCTCAATTTTGAGCCATAGTCAGGACTGACCTAACGCTTGTATGAAGGCATTATGAAGAATGTCCGATCAGGCTGGAAGTATATTCTCAGAAGAGACAGCCCTGGTGCCTACATGTGACCCTTTGGAAAGACTACCGTATCACGTGCTAATTGGAACGAGTCTCCCTTGAAAATGTTACAGCTTTTGTTACAACAGACATCATGAGAGAGATGGAGAGAGTTGAAACTTCATATGTTCTAGTAAGTTCAAGTTAGCCTTGTGGCTCGCACTCCGTCTCCTAAGCAGCTCTCAAATCTGGGTGTATCTGTATGTATGCTGTCAAGCTCTCTTAAGTTAAGGTTACCTTTACATGAGGAGGCCATACCTACAGTAAATGAACTCAAGGGGTACTCCGTACTAAGATCTTATTCTCGGCACGGCACATTCCCGCTCTTGTCCGGCGCCCACTAGGCAGTCTCCACTTAGGCGTCGATTTGGCGTGCTAGGGGCGCCCACGAGTGCCTTGGTAGGTTGATTATAGGTGGCGTCTTGAAAATCCTCCGGGAAGTTCTGTTAGGGCCCTCGTTACCTCCTCCTTACACTCTATGATATTGATGTCTCATATGACCAAAGACGCAATATCCAGCTTCTCAAAGAAGAGCGCACACAATTTGGATCTCATTATCTAAGAGCGTTAGTAAGAAGAATGACTTGAGGTGTTGGTAGAGATATTATCAGTGTTGAATGGAAAACTTCTACGGAGTATCTGGACGAGGTATTGGAATCATGTCAAAGCCGGGACAGACTTGCAGCTCCAGGTGGTCCGCCAGACGTTGATCTCGGCCTTATTTTGCACATTCAGAGCGAAGAAGATACAATAGGTCCCTTCTGGGATCCCAGAAGTGTTACTATAAAACTACTTGAGGAAAAAGGACTCAGTGGTGACTTTTGTTTTGGTCTTGATTGGCACTGGAGAGCGGAAGAAACATTTCACGGTAGAAGCGACTGTCGAGTTCACATATGGTCTGGCGACCTAAGAACGCTCCATCATCAAATATCCCACGACATTCTCGAAATTTTGCCGCTATCTTTTGTCCTCTTTGCATCCGGCTGTAACACACAAAAATATCCGTAAAACGCTCAACAAAGAGGCCAAATTCTTGGAAATTGAGATTGTGTCACCAGCCAGCGTCCTGAGTTTCGATCTTGACTCCGAAGATGGTATCTTACAGCGAATCATACTTCACGTTCATCACCCATGTCGGAGTAGAGTAGGTCAGAAAGCATCCACTGTAACCTGGGATTTACTTATTGTATTAATCTTTAACCTCGTCTACAGAAGCCTAGAGCTCATCGTATACTTATCGCACTGGAAGGCCTATTGAGTCCTTTGCTTCGGTTCAATATATATCTTCTTAACAAATAGATGACAATATGATGTGATTGTTAACAAGCTCCTGGTATACTATGATTAATTCGCTCCAAAAACATTGATTAGACTTGCCATGCCGTCTCCTCCACCGCCTTGCTCTGCCCTAGCTTCCATTAAACGGAGCATTGGCTCGAAAGCCGAAGTTGGAATACCCTGATCAACATTAAACTTCATCAGAGCCCGGAGCGACGAGGCCAAGGTGTTCACTGTTACTACCGAGCCCTTGGTTGCGTAGTCTTCCTTGTCAATATCTTTGGCCATATCCAAAAAAGCGACTGGGAGTTGTTCAGTGAGAAATGGAATCACGCAGCGAGTCGTGAAATTCTCTGCGCCACCACTTGACCAGAGCTTGGAAGTCTTTAGAAGTGCGATAGATTGTAAAAACCCAACACCAAAGAAATAGAAACAAGTACCCAGGATAGCCTCCTGTACAGATGCCAACGACACATCGCTTCCGAGATAAATCGAGGTTCCAAACACCTTCAAACAATTCTCTGCCTTCTTAAATGCAGTTGCATCGCCGCTGTAGTAGAGGATGGATTCAGGGAGTCCGATAGACTGAGGTATGGCCTCAATGGCGCCTCGTACGTATGCTGAGAACGACTTGTTTGCAGCCAGTTGCTGAGATCGATAGTTGTCCGAGACAATTCCAGACGTGAAGTCTACCACGATGCGGCCATGCCCGCAGTTGGCATCGCATTCGCCCAAGATTTCATGAACAGCCTGCTGATCCAAAAGACAAAAGATGGTCAATTCGCTTGCTTGGATGCACTCTGCTGGTGTAGCCGCGAGGATGCCACCCATGTGTACGATAGGCTCAGCCTTCGCTGCAGTGCGGTTCCACACTGATGTTTTCCATCCATTCTGTATGAGTGCTCGCGCCAATGCATTCCCCATTAACCCTAGCCCCAGGACTGAGACCGAGCCCTGGGACGACTGGCTTACAGAATGTGGTGGTGACATGCTGGAATGTGGAGTCTTGACAACTTCGTTTTGTTTTTGCTTTCTTCTTTTCTGAACCCAAAAGAAGCGTAGGCAACTCTATCATAGAACCTGGATACTTGCTACCTGTTGGTAAACGTTGACAACTGCTCTAGTGACCCAGCGGTACCAGATATATTGATGGCGGGGTCAACTTGGAAAGCCAGGGTGTCGGCAGTCGGCAGTCGGCCGTCAATGCTGGACGGAGTGGATCACAACTGAACAAAAAGTAAGGATCCTTACCCTACGCGAGTAAAGTAGTAAGCTTGAAGAAACCCCGCTTGATTTTCTAATCAAGAGGACCGAGCTTGCCTGCCCGAATCAGTCCCGATTCGAGACTCTTCATGGCCGAGATACCACGGGAGGTATGGCTTTGCTGATGTGCAGACCACACCACTTTGCGGTCGAGGCTCTGAAGTTGTGGTGCGAGTCACACGTGGCTACAAACCATTGAATAATTGACGAAGAGCATACGGGCCTCGATTTCAACTGCGGGATTCTCACCACAGAATAGTTACCAGCCTTGGTAAGGAAGCTCTGTATAGAATTGGCGCTACTCATATTCACGGGAACGACAGCGTAGTCGGCGACTCTGCCTCGCTTCCGTACCATCTCGTCTATCACTACAATCCATCTCCAAAATCCTATAACTTTTGCTATGTAGCTAACACTAGCACCATCACGAATCATCCAACCAGCTGTGAGGATGGCATTGTCAGAGCACCAACTAGGACACTCAAGGCCATGACAAGGCTAGCAAGGCTTCTCCAAGCACTCTACTAGATCGCAAAGGATTCACATATAAACAGGAGAGCCCTCATTAAAAAACGAAGGGCAAGAATTAATACCGCCTTCAATATAAGGTCATTATTGGGGGCATCGTCGATCAACTACTCATACCACCACAGTGCTACGGCTGGATCGCTTGTTGCCAGCCGGACCACCTCAAACCAGACGCTTGCCGCACGAGCAGGAGACAGCCTTTGACAATGCACATTGACAGGCCTCGTTACTCAGGCCAACAACCCGAAGAACGAATCAGATTTAGCATCACCACTCTATTAAGTCAGTTGGGCAGATCAGTTGGGCAGAGCTGTGGTGCTATGGCATTTTATTTCGCTAAGGTGTGTACTGTCATTCATCTGAAATGGAATAATGCATTCTTGGAAACTCCTTGCGTAGACCTGACAATCTGACAAGATCATTTGTTATTTATTTCCTTTCCCTCCTCTGTGCAACCCAGGGACTGGACAAGCGTCGAGAGACTCCCATTAGCTTGGTTTGCTTGGTTTGCATGGAGCCTCCTTGTTGTCTAGCTTCCAGAGTTCCGCATCCATAGTGATCAGTGCCGACTTACACGATACTGCCAGGGCTTCTAAGCGCTTCATTGACGAGTTGTTCGGGTGTTCGGAATCTGAACCCAGCGAAGAACTTGCGACGATCACGCTGTACTAAGTCCGGACTGAAGGATCCAGCTCCAAGTGGTGTGAACATCTGATAATGCGACACGAGGATTTCCACTTCGTCTTCTGAGGTCTGGATAGTGTCGAGAATCTGACCAAGGCCAAGATGTTTAACTTGATCAACTTGTGGATAATGCTTTTGGACCAGTGTAGCGAGGTTATTCCAACTAGTCTGTACTCCAGAGACATAGGTATAGGTCTCCCACTTCGGCGCATCCGCGAGCATTGCCAACGCTGCAGCAACATCACGAGCTGCGGTGACGTCGATGGGGTCGTTTCCCGTGCCCGGAATGATGATGCGGTTTGCAGTAAGATCGACGGGGAATGCCGGCCCGGGATCCTGGAGGTACCTATTCTTTGAAGGAACCACATAATCCATGAACCAGCCGACGCTGACAAGGGTCCATTCTAGTTCAGTTTGCTCGCGCAGAACCTTTCGGATAGGCTCTCGTGTGCGGTAGTAGAAGACTGGAAGGTCCGGATGGTTTTCAAGATCACCCCCATATTCGGACGGAATAAAGCGCTTGCACTTAGGACTGGCCTGGCATGCCTCGATAAGCTTCAGGTGGACATCGATGAAATCAGGGCCGTAGGAAAGGATCATCGAAGTTAGCATATCACAATCTTTGATCGCTTCGGTGATCGAAGTAACAGAGTAGTCTGTTACGACTTGCGAGACATGGAGATTGCCCTTGAAAGCCGCCTTCTCGGTTCGTGATAGTACGACGACTTGATGGCCATATTTGGGGAACTCTTCGCAGATGTACCTGGCCATGGCGCCAGAACCTGCAACGGCGATACGCATGGCGGCGTTATGGCTGATGGAGCTGTAGATCAGAACAAAGCTAGAATATCCGATAACCTGATGGAGCGAAGACGGTTCGAAATCGTGAGTTTTTAAGTAGGGTAGCAAGCAACCCCGGACGCCGCTCCACTCAATCTATTGGGCCCACGACCTAGACCTGCCGTATTAGTAAATTACTCAGCCTCGCTCAGTAAGCATGTTATCTTCGGCAGTCGGCAGTCGGCATTACCCCTGGATTGCTGTCCGGGCCAATCGCCATCAGAGGGACGGCATCATCCATATGTTGCCATAGCTGGGAGCCCAGGACCTCTAACGTTTGCTCAATTGCGGCTTCTGGCGAATACCGACTCCCGGGTGTCGACATGTCTTTCCGGTGGCCTACGCTGTGGCGTTCGTTGTACCGTATGCCGAAACCGTTAGCTGGGCAGTGTCACCCGCACTTACCATTGCGAATGCCCGTGGACAAGTGTGCATAAGTCATTAGCTGAGGCAAACAGCCGAATATAAAGCCTTCAAAGCCTTCAAAGCCTCCAGCAAACATAAACACACTTCCACTGAGCCAGTAAACAGTAAAAATGCCATCCACGGTAACAAACAGCGCTGCTCTCCCGCGTGTCTCCGCCGACGCCGGGAGTGAGGCTATTCTTAGAGCGCTTCACAGCGCGGGCGGCGTCATTCTCGAGGGGCTTCTGAGCCCAGAGCAAGTCGCCGCCATGAACGATGAGGTTGACGTGCCTCTGGCCAAGCTGAATCCTGGCTCAACGCACGAGTCTGAGAGCATCAAAGCCTTCCATGGAAGCAACACCAAGCGCCTGACGGGGCTTACGGCCAACAGCAAGACATTCCGTGACTACCTACTAGACAACGACATTTGTCACGACATTGCAGAGCGTATCTTCCATCCGCAGACCGGCACGTACTGGCTGACGACCGCGCAAGTCATTGAGATTGGGCCCGGGAACGCAGCGCAGGTGCTTCATCGCGACCAGGACCAGTTCCAAGTCTTTCACCTCCTTGGTCCCGACGGCCCCGAAGCCATACTCAACTTCCTGGTGGCGCTGACCGACTTCACCGACGTGAATGGAGGCACGCGCGTGATTCCTGGCTCGCATGCGTGGCCGGATCTGTCGGTATTGGGAACACCAGAGGCAACGATACCCGTGGAGATGAAGGCGGGGGACGCGTGCCTCATCACGGGCAAGACGGTACATGGCGGTGGCGCGAATAGGACAGCGGATGAGAAGAGGCGCGGAATTGCATTTACGTTCCAGGCATCGTTTTTAACGCCAGAGGAGGCGTATGCATTCATAACACCACGTGAGGTGGTGGAGGGCCTGTCGCTGAGGGCGCAGCGCATGATTGGGTATAGGTCGCAGTATCCAAAGGGTAGCCCTGGGTTGTGGCAGGCGAATTATTCTGAAATCGGAGACCAGATTGGGTGTCCCGGTGTAGAAACAGTGGTGGAGGAGCTTAAGAGAGGTAAATTCCGACGGTAATTGGACTCTGGACCCGGCCAGGGTATGGAAAGCAGTTTGGAAGTACTCATCCTCATCCATATCTGTAATGGGCAGCTATTCTAAGGTAAACTGGAAGCAAGTCGGACTAAATGCGGTGTTTACTGTTACATTGTTCGCCGACAAGCAAGCTTTAACAAAGACACGCTTGGAACCGGAAACAGACATGATATTGAGAGCAGCTCGATACCCTTCAGCTGGCATGTCAGACCGCCACGTCTAATCACATTTCGTTGCTTCCACGCATCAGTCTATCATGGTCTCACGATGAATCTAGGCGCGTCCAGCTAAGGAAAATCCCACCACTTTTCGTGCAAGTCTTTCAGATCAATCTCCGACGGCACCCTCAGGTAGGACGTTATGTCTGATTCCGGATCGGCCTCGAGGCCTGTCCAGCCGTTGCCGAAATACGCGAATCTGTTCTTGCTGTTGTTGAGGTAACTGTATTCCCAGTCCTCCCACCTCGGCTCCCGTCTGACCGTCGTCACATGTGCCGCACTGCCAGGCCAGATGCCGTGGATCCTCCCACCCGGTCGCCCACCGTTGGCCCACGAGCTGCAGTTGTCCGTGAGGACGGTCTTCCGGAAGAACGCGTCCGAGTACTCGACAAAGTCGTCGGCCGCCTGTCGTGAAGGCACGATCGTCGCTATCCCTTGGCTGCTGACCTTTCGCAGAACCTTCGCGTAGTACGTCAACTGCACCTCGACACTGTGTGGGACGGTCCCTGACGGGCCGGTGCCGTGAGGTCCTGCGATGAACAAGAGGTTTGGGAACCCCGGCGTGGCCAGACCCAGGTACGAGTACGGGAAGCCATTCGGTCCTTCGGCGCTCCAGAACTCTCGCAGGTTGACTCCGTTGCTGACGATGTCGAATTGTGGTGCCAAACTAGCCCCGGTCGCACAAAATATAGCATCCACCTCGCGGTGCCTGCCGTCCACCGTCTGGATCCCAGTCGCCGTGAACTTCTCGATCGGCGTCTGGACGAAGTCGACGTTGTCTTGAGTGATGGCCTCGAGGTACCCCGGCCCCGGGGTCAAGCGTCTGCAGTTGGGGTTGAAGTCGGGGATCAGCTTCTCCAGCAATTCAGGCTTCGTCGCTATCCGCTTCTTGACGATTTCTATAAACTGCTCGCGCATGCCTTCATTTTCCTTGGACCCTCTGAAAGTCGAGGCGAACCGACGCCAGTACTTGGCCTCGATTTCTTTCCTGAATTTGAGATAAACCCGAGGATCCTCGAATGAGGCCAATTCTTCCGCCGAGTAGGGTTGTGCCTCAAAGGTCCTCTCGTCGCCGGCCCACGATCCGGCGATCCAGGTCTTGTTCCGGGCGTAATGATCCAGACGGTTGACCATGAGCTGTAGGCTGGGCACCACTTGGATTCCACTCGCCCCGTTACCTATCACGGCCACGTTCTTCCCTCTAGGGTTGAACGAAGGGTCCCAATTTGAAGTGTGCCGTATCAAACCTTTGTATTCGTCAATGCCTGGGTATTCCGGGAGCTTCCACGTGTTGAAACGTCCCGTGGCGGTGAGGACAAAATCAGCGTTGTCGACAAAAACCTCTTTCGTTTTGGTGTTTTGGATCGTCACCCGCCACTGTGAAGACGCATTGTCCCAAATAACAGTCCGAACTTCCGAATGGAAACGCATGTACCGGTACGCATTGTACTCGCGAGCTCGACTTTGCCAGTACTCGAGGATCTCGGCACCTCGGGCGAATTTCTCGGACCATTGAGTCTTTGGCATGAAGGTCGACTGGTACACGTTTGACGGTATCTGCCGAAATGTCAGTGACAACTTCGAGAACGTGGGAAGTCTTGCATGAGTGAAGTGTACGATTCATGTCGGAAGGAACCCATCGACGATGAGTGTTAGGTATGTCTTTGGGCCGACACTCACATCACAACGAACTCCTGGGTAGATATTTTCCAGCCAAGTCCCTCCCTGCAGCACACACTCTGGTCAGTCATGGGCTCACAAGGTGGCTCCTGTTGTGTTTTGAGCCTCGTCGTGATTGTAAATACCACGTCTTCATTCTTCTCGTACACGACCAGGTCGATCTTTGGCACCTTGACCGGCAAAAGTATGCTGGCGAGGACACCTGACAATCCAGCACCGATCACGACGACTCTCAAGCTTCTGATTTCATCGATGCCGTGGTCCTGAAGCTCAAAGTCGCTCTTGGGGACCCCGATCGGGTAGCTGAGCGGAGGGTCTCGAACTCCCAGAGTCTCGACACGTGCCTCGTGGATGCTTGTTGTCGACTTGACGCTGCTCGGATCGGTATGTCCATCTTTGACGGGCTGAGGATAACCATCAATCTCCGTCGTGACAACCAGTGGCACTTTGCCGACCGAGTAAGCAGAAGCTGTATGCCCCCCAGAACCTCCGGCTCGGTCGTCAAAACTTTGCGCGTCGACGATGGCCATCCCGGACACTCTGGTCAGTGTATTGCAAGGTGACAAGGGGACAGTTCTTGGCTGGTTGATCCGAGGAGTTTGCTCTCCTGCGATCTCGCTGACAGTGCCAGCCGCGGTATAACAAAAGGTTTACACGATATTTCAAACAAGCACACTATCTAGAACCGCTGTGAAGAGCCGGAAAATCACAAAAGGATACAAGGAACAGACAGTGGGCAGAATACTGGGTTTCACGTGGCGTTATTCCGGTGGAAAATGAGGTGAGCTTCTCGGTATGGGTATTTTGGTTTTGTGGGCCCTTTCACGAGCACGTCTTTGTTCCACATGTTTACATCATTCCCACATCTCCAATCAAGTCTACGACGGCTGTTCATGTTTATCGTCTTGACAAGGACTTGTCCGCTATTGTTCACTTTGCACTCGATCTCCTATCTGATGAGGATTGAAGAAGCACTTGGCTGGGAAGGCTCTTTCCCAACTTGGTCCCCTAGTTACATGTGACAGAGACATGGGTAAGAAAGTTCTCATTGCTTGTCGCCATGCTCAAGAACGAGAGTGAGTGGTTCTAGACTGCAGATAGGTAAACCTTGCAGAAGCTTTCTCGAAGACGCAATGATGAGCATGACTGACGCCTTCAAGTTTGGTAGCGATATGGGGAGAAGAGAGAACATAAGTTCTCGCTTTGGGAACTAAATACAAGGTTGTTGCATGATCCATGTCATAGAATTCCTGATAGCGAACGTGAACCATGGGTAAAGAATACCATACCGCTCGGAAATGGCACCACATCCGCTGGTTCGCTCCGGACGACACCAAGGAGGAACGTCGGCTGATCTGGAAGCTCGATTTACTCATCGTTCCCTATGTGTTTCTGGCTTATTGGACAAAGTATATTGACCAGGCGAATATAAGTGAGCAGTACCTGACCCCAAGAAACATCTTCACCACACTCACTGACTTGTGCTTTTTGTGGTGGCACAGACAATGCATACGTCGGAGGTCTCAAGGAAGACCTTGGGTTTCATGGTAATGAGCTTGTACATCTCCAGACCATCTATGTCGTCGGTGCGGTTCTGGGGCAGCTACCCTTTTTGTTCTTGTCGACACGCATCCCGCTTCACTGGTTGATTCCAGTTCTCGACATTGCCTGGGGGATCTTCACGTTGTTGCAGTACCGTGTAAACAGCTACGCCGAGTTGATGGCATACCGATTCATGGTGGGCTGGTTCGAGGTATGCATTGATACTTCCCTTTTCGATCACTGGTCAGCTAATCAAAGGCCTTGTTTCCAGGCTGCTTTCTTTCCCCTCGTCCATGTGATTTTCGGGTCCTGGTACAAAGGCCACGAGATTGCTCGCCGTGGTGGCTTCTTCTATGTCGGCCTCACTCTCGGCACATTGACTGCTGGTCTCATTCAAGCGGGTGCATCTAGTCGACTAGATGGCGTCCACGGCCTTGCGGGTAAGACTTCGTCCGACTCTCGTCGTGCAAAAGAATTCATGCTGACTTGGGCTTGCAAAGGCTGGCGGTGGATGTATATAATCTGTGCCATAATCACTGTTCCAATCGGCATACTTGGCTACTTCGTCCTTCCCGGCACCCCTGCCCAGCCGAATCGATTGTTTTTGAAGCAGAGCGATATTGACCTGGCCGAGGCACGTCTAAAGCGTGACGGGCACAACACGTCTGGTGAAAAGGCCGGGCTGGGGACCATCAGACAGGTCCTCACCAACGGTCGCTTCTGGGCTTTGTTGCTACTCGACATCTTCTTCTGGAACGGATCCATCAATACTTCAAGTGGGGGCTTCTTACTCTGGCTCAAGAGCCTCAATCGATATTCGAAGGCGCGAGTCAATGAGCTGGGATCAGCTTCTCCCGCCCTGGGGATATTTTACACACTGTTCATCTGCTTCAGCTCAGACCTCCTCTGGGGCCCTGCCTGGGCCATAACGGTCGCCCATACCTGGAACATTATCGGCTTGATCATCCTGGTGGTGTGGGACGTCTCGGAATCGGCAAAATGGTTCGCCTTCATGACGACGTACTCGGCCGTCGCCATGTCGAGTGTGTTGTACGGGTGGGTGAATACTCAACTGCGATACTCACCGGCTCAGAGGGCGTTTGTGCTGGTTCTGATCAACACGGTCTCGCAGTCGACGACGGCGTGGACACCACTGTTGGTCTTCAAGACCGTAGAGGCACCACGCTTCCCCAAAGGCTACGCGTTCGTGCTGGCCAATGCGGTCTGTCTGATCGCTCTGGCCCATATGATCAAGTTGTACATTGGACGAAGAGCGCGTGTTGTCGAAGATGTTTCTGATGATGGCAACGAGACTGGGTCCAACAAGTCAAGTGGTAGTGGACGCAGCGATGGACTTGTGGGGAGAGTTGAGGAAGAGACACTTGACAACAAGGCAACCGATACTGCTGCTCAAGATACCGCGATCGTGATACAGGAGCGCTCTGTGTAAAAGATGCGTCAAGGAGAGCGGCACAGAAGGGGCAATGTTGGTGTAAAGCGGTCCGAGGACACGACTTCAAAAACCATTACACAGATTGCAACGTCCGTAAATAAAGGAGAAGGAAATGAAGCCTTAATGGCTGTTACAACTCAGTATCGTGGTCTTCTATTGGTGGTGCCGGTCTCTGAGGAGAGAGAAAAAGAGACGGAGTCTATGGAAGTAAATGCAAGTAAAAGACAACGAGCCGAGGGGATAGGGCCACCTTCCATTCCGTCTTTGATAAATCATCCGAGGCAAGCACTTGACACAGATGAAAAATAGTTGAGCCTTCTCTCTCTCTCTCTCTCCTGTGGAGGCTGCAAATGTATCTACTATGATAGTGGATATCTACAAGTCTAGAACCAAACAATCGTGAGGAGCATCTTTTGATTTCGTACACCAACATCATTGATAAGTATAATGGTACTGATCATTACTACTGTACAGCATGAGTTTCCGAGTACCTTGCATGTTTGGCACTAGAAATACTCCCACTGGTTGACAAAGATTCCGAGAGGTTAGTGTTCGAGAATTCACCTTACAAAGGAACTCCATATGTGGGTTTTCTTTTTTTTCGAACCGTTCTTAGAGCGTACAGCAAAGATATTCGCCATCGTTCAGGAGTATGGCGCAATAATGACCACAATTCCCATTCCCACAACCCGTGGGATTTGTCACCCACGTTGTGAGATAGACGGTCGAAATCAGATTGCAATTGCGTGATTCGATCTTGATTCGGAGAACAGCGGTTTGTTTTTGTAGCGACTTTCACGGTCGTAGAAAAACAAAACGACGCATGTGGCAGGGGAGTAGAAGTTGTACGGTACTGTTATTAGTTAGTTGCAAGCAGTATCCAATTTGATTCCGATGTCGTGCTGGGCATCTTGTGAGGTCCACTGTTAGCCTGAGGTGTGGCAGTAGTCCTCTTTGTTTAATCAACTTTTCCTGTTCTTTTCTCGAAGTAGTGTCAGCTGTTGTTTCACAAACTTTGTCTCTGTCCAAACAATAGCCTACATTATCCCAGAATTTAGAATAAAGTACCAGAAAAAGAAAAACGGAAAAAGAAGGACCAACGAGAGACGAGGGTTCGAGTTACAATCCGTAGCCATCCACAAGAAGAAGAAGAAGGAAAAAGAAAAAAAAGGCCAAAAATGGGAGACGTCAGCTCGAATGGAAATGGACAATCAACCGCGTCAGGATTCGCAGATGTCCCAAAGGATCGAATCCTCCTCAACGCGTTCGACATGAGCACGGTAGGGCACCTGTCTCCCGGACAATGGAAGAACCCCAAGGACAGATCAGCCACCAAGCGAGACTTGCAGTACTGGATCGACCTCGCGAAACTGCTCGAGCGAGGAGGGATCAACGCCCTGTTCCTCGCGGACACGTACGGCGGGTACGACACGTACGAGGACTCTCTGGACAATTGCATCCGGCGCGCGGCGCAGTGGCCCATGACGGACCCGACGATACCCATCTCCGCCATGGCCGCCGTGACCAAGAACCTCGCGTTCGGGATCACGGCGTCGACGTCCTTTGAGCCCCCGTTCCTGCTGGCGAAGCGCTTCTCGACGCTCGACCACCTCACCAAGGGCAGGATAGGATGGAACATTGTCACGTCGTGGAAAAAGGCCGCGTTCAAGGCCATAGGAATCGACACCCCCATCGACCATGACGAGAGGTATTTGCAGGCGGACGAGTATCTCAGGGTTCTGTACAAGTGAGAGAACATGCGCACCCCATTTCCCAACTTCCCTTGACCAAACCTGACAATTAACCCACTTGACCACCCACCGGGGACCAAATTGTCGACACGATATCTGACGTAGATGTACTACACAGGCTCTGGGAAGGTTCATGGGCAGATGACGCACTGAACCCGGACCCCGAAAACGACACGTACGTCGACCCGGACAAGGTGCGGACCATTCACCATCACGGCAAATACTTGAACCTCGACACACGACACATCGTCGACCCGTCTCCTCAGCGCACACCGTTCTTGTTCCAGGCCGGCACGTCGCCCGCCGGAAGCGAGTTTGCCGCCACGCACGCAGAGGCCATCTTTGTGTCGTCGCACTCCCCCAAGGTACTGCGCCCAAAGATCGACAAGATCAGACGGCTGGCCGCGGAAAAGGGTCGCGATCCCCGCTCGATCAAGTTCTTTGGCACCTTCACGCCCATCGTGGGCAGGACGGACGAGGAAGCGCGCGAGAAGCACGACGAGTTGAAGAGGTACGCTTCGATCATAGGCGGCCTGGTCCTCTTCAGTGGATGGACGGGGATCGACATTTCCAAAATCCCGATCGACCAAGACATCACGGCGGCCGATTCGACCGAGGCGCACAAGGTCACGAGCATGCTCGACGCCTTCACCACGACGAGTCCCGACGTGCCCAGGTGGACGCCGCGGGTCGTCGCCGAGAAGGCCGCGATCGGGGGCCTCGGACCCGTGGGCATCGGCAACCCCTCCAGGGTCGCGGATGAGATGGAGCGGTGGATCCGCGAGGCCGATCTGGACGGGTTCAACCTCGCGTACGTGACCACGCCTGGAACCTTTGAGGACGTTGTGGACCTGTTGATTCCCGAGTTGAGGAAGAGAGGCCTCTACCCGGAAGCACCCGAGGATGGACTCACCGCGAGGGAGAAGATTTATGGAAAGGGTCAAAAGGGAGTGAGAGGTGATCATGCTGCCGCGGCGTACAAGTACGACGCGTATAAAGAGGATGAGCCGTACAAGAAGCCTCAGAATGGGCTTGACGGTGCTGCGGACGAGATCAAGACCGGGTGAGGTGGGAAATATCTAGCTGTCTGGTTGGGAGACATTCGACTGGTAACACCCGGGTGGGAACATATAGAGCCCCGGAAAATGAATAGTCGATGGAATCCAATGAGACAGAAAATTTGAAGAGTCTAAAAGGTGATTGTCTTGTTTTTCTCGAAGAAAGTTGAATGCGGCGGAGGGCGTCGTAGAAGAAAGTCACCGTCCAATGGCGCTAAGTAGATTCTCTGTGGATTCTTTGACCCGATACATCTAGTACCTCACTCTTGCACCTCACTCGTGCTGGTAGGGAGGAATTTCATGCTCCTTTGTCCACTTGAATCTGCTGCCTGGATGGTCACTCAAAAGTGATGCCGAGCCGAAAAATTGTTCCCGAGCCGTGAGTCCCTCCTGTTCCACCCCATTGCGGAAGATGCCTCGCTTCCTAAGTTCAGGTAGTAAATACTCGATAATGTCCTCAAACGATCCCGGGTTCGTCACGTGATTGAGGTTGAAGCCGTCAATATCGGCCACTTCGACCCAGCGCTCCAGCTCGTCCGCGACAGTTGTTGGTGATCCTACAACCTTCCCATTCATTCCTCCCACAAGCAAGTACTCGGCAATGCGGGCCTTGTTCCACTTGAGATCTTTGCTCCCCGGCACTGTATCCGCCCAGCCATGTACGATCGATTGAATCATGGGCTTCTTGACAAACCGGAAATCTTCGTCGTCGGAATAAGTGGACAAATCAACGCCCGTCCAGCCGCCAAAGAGTGCAAGAGCACCCTCTTTGTCTCCATAGGACAGCAGCTCTTGGTGTTTCTTCTCGGCTTCTTCGTCTGTTTCACCCAAGATGACGCATATGCTGGCAATAACTTTCACATGCTGGGGATCTCTGCCAGCCTCTTTGGCAAGCTGACGTATGGCATCAACCGATGGACGTAGTTTCTCTGGGAGTTGTGCCCCAGCGAAGATTACTTCGGCGTGTTTGGCACCAAATGTGCGACCAGTCTTGGAAGTGCCAGCCTGGAACAAGAACGGGGTTCGCTGCGGCGATGGCTCGCAGATATGAGGCCCCGGCACGTTGAAGTGTTTCCCTCGGTGATTGATTTGGCGAACTCGCTCGCCGACGGCATAAACCCCTGACTCTCGGTCCTCCACCACGGCGTCGTCGCGCCAACTGCCTTCCCATAGCTTGTATAGCACGTCCATATACTCCTCGGCAATTTCATACCTTGTGTCATGCTCGACTTGTTGTGATAGGCCGAAGTTGCGAGCTGCACTATCAAGGTAGGATGTTACAATGTTCCAAGCAATACGGCCATTACTAAGATGGTCAACTGTCGAAAATCTCCTGGCCAAGGAGTAAGGCTGTTCGTATGTTGTGCTTGCCGTTATGCCGAACACGAGGTTCTTCGTCACGGCTGCCATTGCTGGCACGAGATACAATGGATCATTGACCGGAAACTGTGCCCCTGCACCGAGTGCAGGCGTAGTATTGGCCGGGCCCTTGTAAACTGGAATTTGTGGTTAGAATATACCACCTGTGCCGTAAAACCGTTGCGAAATGGTTGATAGGGGGATGAGAGGTATCCCCCAGTACGAGTAGACCTACCATCATAGCAGCCAAGGACGTCGGCAAGAAACAGTGCATGGAAACCAGCCTTGTCAAGCAGCTGAGCGAGATCCGTCCAAAAATTCAACTTTTTGTAGTTGTTGGTCTGATTCCGAGGATGTCGCCAAAGACCTGGTGCTAGATGACCCGGTGTATTCTAGATTGAAGCCTGGTCAGTCATGTCAATAGGAGCGAAGGCGGCCAAGTCCCTTGAAGATTCATATTGTTCTTCTTCCCCCAATCTGTCTGGGCGAATGTGAAATCTGAACTTACCATGGCAAAGGCATTGAGGATGAGCTGCTTTTTGGGCGCGGAACTGCTGGGCTTGGCATTTTCTGACGCGTCGCCCATTTTGATTGGCAGTAAGAGCAAGACTAAATTTCCCAGCAACAACAGTAACACTCGACCTCTACTTTCGGTCCTGTTTACTCTGGTGAAAAGAAATATCTACGACGAAAGATAGACACGGAGTGGTATGAAGACCAGACGACTACTGACAAGCCATCTTCATCGATCGGCATGGGACCGTATGGCTGCCGATAGCCGGAATCATTGTTCAACCACCTACATCACGCAATCGCAACGAAGAGCACGCAATGAACTACAGTCTGGTGTATCCAGAAGCGGTCATCCAATGCCCCGCGTGGCCCTTCTTATGCGTTTGCAAGTACCTGTGGTCAAGACTTGGACCTGGAGCCCGTTCGGATATGTCCACAGATAGGGAGAGTGCTTTTCTGGGTGCTTTGCTGGGTTCTGGCACTCCTAAGGCTCTACGAATATCCACAATGATTGCACCATATGTTTATGGCCCAAGATTTTGGAGAACGGTAAGGCTAATTGTGCCATAGTGGCTTTCGAGCACACCTTCGATAAGAAGCGTCTGTAATTGATCAGACAGGTATCTTCACGGCTGGTTGATGTGCAAAATCCACAAAAGGCGACAATAGACATGTCGAATCTCCCCGTTAAGCCTTGGGTTGCGAGGTAAGGCCCATCACACGCGTGCTGGTTGTGCTTTTCGCAAGGTGAACGGCCATGATTCGTGCCTGAGCTGCTTTTTCTCTCGACAATCCTCGGATGCTGAGTGCCAGGGTACTGAACGCCATCTCAAAGTCATTCTTGAGGTATCTTGTGGCGCTTGAATTCGACAACTTGTACCTCCACAAACATGGGTGTGCTGCAGTTCTTCAGCTTCGTCGGATCGTCGAGTCCATCCAAGAGTATCGCCGCGCCAATATTACTTTCCGACCCCGAAAAGCTGCCTAACCCATCAGACAGTGTTGGTCCGCAACAACGAGTGCTATTACTCCATGGCCCAAAGCAGCGTTATGTGGAAGTAACGGACCATCCTACTCCTTCAATATCCAGCAATCGAGAGCTACTGGTTCGAAATATTGCAATCGGTCTCAACCCTATAGACTGGAAAGCACCGTAAGACCTTGCAAGTCCAACGCTTTGCAAGTCCCGACTTGGACAGCTGACAGATCCCAGAGATTTCAACTTTGGTATCCCTGAGCTGCCTTACATATCAGGAAGGGAGTTGGTGGGCGAGGTGGCCATCTGTTCGAGACGAAAATCCCGTTTCAACCCCGGTGACAAGGTAATTGTCATATCTACCGACTACAGAGATCTACGGAAGGCCGCGTATCAGCAATACGTCGTCGCGACAGATTTCAATGCTGCACGACTACCTCTCAACATTACGCCCGAGGCCGGCTCAGCTCTGGGCGTAGCCTTCGTAGCTGCCGCACTGTGTCTGGGGATATGTGCCGGTGTCGACTTTACGAGTGTCGCCAACGGACCGGATCTCTTTTCTATGGTCAGGAAGTTACAGGCCACGCGTCTGCCCGCAGACATCAAGACCGAGTGCCTCGAGGGCATAGACGAAGTCTCGAGGGCCAAGAAGGGTGACTGGATCGCCGTCTGGGGCGGTTCCTCGACGAGCGCTTTCATGCTGAACCAGCTTGCCAGACTTGTTGGTCTCAAAACCATTGTCGCCATCGATCATCGAAAACACGCCCTCAAGATTGCTTCTACGGTCCCTGCTGCCCAACCAGACATTGTGGTCGACAGTCACGACCCCCAACGGGCGATTGAGATCGTCAGATCGGCCACCGAGAAGAGGCTCCGATTCGCCGCCGACACAGTGGGAAAGGACACGGCGACACATCTTTTGGACTGTTTACAACAACGCAATGCGCTTGACGACGAGCCTCTCTCTACCACGACACAGGGAGATCTGCTTTCATCTCACCTGATCGGCCTCAGTGGACTGCCAAAGGCCTCGCCGCCGTCCAACGTCGCCTTCCACAATGTCCCCATCAAATTGTTCCACGAGATCCCCGAAGTTGGAGAGTCCTTGATGCTCTGGCTGGAACGGCTATTGGGTCAGGGCCTTCTGGTCCCCCCTACTGTGCTCGGGGTCCAAGAGGGTTTCGGTTCTATCAACCACGCCCTGGACAGTATGAGAAGAGGCGAGGTCAGTGGAGGGAGACTCGTCGTGAGAGTTTCCTAAATTTATGAGAATCGCATTGCGTATTTGAAGTGAGCAGGGAATAGACGTATACATTTATAGACAAGATGTTCATTGGCCATGGGTGCAAACACGTAGCCATGATACGAGTAGATATCCCTTCCAAACAGATTAGACTCGGCCAGATCGATTGTCGCAGAAGGATTACGCCACAGCCGACGGTACGTGATATGTTGGACTCAGTCGACCACGTTTTTGAAGGTCGAACTTAGCCATTCCCGTGGAAAAGGGAACCCCTGGTCTGAGGCACGTTCCGAGAGTATCTGCCACATGTACATTCGATGCAGTTCCCAACTTCCCACAAGGAAAAAAAAAATTCGATTCGTGCTATAGACCTCTTGTCCCTGGTGGTCATGACCACTGTGAAGGCTGGAAAACGCCCCACAAATGTCGCCATCCATGTCGATATTGTGCAAGAACGGATTCTAGAAGAGATCCACGCTCGAGCTCTTCCAATTAACAAAGCACGAACAATGTTCCGAGAGTTCGCACGCAATTTTAGTTTGAATGAGGAATCCCAGCAAAAGGACAAGTCCGCTATCCATGTCACGAAGAGGCTAGATGACCCGGAAGCGTCCCATCCAAGGGCATTCCGAGTTTGCGGCTCAATCCTCAAAAAGAGCCACCAGTGTGCAGAAGTTTTAAAAAGGTAAATACTGCCACGAGGTGAGGTCGGTCAGTTGCGGACGTCACCCCTGTCAAAGAGAACCAAGAAAAGTCTCTTCGGACTTTTCGTACAGACTCGACGCCTGTTCTGTCGACTCTATCATCATGGGGGAGATAACTTACGAGGCCTCCAAAGCTGGAGAAGCTGGCTTGCGTACCGAGGAGGCTCTGACCAGGTCATCGTCGTCTTCGCTGTCCGATCAGAGGGCCGCCTTCCTATCGACTTTCTCGGCCGAAGAAGACCGCCGGATCATGCGAAAAGTCGACAAGAGGTTCCTGTTGCTCATTGGATTGATGTATATGCTCAAGAATGTGGACTACACCAATGCTGCGACAGTCAAGGTGCTACAGGTCGGCGAGCCTCGTAATATATTGAAAGAGCTTCACATGACGCCGGACGAGTACAATTGGGTACAATCAATATACTTTGTGAGTGTCATGGAAAGTTTCCTGTCCTTGGAAAAGGGTTCTAATTGCATGAAATAGATCAGTTATATCGTCTTCGAAGTCCCTAGCAACTTACTGCTGAAGAAAATGACACCAAGGCACTGGCAGTCTCGGATCATTGGAACCTGGGGAGTTGTGCGTTCCCTACCCGGTTCCTGGACATGGAAAAAAAAGCTGACAGTCCTCCAGGTGCTCGCCACCCATGCTGCAGTCACGAACAAGCACGGCTTGTATACCGCTCGTTTCTTCCTCGGAATGATGGAGGCTGGATTGTTTCCCGGTCTTGCAGCTCAGGTAAGTTTTATCAGAGCTTCCAAACATCACCCTCTGACGTATTCATCCAATGCAGCTCTGTTCTTGGTATCGTAGTGACGAGATGGGCAAGCCGATCATGTGGATGTTTGGCTTTCAGAATTGCGCTGGAGTCGTTGGTAGCTTGATCGCGTACGGAGTTTCGTACATGAATGGTCTGGGTGGGTTGAGTGGATGGCAATGGTGAGTCGGGGCTCAACAGCGGGTCGCACGAGTGATGCCCCTGGTCAATCTTTGATGCTGACATCCATGTCCAGGGTATACCTTCTCGAAGGCCTGTTCACCATCCTCTTCGCCGGTGTCGTCTTCCTCGTCCTTCCCGATTACCCCAAATCCAAGCGTTCCGCGAAATGGTTGACTCCGCGAGAGCAAGAATACATCGAGATGCGACTTACAGAAAATGCTCCACGCACGGAGGACCCTGCTTTTAGCAAGAAAGAAGTACTTGCTTCTTTGAAGAATCCTCGGACGTATGCGTTCTGTCTGTCTCAGATTCTCATGAACCTGGGTGGATACGGCCTGCAATGGCAATTGCCGACAGTCACCACCGGCCTTGGATTTGCAGGACTCCCTCGGAACCAGTTGCTCAACATCCCTCCGGCAGCAGCAAGCGTCTTGTCGATCATATTTGCCGGCTGGTTTCTCAGTCGGGCGTACATGACACGACCTGCATTCATCATGATCATTTGTGCTGGGGCACTGGCATTTTTCCTCGTCCTCGTCACCGACGTCAGCCGCACTGCGACGTACATTGCTTGTATCTTTGGCACCATGTTCTATTCAGTGTATTTCATACCATTCTGGGCTTGTAAGTTAACTGCCGAATCTTCGTCCCAGTCCCAGCTAGTGCTAACGTCATACAGGGCGCTCTGCAACTCTGGAAGGCTCAACCGGCACGGCGTTTACACTCGCATTCCAATCCTGCATCGGTCAAGTTGGTGGGGTTGTTGGACCACAGTTGTTCAGACAAAAATATGCACACAACGGATACAAGGTTTCCTTTGGCATCTGTGCAGGAGCTATTGGTGGGAGTTGGCTTGCCAGTGCCTGGACATGGTATCTCACTCGGAAGAACGAGAGCGACGTTCGCCGGGTGCGAAGACTCAGGATCAAAGCCAAAGAGGAGGGTGGCGTCTGGGCTGGCGAGGACGTGAAGCTTCGGAATGGCCAGCAAGTGTAAAAGGGAACGGGATTTTGCACGCCTGATACCCGATATTAACAATGCTGTGAAGGTGGCATTTAGTGACCTCGACACTGGTATTAAAGCCAGTCCCAACCTTCCACGCCCTTGGCGACGTTTCATTCATGCCAATGAAGCTCAGGAGTCATTAAAAACGGATAGGGAAATCAGCGAGGCTGAAGGCGACGAAGAAGAGCATCTCATTTGGACTGGACACTACAGATTCAGCCTCATGAACAGACTCCTCGCTCAACAAATACAGATGGATGGATGTAACAACAAGTAGGCAAGCAACCATCATACGCATCTACTTAAAAGAGTATATGATCAAGTCAAGTTTGAATACATACTCCCATCACCATCACACACACAGAAGAGAACCATGAATATAATTAACGAAGAATGCTCGCGGGGCGACACTCATGGGAGTAGTTCTTTCATTGGACTCGTCAAAGCATGGCCCTTCTATGTGGCATCGTTCCGGTATAATCCTTTGAGAAAACAGTTGTTTACCTGACCATAAACTCGTTCACCCGTTCCCTTCCACGGCGCCGCAGATATATGCCCTCAGTCGAGAACATCGAACACGCAACAAACAGTACATAAACGAATCACAAAATCCAAAACCCAAAAAGCACGGCCAGCTATTTCCCTTCTTCATTACAGCTTGTAAACCTCGCCACTGTCCTCTAGGAACATGATCAGGTTCTGGTCTCCCATCTCCTTGAGTGCGGCAAGGACCTCGACGTCGGAAAATTCCTCTTGGTTCCTCTGCTCCATCGCATGGTTGACCGCAGCCGTGACATCTGGCACGGTGGCCATGTCATTCTGGAACAGGGAAGTGACCATCAACGGACCGAGAGCACGACGGAACATGTCGAGACGTGCGGATGAGATGGCGGCTGGTGGTGGCTCTTGAGTCTCGCCCTGCGATTGAGTGTCGGCCTGTGTGGAGGGAAGTTGGGAGCTGGGCAAAGAGCTGGCGATACTCATGCGGGACATTTGTGACTCTGCCCCTGTGTGTCTGGAGTGTCGAGAGCTGGTGGGCTGCTGCTGCTCTCCAGAGACTTCATGGTCGTAATCTTCGGCATCGGCTAGTCCAGTGCCACGTCCAGAAGCTCTGGCGTTGGTACGTCCGGATCGTTGGCTGCGAGTCTGAGGCTTCGAGCCACGCCCGCTGCCACCGGGTCTGGTGCCGCGATATGCTATATCACCATCAACACTATCGTCGTCGTCATCACTGGAAGAGTTGTTGGTCTCTTCGGAACTGTCTGCATCTGCATCGCGAGTCTTGCGTCTCTTTCTTCTTCCGTCCACCTTCTCGGGGATCTCACGGAACAAGGCGAACTTCAGGAGCTCCTCTGCTATCAGAGCATCCGCCTTCTCAACGCGACTGGACAATCTGACCTTCGCATGGGCAGTCGACAGACGGATCAGGGTTTCCAACGTTCGGGCCGTGATTGGGCTGGTTCGACGTTGGTTCGCCTTCATCTGGTCGTTTCTCAAGTCCGCATAAGCATTGACAATATAATCGCTCGCTTCTTTGGTCAGGTTGGGTTTGCATCGGCTCTTGGCGTATTGGATGTACTTCTTCAGGAACGGCATGCTGACAGGGTGGGCTTGAGAGTTAGCATTCCGACGTCTACTGGAGCCTGCAATGGTGAATCCAGAGTGCAAGACGGCATTGTACTTTTCGTACACTTCAGATGTCTGCTTCGCATTGTGCTCCTCTTGAACGCCGATTCCCAAGATCTGGTTAGCTTGTTCGCGAACGGGTGCACCTTCCTCGGTCCCAGGCGAGCGATATTGATGCATTCGGAGGACATGCTCAGATATCATGCGGTCTCGCTTATCGTCGATGTCATCTGTGACGATGAAGAGCAAATCGAAACGTGACAGTAAAGAATCTGGTAGGGCAATGTTCTTGTGTGGATCCTTGTTGCTGTCGTACTGGCCAAATATGGGGTTGGCGGCAGCAATGACACTGCATCTGGCATTGAGTGATGTGTGAATGCCGGCTTTCGCAATAGTCACGGTCTGCTGTTCCATGACTTCGTGGATGGCAACACGGTCGATGTCGCTCATCTTGTCGAATTCATCAATGCAAACCACGCCACGATCTCCGAGGACCATGGCACCAGCTTCGAGCCTCCTCTCGCCGGTCTCTTTGTCTGTGGTGACGGCGGCAGTCAAACCGACTCCCGAAGAACCGCGGCCAGTTGTGGCGATTGCCAAGGGAGCAGTGTTGAGCACAAATCTCAGAAGCTGGGACTTTGCGGTTGAGGGATCACCAACCATCAAGATGTTGATGTCACCTCTCAAGTGAGTACCGTTCGGCAAGTTCTTTTCCATACCTCCTAGCAGCATGAGGAGAATCGATTTCTTGATATAGTCGTGTCCGTAAATACTGGGCGCCAGTGATTGTGACAGCAGTTCGAAAATGTTGTGCTTTTTGGCAAACTTGTTGATGTTTCGCACGTCCTGGTCGGTATATTGCGCTTCTGCGATCCCACCGCCAGACTTCGATGATAGCAAAACGACGTTGTTGGCCAGGATCAGGGTCCTGAAGATAGAGGAGCCCGACCCAGCGTTTCTGTTGCCCAGGGATCTGAAGATGCCAACCAGCTGGATGCGATCTCCAGGCTTGACTCGGTCGACCATGTCATCGTCCATGATGACATCGACACCTCGCGGGAGCTGACCGGCCGGTGCTCGTTCTGGCATTTCTTGTATGCTGATTGTCTGGTGGTCTCGGTATGTGCAGTAGCCGTACTCGGTGACCAACTGCCGTTGTCATTAGTGCCTGGAATCTTTGCACGAAGATGCAGCCTTTGCTTACCGGATTCCCCTCTCCGTCTTCCTGCGGGTAGACACTCAGGCTAGCGGGCGCGTTTGCGCTCATTGTTTGATCTCTGTACTCTCTGAAGTGGAAGGTTTGCTTTTTTTCGTTCCAATGCACACTCTTGACAACTTTTGGCCGTACTAGACTGCACTTTGTGACAATTCCTTCCAAGCAGACCATTCGGTTGAGCAATGAGCTCCCCAAGGTCCTCGGATTGCAGGTATTTTCTCCAAACGATCCCGAGAACGCGACATAGTATAAGCGATCTTCATCTTGCTCGAAGGGAGGTCGGTTTGGGATCGTGCCGATGACTTTCTTGAGCGCGGCGTCGAAGGCGAGGGAATAATCAAATGGCTTGTAGAGGATACCGTCGGCGAGCTCCCGTGAGTGTGCTCTGATATCGTCGATGCTGACCACGAGTCTTCGCAGGCCGCGGTTGAGCATCAACACAATGTCGCCTCGGTAGGATCTGGCTTCATCGTCGGTAGGGTCCAGGAATTCGGTGGCATTGCGAATTCTGTCCTGCACCGCTTTATCGCGCAGTTGGAACGTATCGAGCGCCATGGTCAAAGTGGTTTATCGAGATGGTGGACTAAAATTGCAACGAGATCAATGTGTACGCCGACAATCAGGGGGGAAACGAATATCGGTGCAATAGCGCAGAACACGTCCGACGCGTTGACGCGTAAATTGGTTTTTTAGCGCGTCTCATTTATTGCTGAGTCACCTGGTTGACCAATGAATCCTGATGCCAAAACCAAAACGCAATAATAAAGTGCCACGCATTCTTCTTTTGCACTCTCTCTCTCTGCCTATCTGTTCGTATGTGTGTGTGTATATATGTGTATGTGTGAATGTGTGCGCGCTTTTCTCTCCGTACTAGTATGTGTCATCTTCGAAAGATATGTCAATTGGACACGACCTCATTCCGTACATTAGCATTTATTTAGTCCAACGACGGTTCCTAGTGTTTAAAATTAAGCTTATTCAATCATCCAGTTTGAGAATGTACGCCGTGCAAGCTTAATTTACCAAGGCTGCGCATTGCTTTTGCCCTGAATCTCCTCCGTCCTGTTCCAGGCCAACTCGACTGCAATGTGTATGCGGTCATTTAGTTCCTCAGTATGGCGATGACAACGCGGCGTCCCCGACCTTCCGAGATACAGGACTTTATGTGTTTGGCAGACACGCAGATGTCGGGGGAATATATCGGCTGGGGGAGGCACTGGAATGATCTTTTTGTTCAACAACGATGTTACAGTCAAGGTAGCTTACGATGAATACACCCAGGAGCATGTTCAATATGCAAAGAAAGTCTATGAACGTCTCGGCAGCTGTGACGGCGTGATCGTGTGCTTCAATCTCAGCCCCTGGAGTTCGCATGGCCTGTATGGACATCAGCCAACGGGGTGATGACTTCGTAGAAGTCATCATGGGAGACAAGTGCAGCTCTGACCTCTCCAAACACCAACATCACCCGTCAATCGCCGAGTTTCCACGCAGAGGAGACCTTCCGAGGACTCAGAACCTCTGGCTGGGGCACATCATCGAGAATCTTTGGACCGAGAGCTACGACGACCTGCCATAAGCTGTCTGCGGCAGTGGACTCGGTGGCACAACAGATGGGAGCAGAGAGAGGGAGGTTGGCGGGATAGGGCTGACGACGAAGAGATACTATCTGACCATGATATGCAGAAGTAGTTTGGATGGTAGCCTGGCCGGACTAGGAAGTGCCGGAGCCCTTACACTCGTGAGTTCAATGAGCACGTGGCCCATGAATCGTGCGTAGTCCTCGAGGCACTTCGAGGCACACATGAACAGTCACCATAGAGCAGACTTGTATAATCCTGTTGCCTCTTCCTCATACGGACGTCGGGCATCCGTAGACGCGACTTGAAACACCACTCACTATATCCAGGGATGAAATCTTCATCTCTTCCAAACTGCATTTGCGGATTTCAGACCTGAAGCATCTCGTACTATGGCCCTCCGGCAGGGCACCCGTGAGGGCCCCCGGACAGCGTGACCGCAGCCTCAAGGTTACATTGCTTCCCAAAATCTGGTCACTAGGCTTACCTCTCTCTTATTGTTGCCAGGAGGTCCAAACGCATGGCAATATTCCACCGAGGAACCGGTCAGCATATCGAATTGCTCATCAATTGCTTGTGTAAATTTCTTGTGTTGCTTGTGTCACTTGAAACGTGGCCAGACCATCGAGTTCCTCTTACGGTAGATGGCCTCCCCGGTCTACGGTGACGTCCCCTCTCTGAGCTCGTATAGATATGTCCCTTTTCCCTGGGCGCGCAGGTGCGGTCAGCACCTCGCAGGGACGACGCAACCCCACGTACTCAAGGGCATGAAGGCGAAGTTATCAAGCGTTGATCTTCTTTCTCTCCCTCTCCCAGCTTCACAGACCTTGATCATATACACGAGTGGTTTCGCTTCATATCTTGAAGAGAAGTTATACCAGTCAAAGCCATTTGTCACCATGTCAAACCCGAACTATTGTGGTTGCCAAGTGGTCCACCCAGGTCCTAAATATCACCGCCGTTGCACCAAGAAACCGAATGGCCACCTTCCATGCCATAACTTCGAGCCTCCTGTTGAAGTTGTTCGTCTATCCAGTCAACACAACGTGGATCACAAGGTGGAGCACGTTTATCCAGCCTCATCGGTCAAGAAACATGGCAACTGTCCCAACCATCGATCCGAAGCTTTCTGGTACGCGGGTGGGAAAAGAATTGATAGACCGAAGACTGGAGGCAGAGACCCAGGCAGCTTGGGACCAGCCAATATCATGATCAAATGATCAGCCACCTGGAAGCTGCTCTTTCACTGTCGATTTGCACCAGAGGTGCAGCAGGCCTAAAACACTCGGTGGTCAAGGTTGAAGAGTCAAGAGATTGTCCGCCGACTGAGAAGGAATCGGAGCTTGGACTTCTTCGGGAAGTTTTGCCTGGTCAAGGGCTGCGGCAAGCTCGTTGGAAGACTTAAAGGACATAGTCCAACAGTTCTCAATGATGTGACCTAGCCAAACACCTTCGGTTGATGGAAGGTCTTCTCGTCGAGTGCCTGTTAACAAACTATCGGATTCCTTTTCCCCCAGCTCGAATTTACACTTTTTTCCGGTGATTACTTGATACATGACGGCCCCGAATTGTCCAATGTCGATCAAGATTGAATAACCAAAATCGTCGGTGCCATGCAGATCCCATTCGAGAGGCATCAAGGTTGACCCTGCAAAGTCGCAGAATTTGATGGCCAAATGGTCGTCGAGCAAGAGGTTGTCCAGTCGAACATCAGCGATGATGATCCGATGTTCGTGGATATACGCCATGGTGTGTGCCAATGTGACAAACCAGCGTAACTGCGTCTGCCGTGTTGGCCGCTTTTGTTCGTCGAGAAAATGTCGAAGATCCCCGCTCATTCGATCCATTCGGATCGAAGGATCGGTCGACTCGAGATCGTGGCAGCGTACGATGCCATGGTGGTTCCCCAGTCTCCTGTACATTGCCTTTTCGCACTGGATCTCCTCGATCAGGGGGATCCGGTCATCGTAGTCGCCCTCCTCGGGTGTCAGAGGTTCCACCTCGTCTGGCAATCCATCAACCCCACGGATGATTCCTCTCGAAACGTAAGGGATCTTGATCGCCCACCGTCCCTGCTCAATGACAAGGCCTGTTGACCCTAGTCCAATGACCTTCTGGTTCACGATTGTGCCGTCGAGATGTAACCAGACCATTCGGCGCATCGAGGAGCAGATCCATCCATCATCCATGACTTCCTCCGTGAACCGGGACGGCGAGCAGGAGTCAGCGGGAGCACCTGGGTTTCTGTGCACGTGTGTCAATAACTTCATGTGGCGATCACGGGATTGGTTCCGACTTACGCGATGGCCATAGCCGATGATCAAGTAGCGCTTAAGTCGAGAAGCGAGAAGAGCATGACCGTAGTCTGAGACTCGAGAAGTGCACCCCCTTTTACGACTACTAGAAAATAAAAGGCTGCGGGAGCGCCACAGGTCGATCACCGACGATCACGCTAAGCCTCGATTCGGATTGCACGGCCACATTTGAGGCTGGGCTTTAGTCAAGGCTTAGTCATGCACCTAGAGACGGAGGATTCCAACTCCATAACTGCTTAAATGCTTCCCACAAACCAATCTTGCCCGGCACTGACCAAGAGTCTACTAGCCGCTTTACATCTTGTTCAGATGCGTCGATCTGAATCATGCGTCTTTGGTTATACGCAATTGCATGCCCTCGTCAATGGGACTTTCTACTGGTGCGCGGGCGACCTCTGTTGAGTACTCTCGTGCACCTCTTCGTTCATTGTGTACCTGCAAACAGAAAACCATCATTATATACCAGTAAACTAGTTCGAACTACAGCGTACAAATCCTGTACGTTTACAAGAATGTATTGCGTCTATACCGCTCGTCTACAATATTATCTCTAACACGCATATATGTATCTAATATAGTTAAGCAAGTAAAGCCTTCCTCATGGCCATGTGCCGGTCAGAACATGGTACATAGTACAAGAGTACCTATATACCGTGGCGGCGGCGGCGGCGGCAGCTTCAGTTGAGACAGATAATTGTAGGCCGTAAACAGCGTCTGTAGGTTTAAACATTTCCCTCAATGCTCCCAAAACGCCCTCTTCCTGGATTTGATACGAGAAAAGGGTCGAGCAGAAACATCAACAACAACAACATCACGATACCTGAAACGCCCCCTTCTTCTTGATCTCTCGAGTCTTTGAGTCGTTATCCAAGTCAATCGTGGTGTACATACCTTCTTCCAGTACTTTCATACTTTGTGCTCCGGCGTTGGTATCATGATGTTGCAACAACAGGTCGAAGCGTCTCTCTGGATGAAGAAAACACCCTGGACCATGTCTTGGACCCCTTTCTTCCTATCGACCACCACTTCTTCGGCGAAGGAGATCTTTGACGGCTCTTTCCTTCGTCTCCTCTAGGTTCTTCTTCAAATATCTGCGTCGATGGTTTCGGCAACTCCAGAAAACCCATCGAACCCTGCCTCAGACACTGTTGCTTCTTCCAAATACACAAGGCTTGACATATGTGCTCGCGCTCGTCGTGACCAAGGATGTACGTGTGGAAAGAGTATGCTATCGAGTAGTCAGAATTCGCAAATCTCCCTTTCCTTCTTCTGCGAGTCAAGCTCACTCACCGTCAAATTCAGTGGCAAAGTTTCTCATGTCCGCCTCAGAGAGCCCTCTCAACGTCTGTTGCACGGCGACGGCGCGGGTCTTGCGAGTGTTGGAATAAAGCTTGAGTCGTTCGTCGACCTCACTATTAGGTGTCTCGGGCTCAAGGATGACACCCAGTGCGAGAGCGTCCTCCAGTGCCATGGCGATTCTTTGGCCACAGTATGGTGGCATGGGGTGTGCTGCGTCTCCCATCAAGGCCATCCGGTTGGATTGAAATGTCATCAGTGGGTCCATGTCCCAAATCGGTTGATCCTGGAGGTCCCGGTCCAAAATATTTTCGAAGAGGGCCATGCATTCGTCGGGCAAGCCGGCAGCAAGTCGCAAAAGCTTCTTCTTGCTCGACGGGTCTCTCCAGTCCTTGCTCAAGTTCTTGAACGCCATACGATCTTCGTAAAGGAATTTGATGCACAGGTTCTGGCCGTTCGACGCCGGGGTGATGAGAAGGCTCTTCTCTTGGTGGTTGTAGCAGTGCGCCCGACCGTCTGTCTCGATGAATTTGATCGTCCTAGAGTCATTCTCGAGCCGTTCGCGAGGGATCAAGGCTCGGAAGACGTGACGCTTAATGCGGAATCGCCGAAAACTTCCTCCAGGTACGAATGATCGACAAACAGAGTGCACACCATCAGCTCCGATGACGACATCTCCATCTGCTTCTGTCCCATCCGAAAAGTATATCAAGGCCCTGGACGGATCAATACTAACGACCGACTTTGAGGTGACAATGTCAATCTTGGGACCGGGTTTGGAGTTGTCGTGTGCAGCCTCCCAGAGAGAGACAAAGAGATCTTGGTACGTCGTCTGATACCATGGCTGTGACTGATCAGTGCCGATCCTTACTGTCAAGCGAGAATACGGTGTATACCCAAGCCTTCTCATCAATATCGTTTTCAATGGCATCAGCCGAACCATCTTCCTCTATTGACGTCCTGATCATCTGCCGATAATTAACCCTTGTACGTGTCACCCAGCGACTTCATCATTCATCCTCACCATCTTGATTCTCACCGCTCTAATCTGAGCGGTGTCAACGCCTAGCATATCGAGGGCGCGAAGAGAATTCGGGAAGATTGTGATCCCGGAGCCCATTGTATCTGGGACGAGTGCTTGCTCATAGACCTGTTGTTCCGCGTCAGATACAAACCCTTTCCACATCCAAAAGCTGTGAGGGAATGTACAGTAACATGATGGCCTTGTGCCTTGAGGGCAATAGCAGTGGCTAAACCGCCAATTGATCCTCCTGCGATAAGTACTTTGAGACCGCAGAGCTTATGTGCACTTGGTTCATCCATATCGGCGTGACCGTTCAAAACACCAGAGGGGGATTCCAGGAATCAGAGGTGAAACGACAAGTCGTGGCCTGATGAGATGAGAGTTGAAGGTCACAGGTTGGTAACGAAGTTTCCTGGACTTCGTAAAGGTCATGGCATGTTAGAACTAGTCATGCATCGACCCAAACCAGCCTCATTGTCACATTTTTGGATCGGCCACAAAACCTTGTGCCGCACAGTCTGGGTGGTCGATATCGATGTCATGGTACATGCCTCTCAACAATGGGGTTCAGGTTGCCAATGATTTACATCATGCAGAGGTATTTGCAGCGAAAGGTCAGTGCTTGATGTATTCAATAAGAGAAGGTTCGCGCACGGACAACTATCCCAAAAGTTTGGATTGCCGCGGTCGATGGATGACTTGGCACCGCAGGTTCAAAAGGAGGATTCGGTTCTGACAAGGCAAGACAACAGTGTCATGAACTGAACAACTGCGCCTGTCCTAAAATCGATGGTGGATTCCCTTTCGCCATGACTTCGCCGAACGCTTGAGTAGTATGGCCAAGATGGAAAGAACCATCCCTGCAACGAGCCCACGTGGGAGACCTTGGTGGACATCACCAATCCAGGGTATGAGACCCAGACACATGGCGAGCATGGCGACCGGCCAAAGGTTGCCAGAATGCTTTGTGCAGGATAGTTCTTAGAGTGTTGTCGAGATGTGGGAGCGATAACCATGTGAACAGTGCTCTTAGATTTGACGTTTGCACGGACCAAGCTGGAGGACGCCGAAACCGAGAACAGAGATGGAAATTTGTCAAAATCGCCTTCTAGATCGACATCGGAAAGTTTCTATTGGGTGTAGAGACTTCTCCCCAGATCTGAGTTCAGATGTATTGGCGATTTGAAGGGTCTTTGTCCGTGTCGACGTCTGTCCACGGTAGATGCCGATACTTCTCCCACTCGTCCCCGGCAACCATCTTCCACTAGCACAAACAACACCCAAGCAACGTGGTTTGTGGCTTAGATAGCATTGAATTCCCTGTGGATAGCGAGCTAAGTGCTGTCATTCTGTGGTCTAACTCAAAGGCAGCGAGCAAAGTGACCATCCCGGAGAGTTGTGCCCCCATCGGACGCATTGAACAGAATCAGCGAGATAGGCGTTGGGAGGAGCGGAGGACCCTTTTCCCCATACCCAGATAGCTATTCGTTAGCGAATTCTTACAAAGAGACTCAGGTGATGGTGCAGAGGGGAGAAACTAAAGGGCATCCACCCCGAGGCCAGCAAGGCATGTCACAGGGCAATCGGTGTCAGCCTTGTGCTGTTGTCGATCCACAAAAATGAGAAAGCCTGGGAACTTCGAGGGAAAGGGTAACAATCAGTAATGAAATATTGAACAGATTAAATCGTGACTGAGTTTGACAGTGTGATGAGCGCCTTGTAACCCGTGGGTAGATTCCGACATAGAAGCGCAGACGGAAAACGGATGATGGATACTTCGTAACAAGTAGGGGCAAGGAAGCCATCACATGGAACTGCTTTGTACGCTGACAACTTGTATGCAGTCGCTCATGTGTCATATCCGAACACTTCTCACTCAGGGTTCTCACAATGATTTGAAGCTAATATTTTGAGAGACCTTATATTTGGATTGAAGTAATGGCTGGGCTTGGTGAGATCCTCCCTCATGCCTTTTCAGGATTGTGATTGTCGTGATCAACATCTGCAGGATGGGCGCTCTCTCTAAAAATGCCCATCTATGGTCAAAGTGCTAGTTTTGGAAACGAGATACTCATTGATTGCCACCTCAGGTCCACTCTCCTTGCCGTAGCCTAGAACGTTGTTCGAGGTCAGTCCAACACCCAGACCTCACAGTATCTTTCTTACCAGATTCTTTGATGCCTCCAAAAGGACTTTCCGCGGCCGATATACTGCCGGTGTTCATTCCAATCATCCCAGACTCCAAGTTCTCAAGGAGGCGCCATGCACGGTCGACATCTTTCGTGAAAAAATACGAAGCCAGTCCCATCTGCACTCTCTTTAGTAGGTGGAAGGCAGTTCAACATGGCAAAACAAACCGAAGTGTTGTTGGCCAATTGGACAACCTCCTCTTCGCAGTCAAAAGGTGCTATCGGGCAAATCGGACCGAAACATTCGTCCTTGAAGACCAACATCTCCTCGGTCACATGAGTAAGAACTGTCGGCTGAAAGAAGAAGGGACCCAGTTCTGGCAGGTCAGTTCCGCCACAGGCAATGTGTGCCCCCCGAGCCCTTGCATCTTCCACAAACAATCGTGCTTTTGATATGCCTTGGGGGACGGTTAGGGGACCGATTTTCGTGGCTGGATCCATGCCCCGCCCAACCCGAAGGGCCTTGGTTCTGCCGACAAATTCGTGGACGAACCTGTCATACACACCTCGCTGGATATACACCCGGTTTGAGGAGATGCAAGCTTGGCCAGCGTTCCGCCACTTCAAAGCCATCAGAGCGTCGACGGCATGGTCGAGGTTAGCATCGTCAAAGACTATGAATGGACAATTTCCGCCCAGTCCAAGGGTGAGTTTCTTGATCCCACCCGCACAGTGGCGTGCGATGATCTCTCCGACCCTCGTTGAGCCCGTGAAGGTTACTTTCTTTACCAGTGGATGCTTGCAAAGAGCCTCACTGACGGCTGGGGTGTTTGCAAGATCCGTCGTCAGAACATTGAGTACACCTGCTTCGAAGCCGGCATCTTGAGCTAGCTTTGCTACAGCCAGGGTGCTTAACGGCGTTTCAGATGAGGGCTTGACGATCATGGTGCAGCCTGCGGCGAGCGCCGTAGCAGCCTTCCTGACCGCCATGGCAACAGGGAAATTCCAAGGCACCAGAGCCACCGAGACGCCGGCCGGCTGTTTTATCGTGAAGATACGTCGGCCAGGAGTCGATGACACGTTTGTGATGCCTTGAATTCTCTCAGCTTCGCCTGAGAACCTGTGAGCCTAGTTGAAATATTGCGGCCCTGGCTTTCACGTACCCGCGAACCACCAGAGAAATGATTTTGAATAATCAATCTCAGCGAGGGCTTCGTAAAGTGGTTTCCCAGTCTCCAATGTCAGCAAATTAGCGAGATCTTCACGGTGCTCTTCGATCAGTTGAGACCAAGCTAAGAGGCGTTGAGCTCGAACTCTTGGGGTTAGCTTTGAGTAGACGGCAAACGCTGCCTGAGCTACCACAACAGCGCTCGGGACATCGCACGCGTCGTTCTGTGGACATGTTGCGACGACTTCTCCCGTTGCCGGATCTGCTGCTTGTTACCAAAGTTGTCGGTTTCTCTGAGAAGTGTACTCGTACTGATAATCCTGAAGCGCTGCTTCGACTTCGAAGTGACCCACTCCCCGCCGATGAACGAGTCTTGAAGACAGAGCTCCGGATGCTTTAGATCCATATTGTATGACGCGAGATGGTTGTGAAGTTGGCAGTCGCTACTGGAGAGTTGACACTACCACAACTTCGACCTTCTTATGTCTGAAAGGTTGGCGCTCGTGCAGGAAGGAAAGGAGACCCTGAGCAGATGCTAATCCGAAGGAAGAGCTTTAGTCGGTCGGACTAGGTGAGGCGCAACTTGGAGGCCTGCCAATTAGTGGGACCGGGTTTCCTGAAATCCTGTTCGAGCCTCTGGGTTGGTCGATGAGAAGTATCGCACATCAAGTCGGTCTTGGTCTGAATGCTGAGTGCGTGTAGTCCCCGCTCCTCCCGGCGAGAAGGACAGGTAAAAGTTGCGACAGTTCCTAGATGTCCCGCGATGACCCAACAATCTTCCTCCGATACGGTGGAAATTCTCATGTTTGAGCCAGCCTGTGCTTATCAGAGGTTGCAGATCGGGGTGATTTCACCGCCTCCGAGGCGCAAAGGAAAACCGGGAAGATTGATCATGAGTGATCCACATGTTTCATTTGTCATCCTGGGACTATTGAGTGAAAATTTACGGAGTATATCGAGCTCCAACCTCGGGAATCCACCGAGCTCCCGGCTTCAACTTATTGGTTCTCGCATTCCGCTATGGTAGCTACAAGACAGTCTGTCAAAGTTTGCATCTGCGCCTGACTGATGATTAGAGGAGGGCAAAGGGCGATGGTGTTTCGAGCTGGCACCGCACGGACGATCAGTCCGCGCTGCAAGCAGACTCTAGAAACCTCTCCTACGTCAACAAACATCCTGCCATCTGCTTTTGCTGTACCTGGGGTAGTGAGCTGGACCCCTATCAGCATGCCCCTTCCGCGGACATTCAGAATGCTGCACAGATGTTTGGATTGGTCCCGAATCATTCGTACGAGCGACTGACCTTTTGCCGTCGCCTGTTCCAACAGATTGTGCTTCTCAATCTCTTCAATGTTCGCCAAGGCCGCTGCCGCAGCGACAGGGTGGCCCGACATCGTAAACCCGTGGCCCAAAATGCCGACTTCTTTCTGATATTGCTGCAGCACTGAGGCGACTCTCGCGCCAACCATGCTTGCTGACATGGGAACATACCCACTCGTCAACCCCTTGGCTAAAGAGACCAAATCTGGCTGGACTCCCGTTGTCTCCCACCCGAACCAGTGGCCGATCCGACCAAAGGAGCATACCACGTCATCCATGACCAGAAGAATGCCGTGCTTATCGAGAACGTCTTTGACTCGCGGAAAGTACGTCGCGGGGGGAATAACGATGCCACCCACTGCCATTATCGGCTCGGCAAAGAATGCCGCAATGGTCTCCGCTCCTTCCTGTTCGATGGTCTCTTCAAGCTCTTTGACGAGGTCATCCACAAGGGCGTCTGGCGTCGCAAACCTACGGCGATTCATCACGTCGTCCACGTCTGGTGGTGAGAGGTGAATGTAGTTTGACTCTGGAAGTGCAAAATTTCGATGGTGACCTGGCAATCCGGAAAGGTTCGCTGCTGCGTATGTGGTTCCATGGTAGCTATCGTGGCACGCCAAGAACTTGGTCCGCTGCGGTTGTCCCAACAGTAGAAAATACAACCTGGCGAGTTTCAAATTGGTGTCGTTGGCATCGGCACCGGAGTGTCCGAAGAAGACCTTCTTCATACAGCTGCCTGGAGCAAGCTCGATGAGTTTATCGGCCAGGCGCGTTACATACTCGTGGGAACAACCCCAGAAGCAGTGCGCAAAGGATAGCTTTTGTGAAGCATGATGAATCGCGTCCGTCAGCGCCGGATTGCCGTAGCCAACATTGACGCACCACAGACCGGACATTGCGTCGAGTAGCTGTAGCCCAGAGTGAGTCTGCATCATGACTCCTTCAGCATTGTCGATGGTGTATGCTCCAGTGCTCTCGTCGGAGAGGGTCGTGAAGGGGTGCAGCAGGTGGCGTTCTGCTCCGGTTTCCTCCATCTTCCAGGTGGACCACAGGCGGCGCAGTCTTCGGGGGTATCAGAAATCTTGGAGCTGGTCGATATGCCATCCACCATTGAAAGATGATGGCCATGGCCATATGAGATATACGATTCGAAATGTAGTGAACTACGGAAAATGGCAATTTTGTTGATGGCTGACTAATGAATTGTCTGCTCCCCGATTTCAAGTTTGTCCGTTCTCGTCCCGCGGGCTTTGTTACCTGCAAAATGCCGGGACGACTGGCTCTGGTGAGGCAAATCTGCTATTCGTCATTGATAAAAGACCCATGGTATCCCCTGCCGTGTGATGGAGCAGAGTATGCTCCGTCTCAGGGCGGGATGCTTGCCTCAACCCGGTCGACGTCGTATGGACTGACGGGATAGTGGCTGACAAACCAAATAGGGGCCGTCACAGATCTCCCTCTTGCAGGAATTTGTCCTGCTTCTTCCGAAAGGTCAGTCTCCACCGCGCGCACTTTGATACCTGTAGAGGTTTTTGAATTGGCCAAAAGCTCCGGCGAGGTTCGAACGAGACAGGTTTCATTTGTCATCAAGTTCGCACGATTCCACTCGTCTCTCATCCTACCAGAGATTCAGGGAACGAACTACCCGTCGCTATCTACGCAACTATCGGAAAATGGCGGCGAGAATGAGACAATCGAGCGAACTCAGAGCTTGAACGAATTTCCCATTCGCTAGCTCAGCCGTCTTCAAGACTACAGACGGGCGCGTCTCTCGCCTATGTCTGAGGAACCTGAGCATTCCGGCGACTGGGATCCAGTCCGGGCCCAGGACGACGACCCCTTGGGTTCAATGGTCAACCCGCCAACTCTGCTCCATAGGGTCACATTCCCAGGACCGTGAGAGGAGATTCTTCCCCGTATATCAAGGAGCTCCCTATTCTTTCTCCTTCTCCGACACTGTGGTCTACTTTTGGATCCCTCTACGCCTAGGTTTAAGTGCAAATAGTCTATCCATCCTTCTCCTCGCGCGACTATCTTGAGATCGTGCCGACCCCGCAGCCTCAACTCTACCATGAAGCCCTTGAGCGACCGAGAATCCACCGGTGAAGATGTGCAACTGGAGAGTGGCTTTCCCGCTGCGGTTGACATTGGTGACTCTGCTTCCTTCACGAGCATGCCGCAGGCTGATGGTCAACTCAAACGCAAATTGAGATCTCGCCACGTCCAGGTACGTCTTCCCTGCTGCTTTGCAGTGACATCATTACCTATGATGCTAGATCAAAGCTCATTTCTGGTTGGCAAGATGATCGCAATTGGATCCTGCATAGGGACCGGCCTGCTCATCGGGTGCGGCAAGGTCCTTCATACGGGTGGCCCTCTGTCTCTTGTCCTAAGCTTTGCTCTTGTGGGAGTGGCTTTGGCTATCATGATGCAAGGTCTGGGGGAGCTTGCCGTGGTGCTTCCTGTCTCAGGCGGTGTTACGGACTATGCCACGAGATTCTTCAATGATTCTTTGGGATTCGCCGTCGGCTGGCAGTACTGGCTAGCATGGGTTGCCATCTTTGGAGCCGAGGCATCAGCTTTCAGTGTCAGTTGAATGCATCCATCGTTTTCTCTCGAGCCCCACGAGAAGTTGGAAGACGGAACATTCTGACAATTCTATTTCAACTCGCAGCTTCTCATCGGTTACTGGAATGACGAGCACAAATACATACCGCTCTGGATCTCTATCTTCATCATTGTCAATCTTGCCGTCCACCTGTTTCCGGTCAACGTGTTTGCAGAAGTTGAGGTCGTTGTCTCGGCAGTCAAAATCATCTCCATTTTCATCTTCATCATCGTCGTCTGGGTCATTATGGGTGGGGGTGGGCCTCACGGCGCCAAACACGGCGCCGGAAATTGGCATCTGCCGGAATTGGATAACGGCGTGCTTCACGGCTTCAGAGGCATCGCTTCGGGATTTGTCACGGCAGCTTTTGCGACTGGTGGCACGGAAATGGTGGCCATTGTGGCAGGAGAGATGCAAGCTCCTCGGTAAGAACCCCCCATGTGCCTTCTGAAACCCTTCATTCCTGAGTTCATCACCTGTAAGAGTCTACGCTGACGATATACGACGCTGATCGTGCATGCATCCACAGTCGTGATCTGCCTGCTGCGATCAACCTTCTGATGTGGCGTATCTTTGTCTTCTATGTGGTTGCAATGTTGTTCCTCACGTTCGTTGTCCCGTACAATAACGAGGCACTGATCGGCGGTTCCAAAACCAACAGCTCGCCATTCATCCAAGCCATCAAAGGAGCGGGCATTCAGGCGCTCCCAGACGTCTTGAATGCCGTGGTCATGGTGTGTGTGTGCAGCGTGGCCAGTTCCAGCGTTTACATAGCGTCACGCACGCTGAAAACGATGGCGGACATGGGCTACGCCTTTCGCATCTTCAACAAGGTGGACGCCCAGGGGCGGCCGTGGACCGCACTGATATTTACGGCCTCGGTCTCCATTGTGCTTGCGTATCTGAACTGTAGCAGCACGGGAGCCATCGTCTTCTCTTGGTTTTCTGCCATCTCGGGTGAAGCCTTCTTCATCGTGTGGATGGTTTTTATCCTTTGCAACTGGCGGTTTCGTGGTGCTGTTGACATGCAAAAGGATGACCTCTTCGACAAACCTTTTGCTTTCCGACAACCATTGTATCCGTGGCTACCTATGCTTTCATTCGTCATGTTTCTCTTCATGTTGGTCAGCCAAGTCATTCTGTCGCTGTGGCCGATTGATGGACAACCAACCGCCTCGAAATTTTTCTCCGACTGCCTAAGTCTGCCCTTGTTTATTGTCATGTGGGCAGGCCATCAATTATGGAGTCGCCAGCCCCTGAAAAACCTTGTGAGTAAATTCAACTGGAAAAATACAATGTTTGTACTGAGACAATCTGCAGAAAGTGATTGACTTGCACACGGGCCGGCGACGGATGGAGGCCTGGGAGATGGAAGAGTTGCAAAATCGGCAAAGCCTCAAGTGGTATCAACGGGCACTTTCCTACCTGAAGCTGTAGAGGTCAGGCGGAAACACGTTCGGTAGTGCCCTAGCCGTGTAGGCTTGAAGTGGAAGCCTAGAGATGTGACTGGTCACGGCGGCAGGGCCACACTTCGAGCAGATTGCATTCGCATGGAAGTAGGCTCCTAGAGCAAGCGGTACCTCAGTCATACTGAAATGCAGTAGCATACGGAGCAATTGGGCAGAGCTCCATAACTAGCGTATACTTTGCCGTTCCGCCGATTCCTTTTTTTCCATAGGAGTGAGGCCAGCATTGTGTGAATCGAGGGGCGCGCGAATCGGTGTTTGATGGTGAAGCATCGGTCACACCTGATAAGAGTGGCAAGGTACAGCTGGGTATGTTTGATGCTGTCTGCCTCCGCAAAGTCCCGAGCTGGATACCACGGAAGGGGAAATGACAAATGAAAACTTTGTGTGAAAGGTCTCCTCCATGCGATTAATGAATTCTGGTCTCGTACCCGTGCCAACACGCGTACGCCTGGAAGGTGTGGGTGGACTCTTCGGAGTGCTTTCAACCTCCCCTGACATGAATCAAGAGATGTTGGCATTCGTCTTGTTGGAAAGCGGGAATTGCGACAGACGCTCGCCTGCCAAGTTGTGTTACATCTCGCAGAAATTTCATATTGTAATTGTTTTCTTTCTTCCTCCCCCTTGGTACACTGTCGTGTTTTCACTCCTCTCATACCACCTCTTCATTGCTGTCCTTCGACACGATCTACAACCAGCTTTCTCACCTGATCTTGTGTAGGCATAAGTCCCACGTCGTCGACGATGCCTCTCTACAGGTTCGAGCTGGGGAGCAAATTGGAATCCACGCAGATGAGCCAACTCGCCGAGGAAATCACCGAGTGGCACGCCAGAGCCTTCACCATTCCTGCCATGGCCATCAGCTGTCACTTCCAGGACGTGAGTGACGACCACACATTCGCGGGGGGGAAACCCAAGAAGGGCAACCGTCTGGTCATCCACCAACGGACCGCCAACCAAAACGTCCCGATGGAACAACTCGAAGCTCACGCGCAGGCTGTCATCAGCTTGTGGAGAAAGGCGGTCTTTGGGGATCGTGAGTTGTCGTTGGCGGAGGAGCAGGCCCATTCGAACGCCCTGCATGGCATTTACATGGTTAACTCGATAGGTCTGGCCTACGAGTACGGGGTTTTCCTTCCGATGGTATGTGAGACCAATGGGCCATACGTGAGCGTAGCGGACTGACCGTTGACGTTTATAGACCGGGACGTACACGGAATGGGTGGTCAGGAATGAGGCTCTGATCCACGAGCTGGCGTGCAAACGTATCCCCGAGTTCCAGAGCCTTGTACTCGAGATGGACGTCCAGGGCAAATATAAGCTTGGTCTTGGACCATAGTAGAGCTCACTTAGTGCCATATTTGAGTCCTCTTCCTCTGACGTTCATTCCCCCAGCATAGCTTTCAGTTTGCCCTTCCATTCACTGAGTGCTTCGTCCTTTGCTAGTAAATCTGCACCTTGTCGCTGGAATTCCGCCTGTAGAGCTTCATATTTATTGGACAATTCTTCGAGTCGTGTCGACGCCGACTGTCCCTGGCTTATGAGGGCCCTCATCTCAGCCAGTTCTTGATCAGACATGAAAGTCCCGGTCCGCGATTGTTCCAGCAAGATGATCTGGTTCTTTTGCATCTGCTTCTCCTGCTCCAGGGCACGTACTTTTGCTTCCAGCTCCGACAATTTCTGTCGGAGAAAGGTTGATGTTGCTAGTTCCTGATACAATGTAGACAAGCTTTCATCAATCTTGGTCGGCAACGTAGCAAATCGGGATCGTCTCTTTGAATAGTCTCGCGTCCCTTTGTACAAGGACCAAAGGTCATCATCATTAGTCGACAAGGCCATGTTTTGAGATGGAGCAGTTCGTTCAGGCGATTGCGTATATTCCAGTGGCTCGTCGGCGTTCTGTCGAACCCGGTCGTTGGCCGCGATGGCAGCGGGCGTGGGCGCGGGCGTTCGCGTGTCAGAAGAGGGGTTGTGAGTGGTATCAGGAACCTGACGCTGGTGAGCTGTTGACCCATATCCGACCGTTGGGCGTGCAATGTCCTCGCTGCTGTTCAAGATCCCGCCGTGTCGGGTTTGAAGTCTCAAATAATCGCTGTCCGCGGCCGGCTCGGGTTCAGGAGTTGCAGAGGCTGACACATCCGGAGGAGACACATCCCAGGACAGTTCCACACAGACAACGCAGTACAGCTTGCGGGTTCTGCTACAGAAGGATGAAGTTTTCGGCATGCAATTTTGATGATACGCGCGTTTGCATGTCTGACAGAGGATCAAGTCGTCTGGTTTACAACATTCTAGGCACACGGGATCGTGCCACGCGCCTTGGCCTGGTAGATGATGCGTGAGCCAAATGTAGCATCAGATGCTCCCAAGGGCGAGGTATGAGCTTACGTCTCCATATCTTGTAGTCCTCAACCTGCACATCGAAGTCGAACCGTCGCTGGCGTTGTGGTCTTCTCTTGCTTTTAGGGTTAGATTTTGCGGGCGTGTCCAGCTGCTTCCGCTTACGCCCTTGTGGTGAGAGCGACTCGCTTTCCATGATGGATGAAGATAGATTCGTGTCTGATCTCGACTGAGACTAGGCAAACGAAGCGACGCAATAAAGGTGAGATTGGTGTTGGCGAGACATTATGACAAAGGAATTGAGAAGGGGAAAAAACAAGTTGGCACCGTATTGGTTGGACCTCACCAAGGAGCACACGTGATGCATTCCATTAGTCAGCCACTGAGAGCTGTCACGTGGGCTCAAGGCGACATCACCTTCAATCCTGAATAGACTAGATTGGACCATCTGCCAAAGACGAAAGTACGCCGAGGTAGACTTGATCGTATCTATACAGTAGTTAGATAACCTCGGTACTTCATACTTGAGCATCCTAACGAAGATTAGGAGGTGCACTCAACCTGATCAGTGATTACTAATCCAGTCCGTCACTAACGGGAACCGGAACATCAATGACTCAAAACCATCTTCCTTCGACTCGTAGACCGGCAACTTGAGTAGTACGAATTAATCGGTCAATCAATCTTTCAATCAGATAACACATATACATCGAAGCTTCTTACACATACCTTTGAGGTCACCCGACGTCTTTTGTTACCTTTGAAGTCAACCGCAGACAGACTCGTCGTTTCTTGGTTCAAAAATGGAATATCAATATCTTGGAAAGTCGGGCCTTAAAGTCTCCAAGGTCATCCTGTCAGTATGCTAATGAAAGATGACATGTTTCGTATATGATGGACTAATTCCAGCAGTGGTGCAATGTCCTATGGAACACCGGAATGGCAGGGTTGGGTGCTTAACGAAGAGGACTCTCTGCCACTCCTTGAACATGCCTATAAGGTGGGCATCCGTACTTGGGACACGGCAGACATCTACAGTCATGGTCGATCTGAAGAAATCATCGGCAAAGCAATCAAGAAATACAGCATCCCGAGAGAAAGGCTTGTGATCCTCAGCAAGTGCTATTTCGGTGTATCTCCCGACACCCCTGGGGCTCAGATCAGCGCCAGCTCCGTCGTAGGGTCTCCCCTTGCTGTGTACTCCCCTTGCGATTCTCGTACAGCAGTTGACAAAGTGACAGAATGATGGCGACATGGTAAACCAAGTCGGTCTCAGCCGCAAACACATCATTGACGCCGTGGACAAGAGCGTGGCACGACTAGGAACGTACATTGATGTCCTCCAGATCCATCGTCTTGACCGCGACAGCCCTCGCGAGGAAATCATGAGGGCACTCAACGACGTGGTCGAGTCTGGCAAGGTCCGTTACATTGGGGCGTCCAGCATGGCGGCGTGGGAGTTTCAGGAACTGCAAAACGTTGCCGAGAAGCACGGCTGGCACAAGTTTGTGTCGATGCAGAACTACTACAACCTCCTGTACAGGGAAGAGGAGAATGAGATGATCCCTTACTGCAACCACACGGGGGTCGGCTTGATACCCTGGTCGCCCGTGGCCCGTGGTGCCCTGGCTCGACCGTGGCAGAGCCGCGACACCCTGCGAGAAAAGACCGACAACTTCCTCCAGCATCTGGTGCGGTCGAGGGATGACAAGGTGGACGAGGTAATCATCGGGCGCGTAGAGGAGGTCGCTCGTAAGATGGGAAAGAGTATGGCGCAGATTGCCATTGCCTGGTCTTTGAGCAAGAAGGACGTCTGTCCCATCGTTGGGTTGAACAAGAAGGAGAGAATGGATGAGGCGGTGGATGCGTGTAAGATCCAGTTGAGTGACGAGGATATCAAGTATCTCGAGGAGCCATACCAGCCAAAGAAGAGACAAGGCTATTGAGAGCGACGAGGAAAACCGGGTGGGAAAACATCACAACTAGCTACCCGGTGTAATTTGAGAAGTCGACCTACCTGCAGACGAGCAATTGAGCAATTACACCGTCGTGAGCATCCCCAGGTACAGATAGTTGCCCATCATCAGACCATGCTGCTGCCTCTTTCACTCTGACGTCAGATAGGACATACCTACCTAGAGGCGGTAGGTGGTTGTGGTGAGATGCTGCAAGTTCTTCCACTGGGCTCAGGTCCTGCTCATTCACTTTGTCTTTTTCCATCAACCACCAGCGCACCCTCTTTGCTTACTACAAGCTCTTCCAACCAGCTCGTTCACTTTGTCTTTTTCATCAATCACCAGCAGACTCTCCTAGCCTACTACAAGATCTTTCCAATCAGCCTCAGGTCCTGATAATTCTCCTGGACTTGCCCATCGACCACCGGCTTCTTTTCTCCGCATCGCTTCGTCAAGCTGACCATCACCACAACTCTGCCTCCTGCATTTGCTTCATCATGTCCAACCGTCTCCTTTTCCTTGTCATTGTCGGCTGTGTTGTTAACTTCTCAGTCGTCACCTTTGTTATCCTCCTCTGCTCTCGCTTCAAAAAGTACTCCACATCCTGAGAACGACAACGACCTCATTGCGTGCCTGACAGACCCGCGTCGTTCATTACTATTTGACTAGAGTCTTCCTCGCCTGCGCAAAGGTACCTGGGTCTCCGCTGTCTCCGTCGTCTCCGCCGTCTCCGCCGTCTCCGCTTTTCCAGATACATACTGACAACAAATTCATCAGACTACTCACAATGACGAAGCGGACCCCTGACACACCATGACACCCTACCTGACAATGAATCCAGTCGAAAAAAACATGCTACTATGTCATATTGGGCTTGAAAGAAACACCACGTCCTACTTACACCAATAATCAAAAATACAAAAGACATAGCCAGGAGAGAAAGAGGAATCACAACCTCAAATCATGTACGTTTTCTGCTGGATTTGAACCTGGAAGAGACGGCACACACGATTATCACAAATCGGCACGAACAAGAGGCTATGAGATGAGATAAGGGGGAGTATGAAGGGGGAGTCAGATATGCCACATCACAACCAATAGCTTTCCCTTTGTAAACTTGATATCACCCAAGACATTCAGAAAGAGGAAGACAATCAATCAGTATGGACATGAGCATCTGCCCGACTGTCAATGTGAAGGATATTCAAATAACACCCATTTTGTATTGATCCTGTGCGTCTTTGGCCAAACATACCACGGCCTATCTTGAGACCTATGTTGAGGTGATACAAAGTTCCACTCTGAATCGTAGAGCATTTCCATTTCATGGCAAGCCAAGGCATGCAAAAACTACTGTCATGTTCGCGTAGAATCCTCATCTTCCTCCAACGAAGCTATTCTCTCTCTCGACTGTGTTTGTAACGTAGGCAGTAGCGAATGCTCATCAGCATTCTAAACGATATCTACCTGAAATAGTCTGTGATCAAACAGAACCATACAACATACACACACAGAGAGAGAGAGGTCGAGAGAGGATCTCTCTCCCTTGATCATACTCACTTACCTACCTGACCGAAGTAAATGGAGGTGAGGATGTGAGCGCAGGCAATGGCTAGGACAGACAGCGACTAAGTCGTGGTTAGGTACCTACCTTAATGAGTGAGTGAGTCGGAATATTTGCCCACCTTTTCCTACCTACCTATTCCAAGGGTATTTAAAGGCCAGCTTTCCTTTTTATTTTTATTTTCCTTCTTCCTTTCTTTTTTATTTCCTCAGCTGAGATTCACAATCCATGACAGAAACAAACATCTGTTCACATCTTTTCCACCTTTACAATGGCTATGAGGTACAAGCTCCAGCATACAAACAGTCAACCGCAGAACAAAATCCCTCTTTATCTTTTTCCTCCTCCTCCTCCTCCTCCTCTTCTTCTTTCTCTTTATCCTTTTCCTCCTCCTTCTCCTCCTCCTCTCCTCCCTCCTCCCTCCTCCTCTTCTTCTCCTTTATAAGAAGTTACAAAGGGAGAGAGTCTACTCGCCTAGACATATTGAATACACATATTCCGGAACCATCTTGAATGAAAGAGTTCCGAGTCATGTGTCTAGGCGAGTAGACTCTCTCGTCCGGCAGGTCTTGCTTCTGCAGGCAGAAGCAAGACTTGCCGGATTTATCGTTTTCCGAGATGAGGTACCTTAAGAACAGACCTCACGAGCAGACGCCCGAATGCGGGACATCTGAGCTCGAATTGCCAGTAATGGCTGGGCCATTACATAAGAAGCGAATACTGCTACAAACGCAGAGTCCGACGTCTGATATATCTTGCTCAACATCCCCCTATCGAAGGGCAACATTTCCGTGGATACGACCCCTTACAAGATCAACGCATTAGGGCTCTGTCAAACCCCAAGCTCAAAACTTTCAAGCACCAAATACCAGGCAGGACGAACAAACTATCTTCAAAATCAGGTATGATTCCTTCACCCTCCTTTCCACACTCAGACCTTCTGACACGATCAACGCATTAGGGCTCTGTCAGACCCCAACATCAAAAGTTTCAAGCACCCAATACCAGGACAAACAAACTATCTTCAAAATCAGGTATGAATTCTTCACCCTTCTTTTCACACTTGGATCTTCTGACGAGATCAACGAATTAGGCTCGTCTCATCTTCATCGTCATCATCATCGTCGTCGTTGTCATCATCATCGTCAATGGCAAGTCAATCAAGGATGTTTCAGGATCGGTGCGAGCAAAGCTGGAGGAAATAGGGAGATGATACATTCTCTGTCCATTCATTAGCAGATAGATCATCCATCATAAAAGTCTATCCACCGTTTCATCATCCTTTCATGCGAATGTGTGACATTCATGTCCCCATCACTCCTTGTTGGAGCAGTGTAAAGACCATTGACCTTGGACCGCTACAGACTGTACGTACGGAGGGACATCTATACCATAGTTGCAATCGGAAACAGGTATAACGGGCAGCCCATTCTTTAACCGCACATAGCCACCTTATCGATTCTCTCTTTACGCCGCTACGGTCACACCCTCCTTTGAAAGAAACTCCTACTTAGCTTCTTATCTCTGCTTCTTCTTTCGTCTTTGAGACTCACATATACAACCGGTCCCAACTTCTGTTCCTTTGTGTGAACCGTAAGGGCAACGCAGGCTCCTTTTGCAGGACCGACGGCCTCTGAGTACGTCTTCTGACTTGACCCAGCGCTGCCTTGCCAATGAAGTCCTCAGCCTCTTCCAAAACTTCATTCCTTAACCAAAGAGTGATGGAGATGCCGCGAGACGCTCTTGAGGAGAATCCAGAAGTTGATCTGCTCTCTATCATACCTCGGTCGTATAAGGATCAAATCTCTCCAGATGCGCGCCCGCTGTCGGACATTGCAAAACTCAAACAGTGGACGATACAGAGAATGGAGGGGCAATTCAGAAAAGAGGCTGAAAGGCGATCGTTCCTCAACATTTCAGGATTCTTACCGCATGAAGGATCTCGAGCCCGAAAAGACATTAGAGCAAACGCCGGAGGAAGAAACTCAGGATCTCACCTCTACACTCGCAGATACTCTCGAGAGGCTTGAAAATACAGACGAAGCAACTGTTGTCTCTCCGATATCTGACACGGTTATTGCTTTACCGAACCGTCAGGGTATGACTTCGATTCCTTCTGAGAGAAACTTGGTCCCCGACACGTCCCTTGCGGAGAAATTGAAAGAGATGTTTCGAAATTCCAAAAAACTTTACGAGATGCCTATCCGCGGTGCGGTCTTCAGATGCGGCGACAAGACTGTAGCAAAAGTTGTGCGCATGAGCCACCCCGATACTACCGGATATACATCTCTGGAGTATCTCCCACAGCACGCACCCGACTTCCCGGCACCGCGACCCTATGGCCTCGTCACTCTTGGCCGAAGCAGTGTGTGATATTCATGTCCTACATGCCTTGAATACCGCTGTCAAGGGCTTGGCCGTCGATGACCTGCCGTCAGAAAGTCTCTGCTCAAAATCAGCTTGATGACATCTTTCACAGACTCTCCCCCAGGTGGCGTGGCTACGGAGGGCGTCAAGGACCTACATCGAGAAGATTACAGGAGTGATCGGGCCATTACCACGGGCGCCGGTTTCGAAGATTGGAAACTCGTTCTCCGAGTTCCTGACCAACCATTACATCGACTATCTCCATAGCTTTCTCCCTCCCCCAGCCACCGAGACTGTCTTTACCCATGGAGATTTGAGACCCGACAATATCATGGTGGATCTGAGTAGCAGCGGTGATTATTTGGTGACAGGAATCATTGACTGGGAAGATGGCGGATTTTATCCTCATCTCCATGAATGCACCAAGGCAACAAACACATTGAAATCAGGTGAAAAGAGCGATTGGTACCAGCATCCGCCGCCCTGTCTTGTACCGCATACATTCCCTGTATGGTGGCTTGTTGATAGGCTCTGGGATCGAAATATCTTATACGCCAACTAAGTCCAATTACCACGTTCGCCGATTCGTCAAAAGGCGACAGTGGAAAGGTGGATCTTTAGGAAACCAAGTTTCAAGTTTCCGAGGATCAATCCTGCGTGAACATGTTCAGGTGGTCCGGTCCCACTGTAGGTAGTGTCGGCATTGCCTAAGTTGCGGGAAGCAATCGACTTCGTCCACCCCCACAGGCTTACTGCAGCCCTGAGACCCAGCGATTGTGGCACCTGAAGGGCCTGCGAGTTTTCCACCAATCGACTCCCCGTACTTCCACAATGCCACCAAGACCGGAGTAAGTCAACGGCATGGCATACCCGAGCACCCAATGTGACCAAGAAATTCCAACATCTCTGAACATCATATCAGTACCCATGGGAATATAGGAATATTCTAAGGAGAAGACTGAAACATTCCCGGCTCAGAGCTACTTGACATCTTGAGGAACATGGCAATCAAGAAGGAGATTGTCTGGCATCCTGGCCCTCTGGAGGTATACTTCACGGTCGGCGAAGACGACTTGGTGCGCATCTCTGCGATTCAAAGTCCATCGTCGACGACGAAGAAAGCTTCGGACTTGAAGGCCGACGATTCGGTGCCTATCTTTGCTCTTCGCTTGACGGGTGAAGGTAATGCTTCGACCAAAAGCCACAGGTCAATGATTGGCAGCTATGCCTCGGAGCGGCTCAAATACCAAAATCACAAGGAAGGGGAAACCTCTGCCACGAAGACATTCGAGATCAGATCCCACGACGATAAATCAGGCATCACTGCCACAGCCAACTTCTCAATCTATCCTGGTATACCTGTCATCAGGTCTACGGTCACTCTGGACAACACCTCCAAGGGAAATGTTGTAGTGACTCAAATTCCGTCGTTCTTGGTTGGTAATTTGGCAGGCGCATCCAAGTCATGGGGCGACTACACCCTGTCAACTGCTACCAACTCCTGGTTCCGTGAAGCGCAATGGCGTGAACAGAAACTGTCCACACTCGGTCTCGACGACTATGGCGTCATGGAACTCAACGAAGGCCATTCCGCGACTCATGCAAGCGTGGCGTTTTCCAGTCGTGGGAGCTTCTCCACCAGTTCCTACCTGCCCATGGGAATGCTGAAAAGGCACGACAACACCGAGACTTGGCTGTGGCAGATTGAACACAATGGCTCGTGGAAATGGGAAATCGGAGATTTCAACGACCGGCTCTACGTTGGTCTTGGTGGGCCCACGAGCAACGATCATGAATGGCGGCACAAGTTGAGTCCAGGTGCCTCTTTCACTACGGTTCCTGTAGCAATGAGCCTTGTCTCTGGAGGTCAAGACCAAGCGTTCTCTGCCCTGACCACCTACCGGAGGGCTATGCGAAGAAAGCACCAAGACAACGAGAAGATGTCGCTTATCTTCAACGATTACATGAACTGTCTGATGGGAGATCCTGACGAGAATAAGGTGGCTGCGTTGATCGACCCTGTTCTCAAAGCTGGCGCAGAGTTCTTTGTGATCGATTGCGGCTGGTATTCAGACGACAATTCCTGGTGGGACGACGTTGGCCTGTGGGAGCCTTCAACAGTCCGCTTCCCATCAGGCTTCAAGAAACTGGTGGACAAAGTCAAAGCAACTGGTATGACGCTCGGCTTGTGGCTTGAGCCGGAAGTGGTCGGTGTACGGAGTGTGGTTGGGAAGCAACTTCCAGAAGATGCATTCTTTCAGGACAATGGTTCTCGGGTTGTTGAGAAGGGCCGTTACCAGCTGGATTTCCGACACCCTGCTGTCCGCGAAAGACTGGACAAAGTCGTCGATAACCTAGTACTGAACTTTGGAGTAGGATACTTCAAGTTCGATTACAACATCGAGGTGATGAGAGGCACGGATGTCAACACCTACAGCACTGGTGACGCTCATCTAGCTCATCAACGAGCCTATCTGTCCTGGGTCAATGGGCTTTACGATCGGCATCCAGATTTGGTCATTGAGAGCTGCTCGTCAGGAGCACAGCGCCTTGAGTACGCCATGCTAGGGACGCATTCCCTGCAGTCAACAAGTGACCAGCAAGATCCCGTGCGATATGGGGCAATTTCGGCGGCAGCTCCGACCGCAGTCACCCCCGAGCAGAGCGCAGTCTGGGCATACCCTCAGCCTGGCTGGAGTGACGAGAAGAACGCCTTTACCGTGGTGAACAGTCTCCTCGGCCGCATTCACTTGAGCGGCAGGCTGGATCAACTGTCAGCATCCCAACAGGATTTGATCCACGGTGGCATGAAGGTCTACAAGGAGATCCGGGGCCAGCTGAACACGGCTCTTCCATTCTGGCCTATCGGTTTGCCGTCTTGGACAGATGATTGGCACTCGCTTGGATTGACTACGACGGATGGTGATATCCTCCTCGCAGTTTGGCACATCAAGGGACCGCTTACGTGCTCTTTGCCAATCAACGAGCTAAAAGGAGCATCCGGCGTCAGTGCAAAATTGCTGTACCCGAAAAACTTTGAAGGAAAAGCCGACTGGAACGAGAAAGAAGGGACTCTGGATGTCCAACTTCCAGATGTCGCGTGTGCCAGACTCTACCGTCTTCAAAAGGGCACTCGTGTCGCATAAAGAGCCTGAGGCTGTAGGGAAGAAGACCTGGAAGCTTTCGCTTTCGGCATCAATGTACCTTGGGGTTAGCATCATCGCGTTGAGGGAAACATTTGTGCGATAATTAGAAGCACACTCACCTGACAGAGCCATGGCACTAGAGAGTGTAGAATACACGTCTGAGACAGGCGTATAAGGATGGACCAACTAGAGGGCCCCCTATCCCACAATTATACAAGACAGCACAGGAACGAGGTCGACCACCGGGTTTTTTCCAGACTGATGGCCAGCGCAGGACCTTGAAACCGACATCGGTCCAATCTCGCTCAAGGCTCCTCAGTCTTCGCTGCGCACCCCGGATGCGTACTTCCTTCTGGAGTAAAGCGGACGGCATTGGCGTTGGCGCTATCCGCACCTCGGCATCAAAATGGCACCCTGACCACTTTTCTTTACCCACATCCTTCACGCGCACAGATTACTTGCTTGGGTGAGACTACTTTCCCATATTCCCACAAGTCAGCTCACGACCCATTTGCCATCTTTTAAGGTTACAATCACCAATGCTAGCGGCGGAATACAGGTGCCCTTCCTTCGCGATGAAGTGTGTGGCTGCTCCTGTTCGACCTCTCGGCTGTTTTCCCTCCCTCGTTATCCCACAACAGGCTGATTTGTGGAGGGCCACGTTAATTATCTCGGCCCTAGGGTTTTCTGTTTGGGGCAGTTTACGAGGTAAGCCGCTCGTACCATGGAACTCCATCTGGAGATCCCAGACTCCCAGGTTTTGATACGCAGGCTTTCTCCAGATCACCTGTCCAAACAAGGCCCGGTTTTTCCCACCAATGTGGTAGCAGTTCTTCCGCGCCGTGGTGCGAGCAGGTGCCTCTGAGGGCCGCTATTAGTTGGCGATCGACAAGTTATAAGGAACGTGAACCCTCGTCGTTGGCAACGAGGAGGCCAGCTTCCGCCACAACAGCAAGAAACAACAACCGCAACAAAACCCTTCCCCTTGAATAAACCGTCTTGGGCAGTCACTCATATTGACAGGACTATCCGTCGCCGCCATGGCTTCCAAGATGGATGCCGCCGCCCATCTCGAGGCACAAGCACCAGACCAGGAGCACAAAGATATGGCCGTATACGGCAAAGAGGGGGGCTTCAAAGCTTCGGTTGGTGATGCCCAGCAAGGCAACATCAATGAGCACAAACACACGGTCCGTCAAGCTCTTCGAGCCTATCCGTGGGCTGTCTTATGGTCTCTGCTTGTCTCCATGTCCATCATCATGGAAGGCTATGACACCCAATTGATCCAGTCCTTCTTCGGGTTCCCGGCCTTCCGCAACCAGTTCGGTGAGTTATCTTCGGTTTCAGGAGACCACCAGATCCCTGGAAAATGGCAATCGGCACTGGGTAGCGGCCCTACGGCCGGCTGTATCGTCGGTGCTACGCTCAACGGCTGGATGATTCAGCACTTTGGGTACAAGCGTGTCTTCATGATTGCCCTGGTTTTCATGAACGGGTTCATCTTCATCAACTTCTTCGGCAAATCAATTGAGCTGCAGACTGTCGGCCAGGTTCTTTCCGGGTATGTACTAGTCCAAGCCCCGGCGGTGCTTGATGTTAGTTGACTAAACTACCCAATAGCGTCCCATGGGGTATCTTTGCTACGATTGGGCCTGCGTATGCGTCTGAGGTCTGCCCTCTCGCTTTCCGACCTTACCTCACTGCGTACACAAACATGTGTTTCGGTATGTTGAATAGTCCACAATCCGCCTCACCGACATGAAAGAGGCTTGTGCATTTGTGTCAGAGTGGTTTACTGAGTGTCCATAAGCCATCGGTCAGTTCATTTCCGCCGGTGTCCTTCAAAGCCTTCTCCAACGCGACAACGAATGGTCATACCGCATTCCATTTGCTGTGAGTAATCCTGCCAGTCCCGCTCGTCTTCTTGCCCCAAAGACTAAACCTTCTGGGATAGATCCAATGGCTCTGGCCTACGCCGCTCATGATTGTGGCATATTTCATGCCGGAGAGTCCCTGGTGGCTCGTTAGAAAGGGCAAGCTCGAAGCTGCTGAGCAAAGTGTCCAACGATTGATGGCCGAATCGGAGAAACCGCAAGCCAAGAACAACGTTGCCATGATGGTCCACACAAACGAGATCGAGCTAGAAACCACCGCAGGCAGCTCTTACTTTGACTGTCTGAAGGGCAGCGATTTCCGACGCACCGAGATTGCCTGCGTCATCTTTGCGGGTCAGGTCCTTTCGGGTTCCACGTTTGCCTACAGCGCCACCTACTTCTTCGAGCAGGCCGGCATGAGCGCCGACGATGCGTACAAGTTGGCTTTGGGCGGAACCGCCATCGCCTTTGTCGGCACGATTCTGTCGTGGTTCTTGATGCGCGTTGCTGGCCGTAGAAACATCTACCTTGGCGGCATGGCCTCGATGTGCGTCTGTCTGCTCATCATCGGCTTCCTCGCCATTGCCAAGCAGAACAGCAGTGCTACGTGGACACAAGCTGCCTTTTGTATCCTGTGGCTGTTCAGTTTCTCCCTCTCTGCCGGACCTGTTGGCTGGGCCGTCCCTGCCGAAGTCAGTTCGACTCGTCTCCGATCCAAGACGATCTGTTTGGCCAGAAATTCATACTACATCGTCCAGATCATCGCGAACGTCATCGAGCCCTACTTCATCAACCCCGACGAGCTCAACTGGAAGGGATACACGGGGTTCTTCTGGTTCGGCACCGCTTTCCTCACACTTTGCTGGGCCTTCTTCAGACTGCCGGAGACCAAGGGCCGAACGTACGAAGAGCTCGATCTCATGTTTGCTGCTAGGGTGCCGACCAGGAAGTTCAAGAAATACCATGTGGATGCGTATGACGAGAGCAGGAACTTGACCGACCGAATGAAGGAGGAGCAGTAGTTCTGGAGGCAGACGATCCCGGTCAGGCTCCCGCATACAAGGCGTACACCTACGATATCATCCCATTCCCGCGAAGATATAAACATTAGTCTTGTACGTACGATATAACTATTCCATTGCATGTCGCCCTCTTCTAAGTATGTGATGGTACGGAGTAACAAAAGCAACAAAAAAGTCATGAAACCATCGGCCAGACAATTGTCACGTGGGAAAAGGCGATGCTGACCAATGACGTCAGCAGATTCAATGTTGATTGTTGCCTCGGCTTAATTGGAAATTCCTCGAGAAGCACATGCGAAACATAACAATTGATTGATGATAAATTAAACCGCCATCTGTCTTCTTTCTTCCTCCCTCTGGCATTACATGAGATCAGTCTTCTTCTTCTTCTTCATCATCATCATCGTCGTCATCTATCAGAGTCATTAAACAACATGGCCCAATGTAAGCACGTCTAGACAATCCGCAGAAGGGGAAACCATGACCGCTGACATGTGTGAAGCACCAAACAAAGCACAGGAACGTCTCTCCCAAGTCTCGTCGCACCTCGGTGGCTCTCCTTCCTCGAACAAGTCTATACTCTCCAAGTCCCCCGACGATGTTGTTGTCACCTGCGCTCTCCGAACTCCTTTCACAAAGGGAGGCAAGGGCTTGCTGAAAGACACCGCAGCCGCCGACCTCCTCGCCCTCACTTTCAAGAACCTCCTCGAGCGGTCGAAGATTGACCCGGCGCTGGTCGAAGACATTGCCACAGGCTGCGTTCTTGCTCCTGGCGGTGGAGCGACCGAGTACCGGGCCGCAGCTCTTGTAGCCGGATTCCCAGAGTCGACCGCGGTCAAGTCGCTGAATCGACAATGTTCCAGCGGCCTGCAGGCATGTGTCGACATCGCCAACGCCATCAAGAGCGGGATCATCGAGATCGGGGTGGGATCCGGCGTAGAGAGCATGTCTTCACAGTACGGGCCCGGTGCGGTCACTGAGTTCTCGGACCTTTTGGAGAATCACATGCAATCCGCGAACTGCAAGGTGCCCATGGGTGTCTTGTCGGAACAAATGGCAAAAGACAGGAAGATTTCACGTGCGGATCAAGATGCTTTTGCAGCCAGCTCGTACCAGAAGGCACTCAAGGCGCAACAGGCAGGTCTTTTCGACGAAGAGATCGCCCCCATCACCGTCAAGTACACCGATCCCAAGACGGAAGAAGAGAAGACCGTGACCGTGACGAAGGATGACGGCGTTAGACCAGGGATGACCCCGGAGACGCTGGGCAAGATACGTCCCGCATTCGCCAAAGACGGCTCCATTCATGCCGGCAACGCATCACAGATATCTGACGGCGCCGCCGCCGTGCTCATGATGAAACGCAGCACCGCGGAGCGACTGGGCCAACCGATCCTGGGTAAATTTGTCGCTGCATCGGTGGTTGGTGTGCCGCCGCTACTGATGGGCATCGGACCGTGGAAAGCGATCCCGGTGGCCCTTGAAAAGGCGGGTGTCAACAAGGACGAGGTCGACATCTACGAGATCAACGAAGCCTTTGCCAGTCAGGCTGTCTGGTGTGTAAAGGAACTTGGCCTGCCCTTCGAGAAGATCAATCCCAAGGGCGGCGCGATCGCCTTTGGCCATCCTCTCGGTAAGACTGATCCATTGCCGATCCTCTGGCAGACAGAACCTCGCTAACAAGAAACAGGATGCACGGGTGCCCGACAAGTGAGCACACTGTTTACCGAGCTTAAGCGAACGAACAAGAAGATTGGCGTCACGAGTATGTGTGTTGGCACCGGAATGTGAGTGTTGCTTTCCCTTCGGCTGTTCTTTCGTTTCCTTCTCATCATGCTAACTTGTTGAACAGGGGTATGGCTGCCGTTTGGGTAGCCGAGTAAAAGGAAGCCTGGCGATAGCATCTATTGGCGTATACGTATGGCGTTCGGAGGAATATCGCTACAAGCACATGTATGCATACGGGTCCCATATCACCTGCTGTAAGACCAAGTCGAGTCACTGAGCCCAGAAACACCTGTATCCCTGTGTTGGCTTGCAAGTCGCTTCATCTGTTCACCCCCACAATGATGTCCCTCTCGTGTGAGTTTTCGAGCAGGGGTGCAAACCATGGCCCAGTCGAGGGCAAGGTCTTCCTCTTTGGGTGTTTCTGATCCATGTCGCTTGTCGCATCCGGTTCCTTGATGCTGTGACTTATCATCGCAAATTCCTGATTCAAACGAGGCACTGTTACACGACGTGTTCTCCTAACAACGTGGTTTGCCTAACTCACAACAGTGCCAGCTCATGAAACTCACAACCGTTACACTGCCCTCGATGGCCCTCTTTTCATATCTGATCCTAACCTGTTCACTCCCTAAAGTCGCTGTCGAGTAAGATTTTCTTATGGCCCAGGACCAAACAGACTCACTTCGATCCGTGACCCACTTGTTCCAACGGCCCGACACAAAACATACTTACATCTATTCCGATTATTCGTGGCTTTCAGTCCTGATTGCAATCACGCTTACGCTCCTGGATGGTTTCCTCATCTGGCCTTAATTCTGAGCGCATGATGACGAGGTGCTGCGGCTCTAATTTTTTTTTGATTCCACACCGGCATGCAGTCATCCTGGTCTGAAGAGCGCAAGAGAAAATTCCAGAGCCCGGAAAGGCAAAGTATCGAGGCAGACGACCACAGTATGCTCTTATGACTAGAGTGGCCGACACTGGAGGAGGAATTCTACACCTTATCTCCAAAGTCGATCCCTCGAGATAGAGGGCATTGTCGCCGCCCACCTGCACGTAGAGCGGCAAGGACTGTGTCATATGGCACCCAAATCGGGCAGGGGAGCATGGAGACTTCAATGTCTACATTCCGACATCAGTCCCTTTCCACCGGAAACGGCGATTCCTCTCGAGGTGCCTATTCCCCCGCAAGTTCCACGGGGAACCTTGGCCTGGCTGAACAGTTCCGCTGCGAAGCCGCCGACTATGTATGCCTGGATATCGCAAAACTGGCCCCGCGTCCCAATTTCTCGTCTCTGCCGGGGCTTTGGACTTCCTCGATGCCGATCGGTATGTTTGGACAATGCGGATTTGCGGATTATACCAAATGAGACCAGTTCACGCGGGCCGTAAACACTGGATGGACGAGTACATTGACCCCTTTATTCCTCGCCGACACATGTTTCTCCTCGGCCTGAAGTCGGGTCATCTCCTCGTCGACTACGTTGAGGGAGATCAAGGCACCCCGACCATAAAAGCACGGCCACCTCTTCCGGAGGAGAAGAAACGAAACCCCATGCAAGAGTATGTCTGACATTGTGCTTTGATTTCGCATCTCACCCTCTCGACAAAACAGGGTTCCTTCGTCCTTACCAACACCGGCTCATTGTCGCCGAGTAATCGCCCCTTTGACCCGCACATTTGCCTCTTGTCGAAATCGATCGTGTTCCCAAGGACGGACATTGACGAGGAACGGTGCCTATTCCACGACCGGCCCATACTTCAATGATGACCTCGTACACTCCCTTGACCAGAGGTTGACACACCGGCCCGACGCCGTTCGGAATGCAGACGACGCGGAGGGTCATATGGCGGTCCTGGCCACTCAGAGATACATGGAGTACGGACCACGGAGCAGAAGTGTGACCTATCGTGTTCGTAGACCGGCTCTCTGCTAGGAGACAATTTCAGATACTGCGAATCTCATTGGCTCCTTGACCTTTTACCGTGAGTCACGTTCCCGCAGAGAGAGATGAGTCGGAAATTTTTGGGATTGGGCGGAGTTGCGATCTGCTCTTACTTTTTCTTTGGGTGTATATCCCGTACTCAGCACACGTCTCGTCGCTTCAACATACAGTATTTCCTTTTCGATCTCATTTCTACCTCTCATTTCGGACGAAGTCCAAGGCCGAATCTCAACAATGGCCTCTGGTTGGGTTCGAATGCCGACCACTGGGGGCCTTACCTCCTGACTTTGGCGCCGTCGAAACAGGCTGACCAGGGTTGAAATGGGGGCGTAAATCTTTCTTTCCAGCCTTCATCGTGCACGTGTGGTCTTAAAAGTTGATCAAGCGATCGTGCCGAAATTGGCCTGCTTCAGAGACAGGGTTCCCCTTTGTTTGAGGAATTTGCATCGCGACTCATGCAAGAGGTCTCGACCTCCAGAAGTGTTGCACTAGGCATTAAAGTGCGTTCCGGCTTCGGATGGATGTTTGCTCTTGCTGCGCCCGTCCCCTTGTGCGACTTTTCTTGTGACTGTCGGCACTCGACGTCTTCCTAAGATGTGGCCTCCCGTCGCCACTGCCGTTGCTACTACTACAGTCACCGTCACTGTCAATGTCGTTGGCATTGTTTCTCCGGCTGTAACGTACCACTTCAACCACCTCGTGGCGTAACTCATTTGCACATTGTGCGTTGACGCTACGAGATTGTTTGAGGAGGTTTGAAGGAGAAGAAGAAGGAGACTATGTCAGGAACAAACTCCTCGAGTGGCATGTCCGACAAGCATGCCACGAATGGCGACGGAGCGCAGCACGTCTTTCCAGAAGTTGCAACACACCTCAACCAACCTGGTTTGATCAACACGTCCGAAATTCCCAAATCGACGCTGCTCCCACAGGCTACAGTTTCGCAACCGCCACACCAACGGTACCAACCTGAATATCAATATCAAAATGGATACATTGCATCAGAAGCCGCGGCTGCGCCCTTGCCGCCGATCAAGCGAAACCCGTGGGGCCTGTCACCTTTGACATTTGGCCTCATTGTAGCAACGATAACTGCTCTCGTCGTCGGTGGCGTCGTCGGAGGAAGCGTGGCAGGTGCCATGTCCAACAAGCACTCGGATTCGAGCTCGACCTCAGACCTGGCGTGAGTTTATGCCTTTGTTGACTCTACCACAATTCCCGTCATACATTCCACGCTCGCACACATATACTCGGTGCTTTGTGACCAATGCTGACAAGGTCTCGAATGTATCAGGGTGCCCACAGCCACCGTGACCGTCACTGCGTCGTCAGACGGCAGCGCCGCCAGCATAACAAGTACCTCTTCGACGTCGAGCCCTTCGCCGTCCTCCCTCCAAAACTACGTGGTCGACGAACCCTACTTTGTCCAAAGCCTAAAATACCCCGACTGCAACACGGATACCCAGGTCATCACGACGAAAGCATACTCGCAACTCTTCACACTCTACTGCGGCATGGACATGGGTAACTCGAACCCGGACGATGCGAATCCGGACCTCACGGTCGCCGACTTCGTCGGACTTTTCGCCTATACCCTCACGGATTGTCTGTACGCCTGTTCCAACATGGTCAAGTTCGCCGGCGACTGGAAACTGGACAGCCAACACAGCTGCAAGGGCGTCACATGGGAGGCGAGCATGGCGCAGAGCAACACCACAAACTATGCCAATTGCTGGCTGAAGAACGGTACGAACACGCAAAAGGCTAATCAATGCAACACATGTGTCAGTGCGAAGTTATCGACGTGATATGGCGTACACGTACGAACGGTATACTTTGCCATCCTTATATTCTCTCTTTCAAACCACATTGGACCTCCGACCTTGGGCTCCTTTATTCGGCCTCTCCTACCCCCAACCCTCGACTCCGACCTCGACCTCGACTCTAACCTTCGACCCACCTCTTTACCTCGTTGCTTCTCCACCCGAGAAGAAACAAGATGAAACAAAAGGAATGGACTTCCTTGAGAAGATTTATTTAAATGATGAACGGTGGCGTTTTCTTGCCCCTTTTCTTGACTCGGCGAAGAAGATGGATCAATTATACTATTCGTACATGTTGTGCTTGGTCCACCAGTACTCCTGTTTCGTGTCTGGTTAATAGTGAGTCTTCGCAAAAGAAAAAAAAACGGAAAGAGCATGACTGTAAACAATGCTTCAAGCAGCTCTCCCTTGTCAGGATCGGCATTAGTGTCTCATGGCTATAACAAAGATGGAAAGCAGAAGAAAACGAAGCATGTTACATCACTCACTGGTGTCGCTTGGCTGATGAGCATTGAACGAGGTATCCTTTGGGAGCACTCAAACTTGGCAACAACTACCCTACATTCATCATCATTCTGGCTCCTCAGAACACCACCATGTCCTGTCGTCAACAGGATCGCGGCGGAACGCACCCTGGGTTTTATCAGCATACTTTCTTTCTGTATCGGACGTTGAAACGAGTCAAGCCTTGTACAACGGTATCCAACAAAGTTTTCATGCTCTCGCGCCTCGTCGCCTTGGTTCTCTCGACAGACATGGATTTTATCTGAATGTGGTACCGGAGTACCATCGTCGTCGATTGATTTGTCAATGTCCATGTCCAGGCTACTTTCCCAACAGGCGTATTTACCTGTTCTCCGCTGCCTCTCTCCCAACCTATCCACGAGGCTGTTTTCGATCAACACTTTGCATTGCGATTTGTCGTTTGACGCAATCCGCTGTCTCGACTCTCGTTCATCCATCACTCTGAAACGGCCTGCCCGTGGAGTATGCTGGTTGCGCTTTTGTTATTATTGTAACGGATCAATTTGCAAAGCCAGCATCTGGCACTGATATCCACTGTTGGGAACATTCCTAGATAGAGTTCAATCGAGACAGTACATGCACAGAGCACAGACTACCCTACTGATATTACTCTACCATCCACTCTGGTCCTCGATGGTAGTAGGTAGTTATGGACTGACGGCAGCAGTCGAAACAGTGCCCTAAAACTCTTACGGAGTACTCCGTGTATGCCGCTGCACTTGTCTAGCCTACTGTAGCCAGGTCCGTGCCTCGAAGTGGGTACAGACCTCGGACTTTTAAAAATAGGTTATATTTTTAACTCTGCATTTCTCCCTATGAAATCAGCGTCGGTCTGGTGGTGTAGTTGGTTATCACATCTGCTTAACACGCAGAAGGTCTTGAGTTCGAGCCTCAACCGGATCATTACTTTTTTTGGTCCCTGTTTTCAATTTTTATTTCTGGGGATCCTTTCTGACGAGTTTCATCACAACTTCGGGGTTTTTTTTCTTTCTGGTTTTCTTTTGAGTCGTTGCAACCCTTTTTTTCGGCCATCTAAAAATCAATCACACACACGGAGCTCTAAGTGTACGAGGTTACCTTGCTGACATCAGTGCTCTTGTACTCGTAGACACCTACTCGTAGACACCTACTAGTAGTAGTATGTTCTTGTGCCTGTACGGGGGAGTACTCTCTCGTACGTGCGAGGCAGTTTAGGGGTCGTCGAGGGGATTCAGCAAAGGTACTCCGGCACCACGAGTGCAAAGATAAAAAGGTACAGATCAACGATACGCAGTATATAAGACCACCCCAGGGTAGACAGGTACCTAAATAAATTTGTCGTGAGATGACCACCCGGCCGTTTCAGTTTCAGGTGACGGGGGGGACCTATTCCACCTACAATACGACAAACGTAACTCACGCCATGTACTCTCGCACCCATCTCTTCTTCTTGGCCCCTCCCGACAAGGCCTGAGCGGCGGTGTCGTTTGGGGTGGCGTCCCCGAACCCGCAACCTCCGTCCCTGGTCTGCGCGATGACGGCGCCGGCGCACTTGCCGCTCTTGAAACCGCAGCAGCCCGACGCACAGTCGGCGTCGCTCAGACATTGCCCGGTGATGAACTGTTTGCCGGCGCCGTTGCCGACATTGGCCGCCCCTGGGATGCTACTGTCTATCGACACCGCGGCGGCTTGTGTCGGGGACGGAGCAGTCGCGCCGCCGCCGCCGTTACCATTGTTGTTGTTGTTGTTGTTGTTGTTGTTGTTGTTGTTGTTGTTGTTGTTGTTGTTGTTGTTGTTGTTGTTGCTGTTGTTGTTGTTGTTCCCCGAAGAAGAGGACGAGGAAGAACCCGTGGCGACGGCAGCAGGAGCGGCAGCACCTCCCGTGAGAGCCTGAGCGGCGTTGCTGTTGGGAGAGGAGTCGCCGAAGCCACATCCACCATCACGGGTTTGGGCAATCACCGCACCGGCACAGAGGCCACTTTTGAACCCACAGCACCCCGAGGCGCAGTCGGCGTCGCTCTTGCATTGTCCCGTGATGAATTGTTTTCCGGCTCCGTTGCCCACGTTGGCGGCTCCGGGGAGGTTGCTGTTGACCGCGGCGGCGCTTCCACTCCCGCCGCCACCTCCGTTGTTGTTGCCGCCACTTCCACCCCCCGTTGTACCGGTACCGGCACCGCCGCTCGAGGCCGTCGCGGGTGTCGTCGCCGCGGGTGCGCCGCCGGTCAGTGCGTTGGCCGCGTTGGCGTTGGGAGAAGCGTTACCGAAACCGCATCCTCCGTCGCGTTCCTGGGCGACCACAGGTCCGGCACACTTCCCGGAGTTGAAGCCGCAGCACGCGGAGGCGCAGTCCGCGTCGGACTTGCAAGGGCCCGTGATGAATTGGGTGCCTTGGCCGAACACGAGGGTGGTGACTGCAACCGTGGAAAGAAGGAGGGTCAGTTGGTGTCGTCGCAAATGAGAGGTGCTAATGTCGTTGGGCAAAACGGAATCACTTACAACCTAGAAGCAGGAGCACGATGGCTAGAGTCTTTGAGAGTGAGTTGTTGGTGGCCATTTTCTGGGGATTTCTGGTGAAAAGGCAACTGATCCAGCAGTTGTCAAGGTCTATACTCGTAACAGTCAAGGATTCTTCAAAAGACAGGGAATAGAACGCAAAAAAAAGGATGACGCGCACAAAAAATGTCAAGCAGAGAATCAGAGATGCAAAGAAGAGAAAGTCATGCGATACAAATCACCATGAAAATTGGCCTGGGGGTCGGGTCGTATTTGAAGAAAACCACATCTGTTGATGCCTTGGCTCGCGGAAACTCCTTGTTCCCTGGCCCCCTTGTGTTGGGTTTGATGTCCCATGACAAGTCGGTATGGAAAAGTCGAGATGTACTCGGTACTGAATGGACATGATGATTTCCCCTCTCGACCATGGATCTCCGGCAACGATCTACGCGATGCAACGTCCAGATCCAATGACCAAGCGAGCGACCGAGTGTCAAACGAGGCTTTGCGAGGCTGACACGCGCAGCCTCGTCCCGAGTGTCGCAGGTTGTTTGACTTGCCGAGGGGCGATGCGGGGGCTCGACGCGTGATTGGCCGGGGCTGTTTGCAGCGAGCCCGGACTCTGAGGCGTCAATCGTAGCAGGTTTCTGCGGGCTATGCACAAAATGTTTGACCTTTCTGTTTCATCAGGACGACGACTTGTGAGCCTCTCTTGAGGAATGCGCGATCATTCATGAATGCTACGGTTCGATGTCACTGTGTCTGGCACCAAAAAGGGGGCAAGTTACGTAATCCTGGCTGCCGGCGACGCCCTGACGCAGAGTTGTTAATCTATCTATGCTCAGCCAACATTCAAGAGCCAACGCTCAAGACATGTTGAGTAACATACCACACGTTGTCAAAAAAAGATCTTCGAGTACCAGTGATATCTCCCATTCCATCGCCTCCGTTTTATTTGGCTCGTGTCCTTCGCGAAGAAATCGTCGCTTCATCTAGGTATCTGAAACTTGGGTTACAATTCTCGGCCCGATGCTCCAAGCCTGGACCTCCGGAGTTGGGATCAACGATTGACAACAGCCTCAGGTAGACACTCTCGGCCTTCGTGTATGCTTACATGGTCCTCCATCCTCCCAAGTCCTCTCCAGGCCAAACAGAGATTCTTTCACCTTTCGCCTCGCCCTCAGGCCTTCGATATTTCCGCCCCCAGCATTGAGTAGGGAGACGCCTTCCCGGTCATTGCCTTTTCCTTCGTGTGTCTGTCTCATCCGGCGAACGGGCCCTCAAACAGTGAATGCCAGTGGATCGACAACCCTCTTCCATAAAATGCCATTGTGGATGGGAAACGACATCTGCCTATTTTCTTGAGATGTGTCAGAAAGTCCCATTTGCAGGATTACACAGATCTTGCTCTGCAACATCAGACGATACCTACTGTGCGTTCCTCACGAGAATATCATATCCAAGGGAAGAGATGACGTGGTCTGTGAAGGAGTCTACCTAGGTACCTAGGAAAGTTTGTTACCACTTTGAGCAGTTGGACTTCGCTGTGCCCATAGAGTTGCCAGTGGGGATCACTTTGTACGGGCGTTGAACACCACGACAGAACAATTTCAGCTGAAAACAACATTGAACAATGGCGTCCCCCTTTCCAATCGGATTTCAACACTACTTAGTTTTGGGACCGGCGTGAAACGCTGAGACATGTCCCCACGATCAGAAGCAGTGGTGACCTCCCGCATTCCACCGAGTCGAGATGCCACAATCATTCCGTACGGGCATGGAACCCCAGGGCCCAGGACAGGTCACAGCACCCGCCGCCCCTCCGTGAGCAAAGGATGCGCCAGATGTAAGCATGAAAGCAAGTGGCTCTGCAAGACCGTGACGCCTCACCTCTGAGAGCAAGAATTTAACAGGTACAGGGGGGGGGAGGCTCCACGAGAACACGACTCATACCAAAAACCTGTGGCACCCCGGGGGCAAGTCACGGAGCGAAATAGAGCTCCCGTGAGCAAAGTAAAAGCCATACAAAAGGGGGATCCCAGTGGCCTTTTAGGGTCATGACACCAACCAACAACCCGCGGCGCGCCGGGGCAAGTCACGGCGGCCCTGCTGCAGCACATTAGCAACGACCTCCCTTTCCATCAACTAGAAGCGGATTTTGGAACGGGCGTGAGACTTAGGCGTAAACCACTTGACAATAACTAGGGCAGCCTCTAGATTCCGTGCGTCAGGATGTGATAGATGGGAGACAGGGCAACAAGTATCCAACCTGTCATCGCAATATGACGGGCAGACCCTCCGCGAGCAGCGATACGAGGCGGGAATTCAAGTGTTCTTAGGGTAGGGAGACCAAGAGGATGTTGTGTGGTGCGCAGGGAGACGTCGTCGAGTAGCAACACAGAACATCACAGGACACTTTCACATGCACTTGAAGGAGAACCCGAACCTCTCAGTCTGTAGAATAGTTCACGAGTAGTCCCAAGTGTAAGTCCTACACTTCAATACCTAGGTACCTAGGTAAACTGCAGTGGTAGCTACCGCGACGCGCCGGTAAGCAAGGATCTTGCACAACAACCATCGTAATGACAGTCCGATGGACCCGATGATCCCACAACTGCTCTTCCTCTCGCAAGACTTCTGTGTCTCCTTCCAAGAGACTCCGAATCAATCGTCATGGAGCAAGGCCCTGGATATCTGTCAAACGCTTCGGCAGGGCTGACAGGATGCTCATTGCTCAACCGTCCGTATCCCGAACCACATCCTCTGCCTCTTCTGTGTGACCAGAATCATTCGAAACCTAGGTCGAGTCATCGATTGGGCCCCCGGTGATGCGATCAACCTTGGAAAGAATACATCGGACCCCGATCCTCGAGGGAAGTTCAGACTGACACCCAGCATCTCATCATCTCAAGGAAATCGTACAGGCGGGCCTCGGTATGGACGTTGTGGAAAAGCACGAGTCTGGAGAGGGAGGGAGAGAGAGAGAGAACATGTCAAATGTGTAGATTGTGGTGCGAGAGTGTAACGCTGGAAATTTCCTGCAAGCAAGGAGGATGTCTGGGGTTCATTCTTTGATATGACACTGGTTGAGGAGACCGGACGGCATCCTCATCGTGGTTCGACTGGCCTCGGTAGTGGTTCTGCTGGCCGTAGATTTCCAACTATGGCAGGGTTTCGTCCATCACCCAATTTCATGATGGAGATAGAAACCCTCATGCGCCAAGTTTCGCAAGAGGAGCTGAGTTCGCGCCGAAGACTCTCACCGATGAGGACTATCAATCTTCTGTGGACGGTTTCACTGGAATGGGGTTATGCACCTGTGAGGGAGGAATTTGTTGTTGTAAGGCCGACTCCGTTGGAGGAGGTGTAAGCCAGTGGGCACCTTTGCCTCGATTTTGGGGCACATTCATACTCATTAATAACAACATGGCATCATCAAACCACGACACAGTGAAGATTGTTTAAACTCACAGTATCTGTTCATTTCGTAGACGCAGCGACATCAACTCGTAGTCTGCCTGACTGGTGGCTATGATTCGCAGTAAGACATCGGCGGGCTTAGGTAAGCTTGAGGCATAGGTGCGAAGATCCCGTCAACCAATCACAACATGTCGAATTTCAAGCTCCATTTGAAGCTCTTCTGCAATCGTAACATTCTCAACTTTTAAAGGCCTCGTTCCCGCAGCACATCCCAGCCCACACGAGTCCTAGAGGTGCAGAGTTGACTTGCATTCTCTTGACAAAGACTTGGTCCTTCCCCTCGATCCGACGCGCCCTGATCCTTTTCGACAAGTCAGAATGGGCATCACAGATTTCTTCTCGGACCTGATGAGTTCAGTGTCCTTTGTGCAAGAGGTCCACGCCGAAGCTCCTGCCGACGACAACGACGACTCCAACGAAGGCGGCGAGGAGGAATCCAAGGACGAAGAGGGTGGTGACGACAAGGAAGAAGGAGGAGACGACGAGACTGGCGAAGGCGACGAAGAAGAAGAAGAGGAGGAGGAGGAGGAAGAGGAGGAACCTGTAGACCCCAAGCCAAAGTTGGAAGAGGGTACGTTCCATCATTCGCGCCGACGCCGGATGTACACAATGGCGGCAGTTCAAAAGATACCGACATGCTAACCCTTTTCCCTTGCGTTCCCGTAGACTGCGCCCGATCCGCCCAATGTTCAGGTTACAAGCACCACTACGACGAGTGCGTTGAGCGTGTCACGGCCGCATCCGAGGACGCAGATCACAAGGGACCCAAGGAGGATTGCGTCGAAGAATGTAAGTCCTGCTTTGACGGATCCCGCACCGCATGCGGCTTGCGACAGAATTGGCTGACTTTTGACGAAACCACCAGACTTCCACCTCCAGCATTGCGCCACGCAATGTGCTGCTGCCAAGCTCTTCAAGCAACTGAAGTAAGCCTCCCTCTTGCGACCACTCGACGCCACTCCCTCCCTTTTTCCTCCGGTTCGAAACCTTTGCGGAACGATGCGGAAAGGACAACATGAGGGAGACGGGAGGATCGTTGGTCAGTCAAGAAGAATGAACCCTTGTGTGCGTGATGAGTGCGAGTCCAAGTGGGAATCTAGATCAAATCCCTCGTTACGTTTCGACATGATACACTGAAGATGGCACTTGTTGCGTGTGCTTGGGAACCAGCGGCGGCGGTGTTTTCGGTGCCGGGGGACAACCGTTTCTCAAGAACCTACCTACCTACCTGGTACAGTATTTGACAAAACAAAAGCACCACTGAGACAATCCACATACTTTGACCCCCCTTGTACAGCTACCTATCTACTTGTCAAATAAGAAGAATCCATCAGAAATACAATACAACTGAAAAGACTTTGGTTTTGTTGCACACACTGAATCTTCTCACCAGACGTTCCGTACCGAAGGAGTATCCGTAGAAAGCGTGGTGACATACCTTATATCTATCTAGGATCCCTGCACAACACTCTCAAAGAGCCATTTGCTCAGCAAGAGTCTCTGGTTGGCTTCTCCTTATGCTGATCACGTGTGGAAATAGCACATCAAAGACAACGGGCGCAGGCAAACAGAGGCTCAAAGCACAACACATTAGCGAGCACGTCCACATCCCTTCAGGAAGCATGTCGCCAACTCTTCACAGGTTTCTGATAAGGGGAGAAACAATGATCCTATGACACAAATCAAAGCCTCCTCACTCACACCGCCCAGATCCATCGAATCGATTTGACTCCCACCGCAGGCCGAAACAATGCTTTGATGCTCTCGGGCGCAAAAGAAGGAGAAGAAAATGAAGACAGTGGAATAAACCAAAAACAGGCAAGAGGCATCTACTGGCAATCTTCACGCTTGAGAGAACTCCATGCGGGCCCAAGCTCAATGATGTCCACGGGAGACACCGCCCATGATGCTCCTCTTTCAAGAGCACTCGCCCCTACAAAAGTCACAATTCCAGGAACAGAACAGACTCGGCGAACCTCGGTCTCACGAGCTTCAATATTATGAGCGTCCATCCTCCGCCTAGACAACCAATGCGCCAATGCAAACGATAGCAGAACCAGCGAATACCTTCGATGGACACAGCCTCAGACGCTCATGCAAACATTGGCACAGAAACTGTGCAGATCATACCTAGCAAAGAGTCGAAATCTGCGGCATAACTCCCGAGGCCTTAAAGGAGGCGATGAACCCTAGAAACACCATACTATCGCAGCCAGATGGATAGCCCACTAGATCGACTTTTCTCGGGAGACTCACACCCAAGTCGAAGAGCACGAGAAATGCTAAACAAGCACACCGTCTAGCCGCGGGTGACGCCTACGACTAAACACGACCACGCCGGCAGAGGACGCTATCAGGGAACAGGCTACCATCGATTTCCCAGCACTGTGTTTCTACCAGGGGGGAAGAGGAAAATGATGTTCATATTGGCGCCAACTGTATGTCCAGGGTACATGCGTTGACGAAAGGCATCAAGAATCACACGGGAACGTCAATCATGTTGACGGCGTCCAGTGCTGGACGGATGTTGACTGAACCGGGAGGGACCACGGGGCGTGTGATGTAGAAGACAGGACCTACGGTTGGTAACCTTTGTCTTCCCACGGACTGGTATTGGCATTGTAATGTATGTGAGCTCCATGTGCAGATGGACTAGGAGGGCATTTGGATCAAGGAGCTCGAGGAGGGTTGGCCTTTGTGAGAACTTGGACCGACAACATCAAGAACCTTTGTGATTCGAAACAGTTGGGCCACCTTGATATTCTTGGACTATGTGTCTAGCGATCTTTATTCATTCAACACCATTGCAGTTATGATTCCCTTCAAGAGTATTAACTATACCCGCAGCCACACAGTGTTGGAAGACGTCGCTGTCTTCCAAAAGAAGCCCTGATAGCTAATTGTCGATATACTCGACTGGAGGCCAAGTGGTGTTCAAATCCTAATGAGTCTCGGTTGTGCTAACGTTGGGCGCTCTTGATTCGGAACTCATTGTGTCTATCAATATCAAGTGCAAGGAGGCCCTCAAGATCATCTCACACACATGTGTAGGGTGGTTGCTTTAGGACGAGTTGCGAAAAAAGGAAGGCACTCGTTTCCCTCCGGGTCCATGTCTCCCTCCTTTCCCTTTTACTCAATCATCCCCTCCCTCTTCTTTTCTCTCTCCCAGAGACCGCCAACAACAAGAATTGGGAAATGTTACCAGTTTCTATTCTGTTCTTCTATTCTGTTCAACTCTATTCTTCTTCTATTTATAACACATCATATCTATTCCTCGATCCCTCCCCACTTCCTTTGGGCATGGTCACGTACAAAACCCCCGACACAATGGCACCTGCTCCATCCTGAGTACGTGACCGTGCCCAAAGGAAATGGGAAAGGCTCTATAAATCCTCACCACTCGAGATCTGCTTCCTCGCCGACAACAAGCTCCAAATCAGATTTGTTCAGTCCTCCCAGTCCCAGTGGACAGCTGCTGCTCGACCCTCGGAATTCTGCCGGGAGTCAAACTTCCCAGAAATCCGATAGCTTTTCGACAGTCAATGACGATCCAAAAGAAAACCTCTGGCGAGTGACACGGGATGGAAATGAGCGAAGAACACGCCGTCGAAAGCAGTGACGAGGAGGACACCATGTCTCCTAGTGGCGATGAGGACGAGGGGGACGTCATATCTGCCAATGGCGTTAAACATGCGGAGGACATTGTACCTCCCAGCGGTGACAAAGACAAGGAGAACATTGTCCCTCTTAGCAGCGATCTTGACAAGGAGGACGTTATGCCTCCCACTAGCGATGAAGACGAGACGACTAGGGGTTGCTCAGAACGACGACCAAATTCAACTGAGGACCCAGCGCCCTACTCAATGGATGTCGGGAGTTAGCATGACAACATTGTTCACGGCTCGAGCGCGATGACATCGACTTGTCGCTGGTCTCGATGATAAGACATTCGTCTCCGGGACCTCTTATCTTAATCAGTAGGCCGATTACGTTTGATAAAGAAACATGGAAGGCATTCTCAAGTCGTCTTCTCTGCGACTATGGCTCGACGGAAGGGCCAATAGGAAGAATCACCATGCTAATAGTGGCCTTCAAGTGCCGTGCTTCCCGAGTGCCAATCGATGAATGTTGATAAAGATAGAGAATCCTCTGCTCTCTCCATCGGTCTTGTATCCATACCTCCTAAGCGACAGTTCTCTTCGTATACCCTGAAGATCTCTGACGTCAATGCAGACTGATCGAGTATGCGTCACTTATATGTGTGTTCGTTTCGTCTCGGTCTCTATGTATCGAGAGACGGCACAAAGGACGCGTCAACTTATTCCCTCTCATCCAAACACTTGGCCGAATGCGAATGAGTCGTGAGGGATGTCGTAATCGATTTCTATTATTATCTCTCTCGAGACCCTTCGTTTCTACCCACGCTTCTTAATCGTGCCGATCGAGGCAGTGAGAAGCCAGGGCCCAACTCCTTTGCTTCTCTGCATTCATTACCCCTCAGTCGTTGTTCACTTCCCCCCCTCGCTACAAGCTTTTGCTAAGCCTCAAAGCCTATTCCTTCATCAATTGTCTCAATAGTTGGGTAGATATTTCCCTCAAAGCACAACTATTTTAAACAGGGAAATTCCCAGTATATGGTCTGTAATCAGTCACTTAACAAATACAGCGAGTCAAAGCACTTTGTTATCAATTATTCATCTCATCTCATCTCATCTCATCTCACTTCCGACTCCCCAACTTCACAATGTCCAATGACAAGCCCGTCCAAAAACAGGAGTCTCTCTTGTCCAAATTCTTTCGCAGAAAGTCCAGTGTCGGTGCCGACGCCGCCGAGACCGCGTCCATGACGTCGACAGCGCCCCTCGTGGACAAGGACAACACCGCCCCGTTCAAATCGACATCCAAGGAAGAACAAGACTCCTTTAACGAGTTGATGAATCGGGCCAAGACGATGAGCCCAGAAGAATTCCAGATGTACCTCAAAAACTACAAGGAAGAGAACGAGGCCATTTACCGCAAACTTGGAGGCGGTATCACGGGCGGCGAGTGGATCTGGAGAGATCCCAAAGGTAAATGCCATGTAAACCCAGAGACGAGTTTTGGTGCTAATCATCTACACTGTAGCCTTTGGACCGCTGTGAGCGAGTCACAGAATTCTCCGAAAAGGAGTTTCTCTGTTCGAACTCGACAAGTTTATTGATTATAAAGCGAATAAAGCGACGTCGATTACGAAATATACAAGTGTTGAATCGAATGATTTTATGTCACATTCAGCTAAATGGCTTCAACGCGAAAATGTAGCTTTGTATGATCTAAAGGAGTATAGGAGTCGAGATTGAAATGCGCCAGTCAGACTATATCGTCTGCATTTCCTGACTCTTCTCGCTTGTTCTGCCATCTTCAGTGCCATCGATTCTTTCCCGACCTACGGCTTAATCCGGCCACATTAGGTTGGTCTCCTCCATAAACCAGTCGTCCGACGAAGCTGTTGTTCACGTTGAAGGATGAGCCCACTGGTCTAACTTTGATCTCTGGATCACCGAGCGTGCCGATCCACGAGTCGCGGACTCTGCCGAACACCGGTGATTACCATGCACTGCTCCTACGCAAACGACCCTGTTTGCATGTGCATGAGGCAACACAAGCACCATGGAAGCTTCTGCGCAATGCTGGTACTGCGAGACAGGAGGGGGGAGCTTCTCCTACTTCATGACTCCTCAGTGAAAGTGGACAAAGTGTTTTGTGCTTGAGCAGATGAGCCATGTCGGAGTGGAGCACAACTCGGCCGATGGCACGGGGTTCATCGCCTCAAGTTGGCTGCTCAGTGGTGCTCAAGACCGTACGATGCACCTTGAGGTGAACGACAACAGTATATCCAGACCCGAGTGACCCTCAGTAACCTGTGGACACGAGGAAGGGGTCGGGGCTGGCACTGTGTCTGGCAATTGGGCCCCCGGTCCTTCTCGAACGATGAGAGTACGCCCAAGGCCCCTCGGCCACGAATGCGACTGTTCGAGCACACGGACACACCAAAGGACGAGCCCGAAGGTACACCCTCTCCTGAACCGGTCGCAATGAGACTCTCATCGATCCCGCCGGCAGTCGTCGGCACCGGCGTCAACGCAACACCCACCAAGGTCATCCTCGACAATGACTGGAGTCCGGTTGGGTTCATTCCGTCCCTCAGGGCCCTCGACGCCGGCTGGGACCGTGCTCGGTCTCGTGGGTGATACGGCAGACTCCTGGGCTCTTCAAACAACAGTCTGCGCGGCCTTGCCGCCTTGGAAGTCGGCAATCTGTCATCACATATCCCCGTCTACCCAAGGGGGGCTGACTGACTGCCCACTCCTCGACACACCGGAGCTCTTCCAAGCTTGGGGGGGATGTGCACGGCGGCTCACCATGGCAAGGGGGCATTCGCACCAGAAAATCTCACGGCCGAGGCCGCCGGGAGCGATCCGACTTCTGGCAATCCCGATCGGGTGGTCAAAGCTGCCTCCCTCTCGAGGGATGCCCGAACACCGCGCTCGCCAGGCACTCCAGGTGCCGTCTGGATGATCGAGCAGGTCAACAAGTATCCCGGAGGGGTTGCGGTTTATGCCGGAGGGGCCTTGACCAACATCGCCCTCGCCGTGCGCGCAGAGCCGAGATTCGCCTCGCGGACAAGAGGTCTCGTCGTCATGGGTGGACACATCGACACGAATTTGCTGCACAAGTGACTGGAAGTGTGTCTTGCAAGCCGACGTGAATTCGGATGCATGTCCCTCGTTTGTTGCTGGAGCGTGAGAAGCCACATCATCACGCAAAGCCCGCCGGCTGGCCGAATGAATGACTGACCGAACGTGGGTTTGGTCGAGCAATTTGACGATCGATCCGGAGGCATCAAAGATTGCGTCGACGGCCGACTTTCCAAACATCAGTAAGCTTGACCTTCTCAGTCGCGCCGTGAGACCCGGTGTCAAGGCAACAGGCCTCCAGAAGAGCCGAACCCAGACTCTACCAACGCAGCCATTGTCGGGAACGCCGCGAGTCAGGAATACCCGACGCGAGCATGTTGGCACGGGGTCTCCGAGGTCCAGACCCCCTACACCGAGCTCGCGCACGAGTATCATGGGACTCGGTTCCCTTTCTGGGAAGAGACGGCCATGCTTGCGGTTTTGGATGCCGCCAACGTCTTGAACTCGACGAGTTGCAAGTCTGTGCCTCTCCCGGACCCCTGCACTCGTTCCGACTCCGTCGCAAAGCCCTGTACGCGCAGTTGACTCACGAGACACGGATGTACTGTAGTCTACCTCGACGTTGACACAGCACCGTCAAGCCCATCTTACGGAAACATACACGCATATCAGCAAGCGCTGATGCCGCGGAGCCAGAAGCTACAGAAGGCCACGTACGTGTTGGGGGTGGACGCGCCGAAGCTTCGCGACGACAACAAAAAGTCGTTGCAGCATCCCAAGAGTTGTGCGGATTCGTGAAATCAACAATGACGACTCAACTTTCTCACGCGTGGTGACAGGACGGGGGGAACGCTTTGATGGAAGAAGGCGAAATTTGAATTGTATCCCACTAGGGTAATCGTCAGCCAGGACCACGTACAGTATTACTGTAACCGTCATGCCTCTTGTCTCGGTTCACAGTGTTGATATGCAATCTCGGTCTTGAAGTAATAAATAGTACTCAACACAGGAATCAAAGTCATTGGAGGGTCAAGGGTATTCAGACTACCCGAGCAAGTGACGCCCTCGAGGATAGAACGAATAGACTTGATGTAAAAAAACGTCGCAAGAGTTGAATGCAAAAAAAGGAACCTTCTCACACACTTCCGAGGGGAAGTGGATTCAGTCAGTAGGTGGTGCTTTGGCTTTTAATCACAGAATTCCGTAACTCGACCTTTTATTTTGGCGGAATAAAATACGCAGGAATCGAAGACACTGGACAGTTCTGTACGCGTCAAATGTGTTTTCTCAGATCTTGTGATTTATTGTTACCCATGCACTAGACACGATGAGACTTTCTTTTTGCCAAAAGCGAGCCCTGAAGATATGCCACAAAAGCCCTCCACATTCTTTTAATTTGTATGGACCTCATTACACACCGTCCGTCTAGATTTTCTACCTTTCACTGAGGGAGGAAACAAACACCTCACGTTCGCCGGCAGATTCTCTGGCTGCCTGCCTAAACCCCCCTATATGTTACAAGATCGAAACCCCGGGGAACGCTAACTGACACACGTACGAAACGCAAAAGGATCATCACAGTTGGCCGGATAGAATGGCCTCGGTTGCTGCGGGGAAGAAAAAACGGTCAGTATCAAAATCGTCGACAATACCGTCCAGATGGGATTGACTTACCACTTCCAATGTATGCTCTCTTGACGTCAAGGTTGACGTTGAACCTACGCTCCAGCTCCAACTTGATGCCCTTCTTGGTTACGGTCATGAGGTCTGCCGTCTTCAAAACCTCTCGAATCTCGTTCAGAATCATGTCGTCGGTGGGCAGGCCGGTCAGGTCGGCCATCTCCATGTCGGCGACAGAACGGCCGCTGGGCAGCATCTCGGAGGGGGCCAGTGACATGCGCGACTGGTTATAACCGCCTCCGTAGACCGACTGATGCATGTCGAGCTGAGAAACGGACCTCGAGGTCGGCATGAGATGTTGTGTGTCGTAGCCGCCACCGTAAACTGAGCCGGCGGGATAGTAAGACTTGGTCCCGTAGCTGTATCCCGATATCTCGGATTTGGCGTCGTCCCGTTGAGTCTGAGCGTCCCAAAGTTCCGCTTGGTACTCTTCCCACTTCTTCTTGGGGATGGAGTCAGGGTCGAACTTGCCTTCGTCCGAAATGACAATCTGCTTGCCCTTCTCACCAGTCACGAGACGAGTGTTGCCCCAGCTGAAGTCGTCCATGTGCCAGAAGGCGTACAACGGCAGGCCCAAAGAGAAGACAGGCATGGCAAGGATATACACAATCATCCAACCAATCATTTCCCACTTTCGTCGCAGGATGAAGATGATGGCTTGAAGACCGTAGATGGCACCGAGCAAGATGAAGGCCGTTATGGGTATAACACTCGATGAGGTTGCGAGGAGGACAATCAGGTATACAATGTATGCGACTGTGACTGGTGCCACGATGGTCGACAACAGGTCCAAGAAGACAACAAATCTCATACTGAAACAGCAGAAACCACAGAGTTGTTGCAACGGAATGAGCTCGATCAGGTTGTGCACTGTACTGTTAATCCAGCGTCGTCTCTGGGACATGAAGACCTTCCAGCTGTCGGGCGCAATAGTCCAGGCATGTGCATGAAAGATGTACTTGGTCTTATACTTCGCGTGATACTTCATAAGCAGGGTGGTCAAGTATCTATCTTCTCCCAAATGGAGCAAGTTTTTCATGTGTAGAGTGTCGACTCGAATCTCGGAATAGTCGTTGATGATTTCCTTACTGACGAAAAGAGGCTTGCCAGTCTCGGCAGCTCGAATGCGATACATGGTGAAGCAGCCAGGCAAGCATGTCACCGATCCAAACAACGATTCGAAGGCCTTTGTCAGATTGTGCGAGATGTAGTACTCGTAAACCTGGATCATAGTGATGAACGACGACTTGGCGTTGCTGAGCGACGTCTCTCCGCAGACACCTATCAGTCGTGTGTCGCGCAAGAACGCCGAAACCATGCGCGTAGCCGAATCTGGCGCCACAACAGTATCAGCATCGATTTGGAGCATGAACTCATAGAATGTGGGATTGACACCAATAATGTTGCGGATATGGTGATGCATCTCAAGCTCTAGAGGGCTCATGGGTAGGTTATAGTGAACACGATTCAGAAATCGCATAATGACCATCTGGGAGTCACGCTTGCCTCTGTTGCCGGGCTTCGAGACTTCTGAAGGTTTGCCAACCTTGACCACGACCAAGAAGGGCACAATATGTCCTTGGACCTCGTACAGTCCAGAATACACTTTACCCATATTGTGTTGTTTCATGCCTTCTCCAAGAGATTCAAAGCTAAGTGGCTCGGGATCGACTGTCTCGGAAACACCTAGGATATCCAGCACAATGCGAGGTGTGGGTCGGTCGTTGCCTTGACCGATAATCATGCCGTCGCAGACCACGATGAGCAATTTGCGTTTGTCGTCATATCGCATGCGAGCAGCAGAATCAATAGCTCGTCGAAGCGAATCTTCGTCCTCGGTGTATGCGGGAACCTGGCAGATAACAAACTTATCCAGGTTTTCGGGTATATTCCGACCACCAAACTGTAGTGCCGCAAAGAACTTGAAACCGATGACACTGCAAAGCAAGATCGACACAGCGAGCAGGATGTACCGTGCGAATAGACACTGCGTGGAGTTTCGAGTATCTGTAACTCCTACGAAGAACAGATTGTCGAGGCACAGTTGCATTCGTTGCCTCATCCCGGAATCGATTTGAAGTGCATTCCAGTACTTGGTGACATCGTGGCCAGCTCTTTGTGTGAAGAGATCCACAACGAGAGAATCCATGAAATCGGTGTCGACGTTGCTAGGAACCTGTTCACCTGGCGCGGCTTTTGCACTCCGCCCCCCTTGGTTGTAGGTGGTGAAATCGTAGACCCGGTTATTAAGGATCGCAATCGACTTTTGTTTCGAGGCCAATGTCTTCACGTATTGAGGAGTATATCCAACATTGCCTTTCTTATAATTGGATTTGAGCATCATCATTTGCTCGAAAAACCAATCGGGCCGAGAATCATTGGTGAAGGCGCGGAAATCGTGGTAACGCCTGTTGGGGTCTGTTGTGCTGATGACGTTTGCAGATCCGGACACATTTGTAGAGGTGTAATCGAGTTGCACAGTGGGATCAATACTTCCATCCTTGCCTTGGCAAAGAGCTGAAACCTGGACAGGGAACAGACCAGTGGCGTCAAGACCGGCATACTTCTCGAGCGAGCTTGAAGGCACAATGCTTGGATAATGGCTGGGGATGAAAGCGCCAAGATCCAAAACAACGCCCCGAATGGACACATATGAGCTGTGTTTCCCCTTGCCATCATGAGACGAAAGTTCCGCAGCTGAATAAACGTCTTGCTTCGGACAGATGAGTTGCGGAAATACAATGATGAAGAAGACCACGAAGCCACAGCTTAGCCAGATAAGAAGATTGATGGCGAACTTCTCTCGCCAGGCGATCCTGACGTCTTTACGTTTCATTTGGCCAACCCATTTGATGGAGAAGTCCGGAAGATACCAGGTCAAGAAGTAAACAATTGCAAGCCAGTTCTTTCGGCTTCGGGAGACTGGGACAACGTCGACTTCTTCCATCTTTTTCTTGTTGGCTTTCTCGGCAAGCTCCTCTTTGGTTTCCAGGTTACGGAACATATCACCAGAGTTGAATGCTGAGGCACCCGCGTCAGATTTCGTATCGAGTTCTCGTGAACCGAAATAGCCTCCGCCTTTTCCTTCTTCACCAAAGAAGGAAGAAGGAGTACCTTCGCCAGAAATCAATCTCGCCTTGGAGTCACTGAAAGGGTTCATGCCTGGTGTGTCCGGCCGGGAAAGTGAGGGCACATCGCCGCCAAAATAGGCCGCACTTTGTGAGCCTGTAAGTGCGATACTAGCCCAGCACCTTTCACTGAGGAAAATGCCTGTATTGCCGATTCTTGCTTCATTTCCAGGCCATTGTTTACTATCGAGCACCAGTTGTGCTTTCTCGGCATCGCTTCCAATGACACCATTGTCCACATCGGTGAGACCGAGAAACTCGCCGAAGGGCAGGAAGACACTGAAGTCAGCTATCCGAAGTCTCTGGCTGATTTCGGCAATTCCGTACATCTGAAGTTGCTGTCTGACGCATTTGCTGTCGAACTGGTTGGCGATTCTCCTATCGTTAGGCTTGAGGCAGAACACAAAGTAGTTGTTGACATTTGGCGCAGTAAGGGATTTCGTGATATTGTCCAGAGACGACAGAAATTGTGCTGCGGCACCCTGGGTCAAGCCCATTGCGGTACTTTTAGTTCGCCGGAGTCTTAGGTCTTCACCAACTGGCATCTGTTCCTCCTCTTCTGGTACGGGGGATCGGTCGGCGCGTCGGCTAGCCATCCGACGTAGCTCAGTGTGCTTCCTTCTCGAAACGCTGGGCATTCGAAGAGGCTTAGAGCTAAGCTGGGCTTGGACGATCGCGGTCCTTTCTGCAGGATGGCTGACGGTGGTCAGGGCCTCTTGGCCAAATAAGCTGGCAACGAAATCACTCTTTGTGGCTCGCATCATGTTCATCAAATCTCCAGAAACCACGTCGCCGTTCTCCTCCACCAGCTTGTTCACAGGATAATCAACTTCACCAGCATAATGACGCACTGTGAAGGAAGCCGCAAGGTTGGATGTTGCAAAATTGCTGCCGGGCATCGTGGAGGTGGCACTGCTGACGGTAATAGCCTTGTTCTTGTTTTCGAAGCGCTTGCGAATGCTTTCCAGGAACTGAATATCAGTACGACCTCGCCGAGTCTGATCATCGAGAATAGCCAGAAGACCATTGCCATGCTTGAGAAGACCCCGTACAGCGTCTGAATTATCGAAATAACTTGTCGCTGGGACACTGACTTCTTCACTCTCCAGCGTTTCAGCTGTCTTTTCGAAGAAGCTGTGCAGACAGGTGTTGTAGAGCGATTCGTTTGCAGCATTGTTAAGGAGTTGATCGAGGACCGAACTGGTCGAAGGGGTCTCAACAAAACCTGGGAAGTCGACAATGGAGACAGTGTTGGCCACCGAGTCCTCGGCCGCACAGATGCTCTGGTTGATGTTCTCGATGATATAAGCAACCAGGAGGGAGTATAATGTGGTTGCAAGTTCGTCTGCATTGTCACGGGCACCTTTGGCATCCAACATGACAGTGACACGTTCGCGGTGCAGCGTCTTTGTCTTGTGTCTCAGGCTCTCTTCAAGATCCAAAACGTTCAAACCAAGAAAAGCGGCAACCAGCTCAAGCGTTTCGATGTTTTTGACCACGGTGACCGTCTCACCACCTTCATGGGAGTAGCCACCGCTTTCTTCGGCCGCTGTCAATGTAGCCTGACCCGTACCAAACTCGAGCTGTCCGATATGTAGGATCGCGGCCAAAACTTGACATATTTCCGCAATCTCAGTTCTGGGAAATTCCAGCTTACGGAGAGCTGTCTTGAAATGCTGGAATCCCTCCGTGTCATTCATCCCGACCTTCATTTGTGTGGGATGGCCTAGATATCTCCATCTCTTGTGCGAGACCGAAGCGGATCTACCGAGGCCGGTGCTAGAAGTCGTGATGTTCGTGTGTCCAGTGAGTCCCAGATGTGACTTTTCTGCCGCACTGGTCCCTGCCAGAAGATAGTACAGAACATGGAAACTTCTCTCGCCTGTTGGAACATGAGAGATCCGACCTTTTTCTAAACGATGATTCAACAATTTGCCTCCTATGAGGGTAGGGATGGTAGATGACGCATCGTACTGCAGCTCGTAGAATAGTCCAGCTTTCGAGGCAGTCAGCGTGGTCGTAGTCTTGGTGGTCGTCAAGGTATCGAAAACAAAGGCGGCGAGGGAAAGTCTGTTTGACAGTGGTGTGGACGAAAAGGACAGGAAGGAAGTAAGAAGGTGTGACCGGACCGTCGTCTTGCCAGAGCCGGACTCTCCACTGTCACACAGTTAGTGTCATACGAAATCAGTCAATGAGCCTGCAGATGCATACAAGAAGACGACAGCCTGGTCCTCTGCGCGGCTTCCCAACCTTGCCCAAGCCCTTCGAGCCAGATCTTCAGCCTCCCCATTGGCACTTCCTTCCTTTTCACCATCGGGACCTCGTGTGCTGGAGGTGTAGGTATTTAGGCATATCAAGGCCTGGGAGGAGAGCCTGGCAGTTGGGAGGGAGACGTGAAAACGGCTTGCCAGGTGAGCGGTCAAGTGAGTGTCTGATTGTAAATGTGGAGGTAGAGAGGGCAATGAAGCCTGCGCATGGGCAGGCATGGTCCCCCGAGTCGCCATGAGGACTGAGCAGTATTCCACACGTTGAAGAATGTGAGGATGAGGACCTATACAGCCATTCGTTTGTATGCTGATAGAGTCATCGACATTAAAGTATCCCCAGGGTCGCACGTGCAAGAGGCCGAGTAGTTGTCTCTCCAAACAAACAAGAACGTAATCGTCAGGAGACGGGAGTGCAAGAACGGCGTGGCAACGGCCAGTATCGGAGAATGAAATCAAGAAAGTGAATTATACAGGGACAAAAGTATAGCGAGAGTCGTCGTAAAGTCGTAGCAAACGCTGGAAGTGAGGGCAACTGGTCGAAGTCCAGAAAATCATTTACATTCAGTGAGTGTATGGTGTTGGAAGGAGATTCTGTGTTGAAGGAGCCCCGGCGCAGGCAATTGAGTGGTAATGTCTTTACAATGGCGTAATTTTCGACAGGGGGCGGCGGATCTCCATGACCATCAGGTCCCTCCGGAATTGTTTAAGACCTTGATGGAGCACGTCTCGATGACTGCGCCACCGACCACTTTCTTTAGAACTGACAGTATGAATCTGGCCAAAGCCATATATAGACAGGCATATGTACAATAACGATGCTGCTGAGTCGAGCCTCCAGAGTGACAAGAGACTCGTCATGCTCACCACATATCCTCACGACTTCAAATTTTTGCAGGATCCGTACTCGGTACATCATTATTTTTGTTGACATCAGGGATAGCGCGATGCGAGCTGCCCTGGTTCCCGGCCTAATCGCTCAGGGTGCAGGCCTGCTCCGCAACGCCCTTTGGGCTACCCAATAAGCGACAGCTAGAATGTTCTGAAGTCGTGACGACTGGTTGTCCACTCCCCGAGCGAGCACGGGTCATGCCTGTACTGTAAACAGACCCAGTTTGCGGGAAAATTCATCGAGAGTGGCAACTCTAATGGTTTGTTCCAGTGTGCTCCGTACATACACAGAGGCTTGATTATCCAGGGATGTGTTTTTGTGTCAAGTTGTCTGCCGTGCTCTGCGAGTGTTACACGTGCTCGGTAGAATTTCAAATGGGTCGACCGTGTGCAAACAATCCTTCAGAGCACAGTTGATGGACCACATTCTCGGAATTGAAATGTCATTGCCACACATGAGCCAGGACTGATATAGTATGGTGCTGCTCATGCAGTCATTGTTTCTCGGCCGCAGGCGAGACATGCAGTAAACTGAAGGGTGCCATGAAAAAGACCACCACTGAAATGGAGCGTGCGATCCCCCGGAAGAGGAGTGGAGTGAGAACAAGTGGCCAGCCCACCAGCCTCAGAGGGATCCGGTGCCACTGTAAGGGCGTCGCGTATGAGCTTATATTTTTACCAGCGATGAGCGGCATCTCTGGCCAATGGTCCGTGGATGTTCCTCGGCAACGGCCCCGGACAACGCGAGGCGACACAGAGTGTAGAAACGCTGCAAAAGAGGGAGCTGTTGTCCTTGGGCTTCATTGCAGACATTTGTCAGTTGGTGACCAAGTCGGGATTGGATGATCCTGGGTGTAATGGACTGATGTTGGTACCAGGATTGGAGAGCGACTATTTGATGAGAAGAGATCCTTGTCTTGTTTGGTCTAGGTGTCTCAGGGCCCAAAATCTTGCTTGGGCTAAGATGAGAGAGGCGAAGACATCGCTTTTTTCACGTGCATCTATTTTGGGAGGGCCATCGCAGGCACACATTTTGTTGGTATCTGTATTGTCAGTTGTAATGACGGCGATACATGAAATGCACAGCGACACACTCACTCCCTTCCTTCTGGGACTTCAGTCCTTTTCCTACCTAGACTCATACAAACCACTCTCGTTGTACACTACGCCTTTAATCAGTCTGCTTTCTAACGTGTTGTGCATCTTATACTTGTCTTTCGCTACTTGTTCTGTCTTTCTTCAGCATACCGTACGAACAACTTTGACGATCTGAAACGAATATTTACCGCGATCCCTTTTCGAAGCCTGTATTCTCCATTGGCCTGCCTGCCTTCAACCATAAAGCGAATAGAACTCGAGGGGTGTTGAAAGAGGAGGTTTCTGTTTATACCTTTGAATTCTGGCCTTGTATTCTGGCCTTGGAACATTCTCCTTGAGGCCCTGTCGACAACTTCGCTCGGCAGGGGCACAAGAGGACTTCGACATGGCAAACCGCTACTCTACCTACTCGAACAACTCCTCTCAAGTTGGTGCTGTGCGATCCCCAGCCGAACAGTCTACACAAGTCTCGACAACAACGCTGCTGAATGCATTGCATACTATCTATGCCTCTGGTCAGACCTATCAACTGGATGCCAGCACGAGTATCGCCGTCAACACTTGGTTGACCGCAACCAATCCAGATGCTCAAGGGAGGTCAGGTGGCGCGGTAGATGCTGAAATTGGCTTCAAGGCTTGGGAGCACGCAAGAAGAAGAGCAGAGGATGCTTGTGTCATACTGGGATCACTCCATCCCTCAACGCCCTCTGTATTACAACCCTTTCTCAGGGTCATTCCTTTGCCTACCCCCAATCTCGCCTTTACCGCCTTGTCAGCATTGCGACCCTTCCTGTCCTGCGTTACTCCCGCAAATTCTGCAACCTATCGCCATTCCGCACTATCAGCAAGATATACAGTCACCCTGTCTGGCACTATTACTGGTTTCTCGTTAGCTCTTTCAGGATCTGGAATTGATGTACAAAATGGCTTGTTGAGAGTGCCTGCGGAGCCCGGCTACCGAGCCTTTGATGTTTTTTACTATCTTCTGACATCCGCTTCTACACCAGCCGAACGGGAGTTTTTGGACCTACAACATCCTTCAAAATACACTCTGTTGAATAGGTCTGGCACCTACGATCCACCCTCCTACCTGCCAACTGGTGATGATGCTGCTGCAGCCGAAGATTTCCGTGGAGCACTGAAGTTGATTGGCATAAAGGGTGCGTCTTTCCGAGGCCTTTTATCATGCCTTGCTGGACTACTGAAACTGGGCGAGACCACTGGGTTTCTCATCGATTCCGATTCACTCGAGGACATTTGCGAAGATGTCGGAGCCCTCATTGGTCTTGAGCCAGAAGTTCTCTTCAACAAATGCAGTGGTGATGACCGCGAGGTACTGATAGCTGGAATGTACGAAGCTCTCGTTGATTGGGTTATTTCCAAAGCGAATGATGCAATCGCCGCGGAGTTGCGAGCAGGTGCACTTACTCCGGATTCAAGCACACAGAATGGCGATGAAGTGAGCCTTTCCGTGGTTGAGGTCCCCGGGGAAGGATTAGCAAAAGCCGTTGCACTCCGCAATGTTTTCGACGATTCCATCGGTATCAATGCTGAAATGAAAGAAGATGGGGTGGAGATTACTCCTGCTGGTCATTCCGTCCTGAAGGAAATGCATTTAGCGGTCTCTGAAGTTGAGGCGGATTTGGGCATCACCAGTGGCCCGTTGAGCCGCGAGAGAGAGCACGATCATGATAGGCGAGAGGGAATCCTACAAAAAATCGGAGCAGAGGCAGAAGATGGAGGATTCCTACACACCTTACTATACCCAGTCGCTGGAGAAGGCCTAAACTTTGGCAAACAAGGTCGCTTTGATTTAGCAACAACCCTGGCGAGCAGCAGAGCTTGGTACCAGCTGTCCATCCATCCTACCGATGACATGCCTGGCACCCTGGCCACCCCATCTTCAGCCACTTCAGCTTGGTCTGCTGCTGCGGTTTCTCGGCAATTGCGCGCATGGAGACTTCCTGAGTGGGCCAACCATCGGAACAGGCAGCTTGACTTTACTGCCGACTTTGATGTTGAAGAATTCGTCACAAGATACTCTCGACTCGGTTGCAAAGATGGCAAAGATGGAATAGAGAGCTTTCTTCTCGAGCGTGGCTGGACGAATGGCGAAGTTGTTATCGGACGTGAACGCGTCTGGATGCGCGAGGCGGCTTGGTGGGAAGCCGAAACAATGCTGGATATGAAAGCCGTGCCTTCAGGCTACGCCGAAGATTCTGCATTCGGTCAGCCTACCAATCCTTTCCTGTCCGGCTACTCTGCCAACCCGCCCAATAACGGAAGTGGGTTTTTCCCTCCGATGGGCGACAACATGAGCCTTCAAGACAGTCGCGAAAACCTTTTCAATCAGGCCGGGGTTGATCGTGCCAAATCAATCGCACCAACAATGGCCCGTACCGTTCAAACGATCGGTGGGGACTATGGACTTGGTCCAAAAGGCGATAGTCAGAAAGACCAGACTTATTATGATGAGTTAGGACGTTATACTGGTGAACTAGATCCCGAGTTTGGCGACCCTCGCAATATCGAGTCCAAAAAAACCTCAAAGGGCAGACAGGTCTGGGTGTCCTTTGTCTGGGCTTTGACATGGTGGATTCCGTCCGTGGCTCTCCGATATATCGGACGGATGAAACGGCCAGATGTTCGAATGGCCTGGCGCGAGAAGGTTGTCCTTGTCTTCTTGATCTTCTTGATCAATGCTGCTATCGTCTTCTACATCGTGGCCGTTGGGCGCCTTTTATGCCCCAATTTCGACAAAGTATGGAACGCCAAAGAGGTGGGATTTCATCAAGGTACCAATGATTACTATGTTAGCATTCGAGGCAGCGTCTACGACATGACCCATTTCTACAAAATCCAGCATAGTGATACGAGCATCCACACCAACGCTGACAACATGATTCCATTCGCTGGACAGAACCTGGACGCCTACTTTCCTCCTCCCCTGAGTCGAGCATGTCCTGGCCTAGATGTTGACGAGTCTGTACAACTGCAGCACAATGACACTTCGGCTGTTCTATACCCTAATGCAGTCCATACCTCCGGTCACCGATACCAGACGGACCAGCAGTCCAAGCTATACAGCTGGAATTGGTATTCCGATGTTTTCTTGCCTTCAGTCAAACAATATTACAAAGGTGATCTGGTGGTCACGCGGGGAAGCGTTCGAAAGCAGGCAGACAACGATCAGAGAATGTGGGTCATCATTGACAAGAAAATCTACGATCTGACCGACTATTTCTACACCCTAAACCTCATGAACAATTTTGGCACCTACAAGTTCTTCCCTGACGAGGTGACCAACCTTTTCAATCAATATCCAGGCACGGATATCACGGACAAGTGGGGGACGACTGCAACTTTCCAAAACAGTCTGAATTGCCTAAACAATGCATTTTACGTTGGCAAGGTTGACTTCCGACAATCTGCTAAGTGCACAGCCAACAACTGGTTCTTGCTTTCCTTTTCCATCCTACTGTGTACTATCATTCTGGCGAAGTTCCTGGCTGCTTTACAATTCGGCTCCAAACGTCGACCAGCAGCCCAGGACAAGTTTGTTATCTGCCAAGTGCCCGCCTACACCGAGGGTGAAGACCATCTCCGAAAATCTCTGGATTCTCTTACGGCTCTTCAATATGACAACAAGAGAAAGCTAATTTGTGTCATATGCGACGGCATGATTGTTGGCGGTGGCAACGATAGGCCTACCCCAAAGATTGTTCTCGATATCCTTGGTGTTGACCCGAAAATAGACCCACCTGCTTTGCCTTTCAGATCTGTTGGTAGTGGAAACGAACAATTGAATTATGGGAAGGTCTACTCAGGTCTGTACGAGTATGAGGGCAATGTTGTTCCCTATATTGTCGTTGTCAAAGTTGGAAAGGAGTCCGAGCAGTCGAAGTCTAAACCTGGCAACCGTGGCAAGCGAGACTCCCAAATTTTGCTCATGCAGTTCTTGAACCGTGTTCACCATAGATCAGCAATGTCGCCATTGGAGCTCGAAATGTTTCACCAGATCAACAACATTATCGGAGTGGATCCAGAGCTGTACGAGTATCTTCTGATGGTCGACGCCGATACCATGGTCAAGGAGGACTCACTCAATCGTCTGGTTGCCGCCTGTGCCGACAATGCAAAGATTGCTGGCATTTGTGGAGAGACAAGCTTGGAAAATGAGGAGCGAAGCTGGTGGACAATGATCCAAGTCTACGAGTACTATATCTCCCATCATCTTGCCAAAGCCTTCGAATCACTCTTTGGTAGCGTGACCTGTTTGCCGGGATGGTGAGTAATGGAGCCTGAATAACCTTGTGCTGCGCCAGCTAACTCGCGAATAGTTTCTGCATGTATCGTCTTCGAACAGCTGACAAAGGTCGACCTCTCATCATCTCGGACAAGGTGATTCAAGAGTATTCTGATTGTGATGTTGACACACTTCACAAGAAGAACCTCTTGTCGCTTGGTGAGGATCGGTTCTTGACGACTTTGATGATGAAGCATTTCCCGGCCATGTCCTACAAATTTGTCCCGGATGCCTGCGCATTGACCGCGGCCCCTGAGACATGGTCGGTGTTACTTTCGCAGAGACGTCGATGGATCAATTCCACCATCCACAACCTTGCGGAACTTGTCTGGTTGAACGACCTCTGTGGTTTCTGTTGCTTCTCGATGAGATTTGTCGTCTTTATCGACCTTTTTGGTACCATTCAACTTCCTGCCACGTGTGTCTACCTCGTCTACCTGATCTACAGAGTGGCAGCTCACCAAGGCGAATTTCCACTCATTTCAATCGTCATGATAGCTACTACTTACGGTCTCCAGGCGTTGATTTTCATCCTGAAAAGGCAATGGCAACACGTAGGCTGGATGATCATCTATGTTCTCGCCTACCCCATTTACAGTTTTATACTGCCCATCTACTCCTTCTGGAATCAAGACAATTTCTCGTGGGGAAACACCAGGATTGTCATTGGGGAAAAGGGAGATAAAAAGGTGGTTGCACTTCAGGACGAAGGATTCGACCCGAGATCGATACCCTTGCAACGATGGGATGACTATGCAGCTTCCAACAATTTACCGGGACGACGTGGTAACAGCGACAATTATCACGAAAAGGGTTTTGAGGCTGGATATACTGATGACCCCAGCATGATGGAAATGGATGACATGCATTCTGTGTATTCCTCCGTCAAGCCGGCGAGCACCATTCTCGCAGGATTCCCGCAGCAACAGCATCCTTTTATGGCACCGCCTCGGTCACCAGCACCGTTCGGGGTGAATAACCGTGCTAGCACGATGACAGGTTTGACCCAATTCAAGGATCAACCCGTCAGCGTTCACGGGCGCAACATGAGCATGATGAGCCTAGGAAGCCAGGCACGTCTGAAATCACCCTCACCAAATCCCTTCCAAGAAAACCCTCGAAGCCCATATCAGAGTGGTTACGGTATTCCACCTTCAATCAGCAGACCTAGTCTGCTTGGCCTGGGGGCCAGTCGGCCAGCATCTACAGTGATGGACTTCCGCACTGTGCCGACGGCCGGGCCTAGCGATCAAGATATGATCGAGGCCATTCGAGCGGTGCTGAGCGAGGTCGACCTCGATACTGTGACGAAGAAACAGGTTCGAGCCCTGGTCGAACAAAGACTACAATGTGAAGTCCCTGCTGGTGAAAGAAGACAATTTTTAGATAGGGCTATTGACAACGAACTGGCGAACATGTAAGGCATTTCTTACTTATAGCAACTAAAAGGCTCAAGGTTGGAGTAATCACAATGGATGAGGAAGCTTCGGCGTTGTCGGTTTCGGAGGGGGCATATCCGTATTTGCTGGTGGAAATGGGGAAAAAGGAAACTATATGTGAGATGATGCACATTCATATATGCGTCGCCATGGCGGAATTGTGGACAATCTCGGCAGATTTATAGCGATATTGCGTGCGTGCATAGGTACGGAGTATCGTGGACTGAGATATAGCCAGGCTCGTGGCGTTGAAAATTCACAGTAATGCTGTTCTTCGTCGTTCTCGAATATATATTCTGATCGAGGCGTTTGAGCGACTGCTGGGCGTTAGTCAAAATCAGTGGGTACATTGCTCCAACTAATTTTTGGTCGAAGTGAGAGAAATGATAGTGATGAAGAACCTATAAGGGAGTAAGTCAGGCCTAAATATTTAGGGCGCTTGACCAATAACTTCGATAAAAGTTTAGGTGGCATTAAGGGGGCTTATAGGGATTAGAGCCTATTATGATAGGCGTGAAAGCCCACCTAGGTAGGTATGGTCATGAAAGTTATTCCTACCTAGAGGGTAGGGAAGGCTACCCCTGGATGGGCGTTTTCTGAAAACGATCAGAGGTTCACGTAACATTTCTTCCAAAAAACAAATCAAGCTGGGATCATCACCTCTCAAGCCAGGCAAAGTAAGTGTCGTACTCAACCACTTGTGCATTTCAATGATCCAAAAGCCCAAGTATGGTGAGTGGCTCACCTATTGTCTAATCAGATCGTTGTCACAGGCCCAGCCTCGTTGAAATTCGGCACGTTGATACTCCGAGATCCGCCAAGAAATAATGTGGTTGCCGGGGCACTAAACGCAGCCGACGCCAGGTAAACAAGCCAGAAGGCGGCCGTTTGTAGTCATGATCATTTTGTTGTCTATGCTTTTGAACAATCCTCTCTCGTACCAATGGTAGACTGTATCTGATCAGGCCCCGTGCGCCAGCGTATGTCTTCTTTTATTCAACATGGCTCCGACGGTTCATCAAGTTGCCCGGATTTTCGAGGACGCAGAAAGCGAGCCTCAGCAGAGAGGACGCCGACTCAACCGCAATCGAGCACCATCTGTCGGTGATGTCCTAAGAGGTCGACGAAAAGAAAACTGCAGTCCTACAAAAGGTCACGTCTCATCTCATCGGGACCCTGTCAACGCTGCAAGCCCTCTAGGAGAACGGCACATTAACAGCCCTCCCCAGCCCAAAAGAATTCCCACAAAGACCGACGACGACCACGTATCCCCCCGGCGGCCCATCCACAAGAAAACAGGGAGTTCGGTATCATTGAAAGATCTCATACTCGGAAAAGAGAAGGGAACGGAAGGTGGTGGTATCTCGTCCGCCGAAGAACGAACAACAGAGAAGAAACCGAAGAAGGTTAAATCAACGGCCAATCTTTCTGATCTACTTAAGAGGAGGTCGAAGAAAGATCTCAGAGAACAAGGACACAATCAAGAGAATAACATACCGCCGTCACAACCTGTCATTGAGACGCCGATCTGGGCACAGTTTGCAACACAACCAGTCAGTAGCCCAGACGGCACGATGCTCTACCCAGGGTCCTCAAGAAGGGCCGTCGAAGAGGAAATAAGACTGTACACACCTCGAGACTACTCGGAGTTTCGACCAGCAGAGCAGCGAAACTTTTATGGCTATAGTCCAGCCACCGCTTCATCTTTGGACCACAAACCTCCAACCCGTCCTTTTCTGGAGCACAAGTCTAGTAGAAGTTCTATCTTCACTGAAAATCTCGACGATGAGCCACAGACAGAGTTGAAGAGGCCTAAGAGTCGGGATCCGAACACCAGTCAACCAGGTTCATCGGCCGTCCCAGTGGATCGTCCCGGTCTTTCTACTCGATCATCAGAATTGTCTCAGGCAGATACAAAAGCAAAGAGAGGATCAAGAGTGTTTGAGGCTATTCAGAACTTCAACTCGAAAGCTCGCCGCAGTGATCGTAAAGCAGTTGGAACCCCTACGGGAAGCACGCTCCCGCTGAGTCCGCAGGAGATCGACACGGCGTTTGAAAAGGTCTTGGATTCACTCAATATACCATTGAACATGCGCGACAACATGCGAAGTCTGAAGCCCGACGTCAAGGCAGGCTTGATAAAGGGCGATAGAATTGGTAGCAATTCCTCTGCAGACACTACTAATTCAGAAGTACTTGAAATTCAGTCATCTAACAAAAGTCCCACCAAAAAGGAGGTTGAACGGCAAGCAAGTGAGGAAGGGGATAGGAAGGATGACAAGAGATCGCGATCCCGATCTCGACCTCGAAGTCGCATTTTGACCTTGTCGAAGCGTGACGACAGTTCTCCCTCCAAATTGGAGAAGCAAGGGTCATCTTCCAGATCTCGTAGCAAGAGCAGGAACAAGTCAGCCGACCTAACAAGCTCAAGACCTACATCAGCTCGTGCCATGGCATCGACAACGTCTCTTGCCTCATTGAATCCAGCAGATAGTGCCACAACTCCCGGGGATTTCATCCATTATCTTCGAGAAGTCCAGAAGCCTGAACTGGTCGAGATCAGCAAATTGCACAAGCTACGAATATTGTTGAGAAACGAATCAATCAGCTGGACGGACCATTTCGTGACCAAGGGCGGCATGGATGAACTTCTCCAGTTGTACTACCGTATTACCAAGATCGAATGGCGGGAGGAGCATGAAGACAATTTGCTTCACGAGACTCTGCTCTGCTTGAAAGGCCTGTGCACGACCTCTCTTGCACTTCGCCGACTGCAGGAAGTGGAACAGGAGTTTTTTCCGGCTATTTTGGGCATGCTGTTCGATCCAGAACGAAAGGGGCCTTCAGAGTTCAATACGAGAGGTGTGATAACATCACTCCTGTTCGCTCACCTCTCTGCTGCCGTTGTAGGTGAGCCAGATCAGGTCAAACAGCGCGCAGAAAAGATCCTCGGATTTCTCAAGGATCCACATCCGACAGACGGAAAACAGCCATTGGACTTTGTGTCCCAGATGCATGTGCCTCGGCCGTATCGTGTTTGGTGCAAGGAGGTTGTTAATGTCACCAAAGAAGTCTTCTGGATTTTCCTGCATCATCTCAATGTGGTCCCCATTCTCGAGGCCGATGAGACCCTTGGTTATCTACGTGCACATTTTCCGGCCCCAAGACCGCCGCATCCAGCAGCTCCATATGTCGGCGGAGTCGAATGGGAAGCGACACAGTATCTCGCTATACACTTGGACCTCCTAAATGGTCTGATTGCTTCACTACCGACGTCATCCGAGCGCAATGCACTGAGAGAAGACCTCAAGCAGTCAGGGTTCGAGAAAATTATGGGAGCAAGTCTGCGCACTTGCAAGGAGAAATTTTATGGTGGAGTTCATGAAGGGCTGAAGTGCTGGGTGTCGGCAGCCAAGGCAGATGGATGGCCCGTCGAGGACGTGCGAGCTGGACCACCACGAGAGCCTGCGAGTCCCCGAAAGAGCCCTGTTAAAAAGAGAACAGATGAAGCACCTCAACTTGCCCTGGATGTCGGAGTGGGCCAAGTACAGATGACGAAAGCAGACGACTGGATATGAGGTGGAGCGATGCAAGGATTCTCGCCTCGCGAGGATGTAATGGGTGAAGTAACTACGTCGTCGACGATGAAAGAGGGCATGACTTGACGGCTTTGGCATACATTTTCCCTCTTGGTTGTGATGATAATTCTGTGACAATGGCGTATGAGCGGGTTCTTTGGGTACGACGGCATGGCCATCCACCTGTGTATGGACGGCCTTCCTGGATGACGGTTTGTTGTTTATGATATGAAGTCAATGATAAGTGCTTTTGCAGACTCAAGCGGATGAAGGCCCAGTTCCAACCAAATTGAATTCGTAATTTCCCATTGAAACTGATACTCTGCATAATTTACCATTCTGCCTAGACTGCATCGTTGGCTGGAGAGTTCGATGAGTGGTAGAGAGCATGGTTCCTACAATCGATAGATGAATGCCAAAGTGCCCAAATAGGCTCGCGGCGGGACGCATCAATAATAATCCCGAGCAGACTTGGGGTTTCTGTCAGACGCGTGTCTTCTTGACTGCCTTGCCCACAATCAATTTTTGTCAGACCGACACACATTGTTCCTGGCTCGAGTTTCACAAGTTATCGATGTCACCGCAAGCTGATTGGCAGGTACCGGGTCTTCCTGGTCCCAGTCCCAGTGCTTTTCACTGAGTTCTTCAGCCTGCGGCAACTCCAACTGGGGGGGGAAAGATGAAGGGATGATGATCGCGCATATGCCCTGCGAATGGAAAGAAACTCGTCCTCCTTCACGTTTTTCCCACCTTCACCCATTGCTACACTATTCGATATTCTGTTTTGATAGCATGTCGTGACTCAATTCACGTCCAGTCTTCTATTTGTTCCTGTGCTTTAGTTTTTACAGCTGCCTATGATTTAGAATCCAATCTCCCTCCCGGAAGACAGTTCCTCAGTCCACCCTGGCTGAGCGATCGCATACTGACAGCTCCTCCCACCTCGGTCACCACCTCTTCCTCCTCAATGTCTACGACGCTGACGACGACGGGCACCTCGCACATGAGAGGCGGTCCTTCTGCCCGCCGCGTCAACCCCGGTCGCCATTCCAAAGCCCACGGGGCCTCCTTGCGACAAAATTCTCTCGTCTCCAACGCCGGTCTGCTCCCATCCTCCTCCTCCGTCACGGCCAGCAACACCCCGGGCTTCATCGGAATCGACCCGCCTGCGATATATCCTGCCATTACGCACTTTACCGATGCGACTGCTGCACTGCCGCGGGAATTCCGCAGACACCACACCCTCCTCAAAGAGGTGGACGCGAAGGCGTGGGTTCATGAAGAGTCACTGCAAACTGTCCTTGAGCAATGCGTAGCAGATACGCGAGCACATTCGTACGAGGCTGCACTTTCTGCGCACAATCCCACCGCGTCGGCCCATGGCGATGACACCACAGGCGCAAGCGAGGTCCATAGTGTCGCTGGCGGCTCTGTGGACGCTGCTTCCCTGGTCTCCGCTCGCACTGCGGATTCTTCGTCCCTACAACGCAGACACCTCTACCACTCTTTGCGCCAAAACCTAATAGCCATCATGCAGACGATGGACGAGAAAAATCACGTCATTACCAACGCGAATGAAGAGGTGACAAGGCAGATTCGGCGGCTGGATGCCATCTATCCCCATGTGTCCCGGGAAGTTTCAGAGGAGGCGAGACTGGGAAGTCTGACTCATTGGGCATATACAGACACGGTCTTGACAAAGAAACCTTCCGAGCCAGTCCCTCGAGGCCGAGTGGGCGAAAGTGAAGTCGCAGTCAGGAGCCAGACCCGAAGAGGAGAAGATGCGCCAACGAGAAGACAACGAGGTGTGCCAAATGTGGACTCAGACTTTGACGAGTCAAAACATGTATCGCGCAAAGTCCACGGGAGCAAGAAGCGCACTGTCGAGGCAGCCGCAGAGCCACCAGCAATAGGATCGTCTAGTGTAACAGCATCCAGGAGAAAGAAACCAGACAAGCCAGTGGGTGGCGCACCTATGGAGCGATCCATAAGTAGCGCTCTGAGTAGCCGTGCACCAGCTATGTCACGAGAGAACTCGCAGCAGGACAACGCGAAAAAGAGAAAAGCATCACTCCCAACCAGTGTGGCACGAAAGAGGTATGTTTCAAACTTGTCTATTTTTGGCGATGCTGACCTATCCTACAGACTCAACGCTCAGGGCAATGATTCTCCTAAACTCGCTTCCTCGCCTCTCGCTGGTACTGCCGTAAAAGAAGCATACAAACGCAGCCCCGCTCTATCTGCAGTTCGCCCGGTGGGACGAGGACGGCAGAACTCAGCACAGAGCCTCGACGTTCCAAGAGGGCGACAGTCGTCGGTTGCTTCGAGCAAGAATGGCAATCAAAATGTCACCATAAGCACACCTGAGCTGAACAACGTTGCTGTGATGACAGGCAAGACTGCCGGTGAGATCAAGAGCACCATGAAAGAGACAAAGACAGACAATGGCGATCGAGTGCTTGAAGACGAACCAGTCACCAATGGCACCAATGGCGAGCCGCCTTCATTACGTGGTGCGTTGCTGTTAGAACGCTCGGCTAGCAGGCAAGAGGCCAAGTCTGATCTGGACGATATCTCAGTGTCAGCCAAGGCCTCACCACGTCTGACCCCTCGCCTTACGCCGGCGCTGCGGTTGGACGAGGTCAAGAGCGAGCGCGGCGCTCGAGGTCGTGCGTCGAAGACAGCCACGCCAGTCGCGAGCACCTTTGCCGAGGCAGACGAGTCAGAGACTGCATCCGCAAATGGTGGCAAGTCTGACACTGGATCGAAATCGCGACGTCCTGCTCGACCAAGGATCAAGGATCACGGCTTACACGATTCATTGTCGCCCAAAGGCCTGCCGATGAAGCGTTCTCACAAGAAGAACGGCAGTCTCTCCGTGTTTGCGAGTGGTCCCGGATCAGCAACCGACAGAAGCAAAGATGAGAATGGAACGCCACTTTCGGCCACGCCGTCCATCTCAGACAAGGATAAGGATGCAGATAAAGACGTCGACAAAGACAGAGATCGCCTTGGTCTTGGCCTTGAGCTCAGCGTGGAGAATGAGAAGGAGGCCGACGACCCCGATGCCGCCGATGGTCATGCCGAGAATGAGGACGAAGAACGCTATTGTTATTGCCAAGGCGTGAGTTATGGCGAGATGGTGGCCTGTGACAAGTCAGACTGCCCTCGCCAGTGGTTCCATCTCGAGTGTATCGGATTGAAGAGCGTGCCGAAGAGTGCGAAATGGTATTGTGACGAATGCAAAGAGGTTTTGGCGAAGAAGGGCAAGCTTCCCAATGGGGGCGGGAACGGCAATGGTAATGGTAATGGCAACGGCAACGGTAATGGTAACGGTAACAGCAACGGTAATGGCAAAGGTGTTGTCGGGAGGTAACGACCGCCAGTCGAAATTCCAAGGGCCTCGCTGTCTTTTCAGCAGCAGCAGCAGCAGCAGCAGCATCAGCCTCGCCATTATCGTATGACAACCTAATCTCTTCACCATCCTCCCTCTACGCCATCCAGCTTCCAGGTCCACCGAAGGCTCTCTCTGTCTCTCTGCTCGATCTTTTCAGGGTCGCGTTATGTTCTGGATCTCGAGATGATTTCTCTTCTTCGGCTTTTCGGTCTTTGCAACTTTTGCAACCCTGAAAGATCTTCTGTCAGAGATAGTGCAATCGGCGCCCAAGGGTTCTTGGGGGAGGTGGAAAACTCTGTACGATGATGTTTCTAAGAGGAGTGTGTACTACATGTACATTTGTACTATTACTACTACTACGATATATTTGACTATAGACCATCTAGTCTCGTTGGTTCTAGAGAGAGAAAGAAGTTCTTTTTTTTGCTGTTGTTGTGAGTGTCTATATTCGAGAAGGGGAGAAAAGTGACTTGTACTCGAGCGTCACGTCGACGGAGTATAATAACTTGAAGACCCAATTGATGAGCTTCGAACGAGTAAAGAAATCGGCCAATCAAAAGTTGCACTCTGGAATTTAAAATCGCAGCCTCGTTTGTTCTTTTTGTTTTAAATTCATTGGTCCGTTCGTCGCCAACAACTCGGGACGACAAAAGAGGTACCTAACCTGGGCACATTACCTGGGCACATTACCAGGCAATGCTAAATATCTACCTGTCTACCCACGAGGTGCCCCTTCTCCAAAGAATGTGCTACTCGGTACGCATTTCCAGACTTGTGTGTGTGCAGGGGGACTTGGGGGGGAAAGCAAGAACAAACGGCTACGCTCAATGACTTTGGGGGACAAGGGGAGACGGGACGACTCTTGCAAGCTAGGTCCGTGGCGATGATCAAAACCCCGAAGCTGAGTGAATCCGACTGATAAAAGGGGGGGGGGCGAGTAGTCCCCATTGCTCCCTCAAACGCGAATCCTACTCTTATTCTGCCACATGCAAATAACAACGAGAGAGAGAAAGAGAGAGAGAGACCATGATGCGTCTCACAATCAAAAGATGCTTATTCTTTTGTTCTTGTATCAGTGACCCAGCGCCCCCAATCAAGGTTCAATCTCGATCCGACCTCCCAGTCGTCCAAACCACCAGCAGATGGTGCCGGTGCTCGGAAGTGACAACCAGCTGGCTCCGGCCTCACCGTTGTGACTGACAGGTGGGTCCGGATCGGAGCCCGGCAGCTGCCACTGGAGGAAATGGTGCATTTCGTCCTCGTCGTCCTGGGTGTTGTAGTACCGGACACTCTCCCGCGGGGTGACTTTGCTCGAGGGCAACGCGCCCCATCGGAGATGACCAATCACCTCCCGTCTCCCGTCACGATAGACAAGTAAAGCGCCGGTCCAGGAGGAGGGAGATGCCCTGTCGTAAAAGAAGCAGAAGCTGCGGAGGTCGTCGAGGGCGGCGGCCGTCACGTACCAGTCCATGGACATGGTGTAAAGGTCTTCAAAGTCCTGGAGAGGCGGGGTCGATCGGTCTTCAAGTAAATCGTGGTTGTCCGCCGGAGAGCAGACGACCCCGACCCGTGAGACGGAATCGAGTGGGTCACTGATCGCGTTGGAGTAGATTCCGTCGACGGAGCCGTCCGCCGGACCGAGCAGAGAATGATATTCGAAACACTCGTGGGTGAGACGCGAATAGAGGCCGAACAGGCGGACTCGAGAATGGGTGGTCTTCACCTAGATCACATCAGTCCGAGTGTATACCTGCGAGAGCCGGCTCGACTTACTATGATACCACAGACGTCGATGGGCACGAACTTTGGGGTACGGAGCCAAATTCCCGAGATCCTTTCCCCCGCATTCAACGGAAAGCAAAGGCGTGAGACGGTCTTGTTCTCTGCATAGACGTCGCAAATGCCGCACGTCGGACGGAGAGTGGTCAAGCCGTGGGCGCAGATGCCCACAATCCGATCGGCCTCGCAGTGCACGATGAACATGTAGGTTTCCGCGTGTAGAGGAACAAATCTGAATCGAGAGTGAGGATCGCTCGACATCGGCAGCGAGAAGAAATTCCCTTCGTCGATGGCAGGAGGGTTCGGAGTGTCCCACAAGGAGGAGTCGTGGAGACCAGAGACGGACCTGGGCCGTAAATCTCGGAGGACGAGACCCTAATGCTGTGTCAGACGGTTCACGATGACCGATCGGTATAGCCTTACGTTGGTGATGCCTTCCAATACCATACCCGGAATGCAGTTCGTGACCAAATACCATGGACTCCCGTCCGCAGGAATGACCGGTGTCCCATGGTCGAAAGTTCGAACATTCCTGACACCTATTTCGTCGATTGATACTGCAACTCGACTTTCATTTGTTAGAAGCCTATCGTGGGACAGGCAGAGCTTCTCTCGTGAATCGGATCGATTGCTGATCCATGAGATGTAGGAAACACCGCGAAAGGACACGGTTCTTTGATAGACCAGGCAGGACAGGTCTACCGACACCTTGGCTTCAACCAAACCCCGACGCAACGTGCCGATGAAAGATCTGAATTCTCCTATACCCGAGAGACGGCCACGCCCCAATTGCTCCACGACTCCCAGGACGATTTCCATCGGTATTCGGTCCACCAAATCGTCCGAAATTCTGTTCCGGAGAGCTGACAAGCATTGGTCGACACAATATTCTTTGTGGTGTGTTGCCCCGGGCTGTTCTCTCCATTTGGGCCTTGTGAGACTCCCATAGGAGTGGAGGTCAGCCTTGGTAGGTGCCTCATCGTCTTGGGAGCTATAAGCAAGGATGCTTAGGCATGAAATATGGCAAAAGATCTTGATTCGTCGTATCATCGTACAAGAGAGGCAAAACCGAGGGCATGGAACCACTTTGACCCTGTGGTTACTGACATCAACTGCGAGGCATCGATGTTAGTGGCATGTGGCCCAGAGGAATACCGAGCATACTTACTCAGGTGAGCTTCAACCAGGGAACTTATTGTGTTGTGGCACAGGATACACCTTTCGTCCGAGAAATGGACCAATTCTATCGAGTTGGAAGACAGTCCGTTGGCAGAAAAAGACGTTCCTCCGAACAGGGAAGGCATTTGGTCAGAAATGGAGGGCTCGTCGTGGGACAAGGAGGAAATTTCGCCGATAATGGTAGACATTTCGTTGACAAGCGAGGTGAGGGAAGACATGTTTCTGGCCAGGAAGTGGAAGACTGGCCGTAGGGGAGAAATGACACTTTGTTGATTGTCAACGAAGGAGGAAACTTGGTCAGGAAGGGATGGCTGTTCGTTAGAGAGGGAAGATTGTTCTTTGGAAAGAGTAGACTGCTCGTTGGCGAGAAAAGGCCGTCCGTCGAAGAAGAGAGGACTGTTTGTTGGGAATGGGAGAGGTTCTGTGGGAATCTTGCTTTGCCCAGATGGAATTCGAGGTTGCAGCCTGATCACTTCCCAGTCTTTTCAACCGGCTCAGGCTGATACAACATGGTGAATCACCTGACAAGCCACAATAGCTTTATCGGGGCTGAAGCTGTCAAGATTCTTACCAGACTCTGGTACCGAGTATATTGCAGAGAGGTTGTCGTCTGGAAACGGACGGTGGATATTGGAAGGGGCGAGATTTGCCGCCGGACCATCTGTGGGCATGGAGGTACTGATGCCTAGTTTCACTGAGATGGAGGCTGAGGTGCGAAGAGACATGAAAGTACGGATACGTCGTACTAAACCACTGCGAGGTGCTCGTGACGGTTCCAAGCCGTTGATGATGTTTGGACACCGTACAAAGTCAGCGTCGAGGCGTGAAAAGTAAGAGAGATGGATCGATCTAGGGATACCAGGGGCGGTGTCAGGATCCTGATCATGTGACGAGTGCTGTCTGTTCGGGCACTGACACTGCTGCCTCGACACCTACTGTACAACCGAAAGGCCTCCTTCGTGCTGAATTCTTTAGTAAATAGTTGTCCACTACTACACAATGCCCATTGTTTCGAGATGAAAATACTCGATCGTTCTATTCATCGACCATGCGCCGTCAAATCTCCACCGCCTGCACGAGCCTCACTCAAATATCTGTGGCATGGCATGAGCAAGGATACAGAGTAGGAGACTGCTGCCAGGCAGTGCGTAGAGAGCAATCCAAAATTGCCCACAATTGAGACGGTAAGAGTCAAGTAAGTGATAGGTCCTTATTCGATTCGAAGAGGATCCATCAGTGGGCTCGTTGTTCATCTAGAGGGAAACCCCACAAATCGACGGAAGCAAAAGAGCACGTTTCGATGTTTCTCTCTATGGTCAAAATGATACCAGGATCACTTCGGTCCATGTTGACCAAGATGGGACGGGAAAGTTTCCCCAAGGGCAAGTACAATTGAAATACCAGCCTCCCGTCCTGCCTTTGGAGGGGAGCGGTGATGGGGTTGATGGAATGGCCTCCCCTGATTATAGCTGAGGGTGCTTCGCAGATACAGTGAAAGATCAACTTCTTTGAATCAATGTGCCGTTGTCGTTTATCACACCGAACAACACCTTGTTCGCACTCATCTCTTGGTACTTCAGTGCAGCCGCCCTCTTTGGTAGCTCTTTTTGGCCGTACCTCTTCCCAAACAGTTGTTCGCATCGTTCACCGCAGCTCTCCAATGACGAGGTTATTCAGGGCAATCAAAGATGGCTTTCACGAGACGACGCACCGGATAGAATCATTCTTACCTAGAAAGACCTCCTCGATGGTCGCCAACCTCCGGTTCAGTCCACTCTTGACCAAGCCAAGTCCAACAAAGTGAGCGTACTCCATTCGAAATAGATACAACGGCGTCAGGGATCGTTTAGCTTTGAACTGCCCACATGCCTCTCTTGCCTCTCTTGCCTCCCTGGCTCCGCCTGGCCTCCCACCTCTCCTTTGTTGTGCGGCGAGGGCCTTTTTAGCGGAGTGCTTTCGTTCCCCGTCCCAGTGCCTACCTCTTGGAGGTGCGAGGTGCGAGGTGCGAAGCCTTGAAATACAAGAACTTGGTATCTAAGAATCATGTGGAATAACGGATACTCCAACCAACAATTGAGGGATGGCCGATGTTCAATCAAGGTTCAGAAGCCCTGGAGGCGCAATTGGCCCAGGTCAAGGAGAGCAGATCGAATTGGTGTGAATCATTTTCGTTTCAAGGCAACTTTTCCTTCAGTCAGCATAGGAAGACCTCTGTTTCAACAGGCCTGCTCGAGCGCCGTCGCTAGATCATCGGCGGATGAAAAAGTGCCCTGGGTCCAGCAAGCCTCAATGATGTGGCCCAACCATAACCCGTCGACCGAAGGAAGACTATCTCTCCGTGGCCACGAAAACCGATCTCCACTTGACTTCCAGTCTTGCATGAGGTCGAATTTACACCGTTGGCCGGTTATAACTTCAAACATGACTGCGCCGAATTGCCCAATGTCAGTAGCGGCGGACTCTCCGTCCGCATTGGAATCCTTCATGTCCCAATCCAATGGCATCATGCAGGATTCTCCTAAATCGGCCAAGTAGATGGACATGCCCTTGTCGATCAAGAAATTATCCGAACGTAGGTCGGCGACAATGACACGTCGGCGGTGGATATCAGAGAGTGTATGTGCCATACTTCTCAACCATCGGAGTCGGATCTGTCGATTCGGCTTTTGGCTTCTTAGGTAGTCGCGAAGATCGCCGTTCTCCATGTGCCTCATGCGAATCGAAACTCCGGAGGATTCCAGATCAAAACAAGGAACAACTCCCTCGCAGTCTCCTAGTCTCTGTAGAATCGACTTCTCTCGCTTCATCTGATCGATTCTGAATTGGCGCATATCGAAAGCCTCCGCCTCAGGCGTGAGTCTCCCATTGTCAGGTACATCGACACCTCGCCAGAGTCGTGGTATTTTGACTGCAAATGTTCCCTCACGAATGACCAAGCCCGAGCCTCCCATACCAAGAATGTCTTCGCTCACGAGAGTCCCGTCCAGGTGCAAAAACGTCATTGCTTATGGAACAGTTCCTGGAAAGGACAGTAGCTATAGACGATAACCGGTGTGAAATGGAGGTGAAACGATTTACAACGGGCGGAGTGCTGGCGGGCTTTCTGAAGCCACAAATCGGCTTGTTTGTCTGTCTCAGGCGTGCAAGTCAAGTTCAAAAAAGCATATCGTAACATGTTGCGCGCCAAGACTTACTTGTAAAGAAAATAGCACTTATGGTGATATGCGTGGGCATCTTGCCGTGCCGGTTGAATGTAGGCCCGAAAAGAATACCAGGTACTGCTCGTTTGGTGAAGACGATCTGATCGTTTTGTGTATATGAATTAAAAGTAAAGTCCCGGGCCGGACTCTGGTCTTGTCTCCAGAGGTAACTGTCGGGAGGGATTTTCCATTCCGATTCCCAGGATACTAGGTTCCATCTATGGAGGTGTGGACCTTCATTTGCTACTCTTGTCGAGTAATGGAGGTTCGTGAATACAAAAGATACCTAAAGCCACCTGAGAATGATAGATGAATCTACTCGTGAACTGTATGTGCAACTTTGTTGGTCACGCTGTGTTCGGATCAACGGCTGAGACACCAGAAAATGCATCCGGAGTAGCCGCATCAGACCTTCACAAACCGACGGATCACGGGATCACAGACTGACTACACAATAATATTTGGATGGTCACTACGAGGTAATCAGTCGATACTCGAATAGACTACAATGATTGTATCGTGTACAGCATCGTGAGTCACAAGGATCCGATTGTTGGCGGCCACTTCTTCCAGTGAACATGGGTTGTTGGTCTCGGGCCATTTTGTCACAGATTTGCTGTCATACTCCGTGCCGGCCCAGTAAATCAAATCGAGTGTGTTACGAGGCCCAATTCAAAGTAAGTGTGTGCGAGGACAGTCTCAAACACCACAGTCACGCCGACCGTTCAGTTTTCAAACCTTCACGAGAGAGTAGGTCGTCCGTTTGTGAGAAAGTATAAAGAACCCCCCTTCCCCCCTGGAAAGCTTGTGATATTCGTTGCTGTCTCGGCATATACATATATATCCATACTTGCGTGTCTAGGTAGGTGAGGACTAGGCTACTCCCCAGCGCAAAGCCCTCCTTGGACCAGATATTCTTCAAAACACTCTTGGCAATCGCTATGAGGCGCATGCTTCAGCACACAAACAGTCAGTCTCAGGACAAAACCTTTGTTGCTATCAAACCGACAAGATTCATCACACAACTCCTTGGGATACGTGTTGACTGGCTATTGTGGCAAGACCCCTTTGAACCAGACGCTATCTGAACCGCCTTTGCAATTGCTTTGAGGTACAAGCTGCTGCATACAAAACAGTCAACCGCAGAACAAGCTCCAGCATACAAAAGAGTAAAGAGCAGGACAAGCTCCTGCATACAAACAGTCAACCGCAGAACAAGCTCCAG